TGGGGATCGAACTTTGATTTGGCCGAGACCCAGTTCTTAGTGGAGGTGACATGGCATTTGGGAGTGAGTGTCTAGCCGAGGACTGCTGTAGTAGCATCCTCTGTCGATCGATCTCCTCAACCTCTCGATACCACTCCCATCTCTTCCCAGGTGGATTCCTCTCAAACTTCTCCTGTATGCTGCGAGTGAGACTTCCTCTGAAGAGATCAATCACTAGCTCGTTGTCATCTAGGTTGACCTGTCCCTCCAAGTCTCTGAACCGCTCTACATGACGTGTGGCGGCACCAGGAGCATCACTTGTGAGTCTGAGAGCCAACAGCTTGTTGTATGCCTCCATCCTAGCATTGCGTGGGTTGAACTGCTCTGACAGTCGCTCTGTGAAGTAGTGCCAATCATTGAACAACCTTCCTTCTCTAGCTCTATCAATGCGGAGCTTGGAGGTCCACCACTCTCTTGCTGTCCCTTCCAGTTGAGCACCCATGTGATTGATCATCCTAGACTGCTCATACACCTGGTTGAACTTAAACCATGCTTCGGCTTCTAGAATGAAGATCTCCATGTCTCGGGGATTGAACTTTGGAAAGGGGGTGGCAATGGGCTTTGACCGGTTAAGCTCAGCCATGATGCTGGTATCCTCCTCGTGGTCCAGGGGGTAAGGATCCGTCCTAGTCCTGCTGTAGGGGTCCAGCTTAGTCTTGACATATCTTGGCCCAGTAGGTGAAGCATACTTCTCGTAGTTGATGTCCTCCTGCTCATCCAGGTTGAATGAGACTGATCGTCTTGGTCGTGGAGCCGGAGTAGGAGTATGTGGGTCTCCTATCATAGACTCGTCTCCTCCTCCTGCTTGGTCTTCCGAGTGAGAGAGGTCCATTGTCTCCTCCCTACCCAGCTGAGCTCGTTGTAGTTGTTCCTCTCGATGACCCTGCCTAGTAAGCTCTAGCTGAGCTTCCAATAGAGTGAGTAGTCTATCGAGCTTATTGTTGAGGTCTGGGTCCGTCATGGTGATCGTGAGGAGCTGCTTGAACGATCCACTCTAATGTCAGGGGTCTCGCGCCTGAAACCCAGGTCAGTCTGTCGAGATACTCGGTGACTATCAAACTGTGCGACAGCTATTGTCTCGAGATACTCGGTGACTATCAAGTTGTGCAGTGACAGCAGGTGGCGTTTGTTGTATATACTATTGTAGGTTTCGGCTGACCTCTGTGGACACTCCGTTCAGGGGTAGCTCGGCACGATCAATATCAATGTTATGATGACACCAAGGTCTGGTGTGAGTGTTGATGATGATGAGGTTGATGGTGTTGGTGATGAGATTGGTGATGTCGATGATAATGAGGTTGATGGTGTTGGTGATAAGGTTGGTGGCGTCGATGATAATGAGGTTGATGGTATTGGTGATAAGGTTGGTGGCGTCAACACGAGTGTCCAGTGTGTTGACTTGATGCTTGAAGTGATCCCCGGACCGCAGTGGACTACTGCCTTCGGTTCTATCTATATCCGGACCGCTAACCTGCTATGGGCGCCTTCGGATGTCAGGTAGTGGTGATACAACACACACACTACGATGAGGAGCAACCTTGATAGATTGCTGCTATGCTGACTGAAACTAATGTATACTTATGCTGAAGTGATAACTAGTTATGGTGAGTAGAGTGGATGGGGATCCACTCAACCTATGATGATGAGAAAGCATGGTTATATACCTCTTCACAGCATTGCCAGCGATGCTGCTCCTGCTCTCTCTCCAGAGAGTACCTTCTTCATCGAGTACTGCTCAGGGGCCTCTCCTGCTTGGCACCCCTGTGCCTCTTGAGTGGTGTCGACTCCTTCGACACTGCTCCTCCTCCTCATGACCTGTGTCGACTTCCTGTCTCTCGAGCCCCTGAGTGGTAACCATCTGAGCTTGGTCCTCCTCGTGGCTGCGCCTGCTCTTTGAGCTTGGTCCTCCTCGTGGCTGTGCCTGGTCCTCCTCGCATATGGGCTCAGTGCTCCTTTGCATGTGAATCCATAGGAGTCCATGGTCTCCATGGAGACTGCACTACGACCATGCTCTCTACTGGTATCGACTAGGTCTTCGATACCTGTGCTCCGTCCATATGAACCAGTGACCCTCCTGCTTCTTGAGCATCCAGGCCCATGACAGGTCACTTCTACTACTGATCTCAGCAAACTCTTCTTTAAGCTCTTGCTTATCCCTATCCTGTGATTTCTGCACTCCTTCATATGACTTCACTTCTTCCCGCCTCCTGCGCATCTGGCCCCATGACACCACACAACCTCTGACAGAGTGTTCAAGGCGGTCAGCCAAAACCTACCAGAACTCATCTGTCTGGTTACTTTCACCCAAAATATAACAAATAAGGCTTACTCAGTTGATCTCACCGAAATCAACCGGAAGCACCCAATCTGGTTTCAGGCGCACAACTGCTTACAAATTGTCTGTCGAGCCATCGGATGCCTGAGCTGATGGTGTGGTTGGCAGGTCGGACTTGGATGCATCATTGATTTCATTGGCCAATTAATCAAAGACGGCATCTGTGGGTTCAGGGAATATGATGTCCCCCTCAAGTGCCATGTCTGGCTCCAAAGGCAGCTGGTAGATGTTGTTGATGGGTTGCTGTAGCTCTTTGTCATGCTTGTCAATGTCGTTGTATCCAAAGTTTTCAATGTTGGTTGTTGTCAGGGGTCTCGCGCCTGAAACCCAGGTCGGTCTGTCGAGATACTTGGTGACTATCAAACTGTGCAACAGCAATTGTCTCGGTATCAGTCTCGATGAGCTAGTCATTTGGTGACTATCAAGTTGCATGATGACAGCAGGTGGCATTCGTTGTATATACTATTGTAGGTTTCGGCTGACCTCAGTGGACACTCTGTTCAGGGGTAGCTTGGCACAATCAATATCAATGCATAGTTTATGATGACACCAAGGTCTGGTGTGAGTGCTGATGATGATGAGGTTGATGACATTGGTGATAAGGTTGGTGGGTGTTGATGATAATGAGGTTGATGGTGTTGGTGATAAGGTTGGTGGCATCAACACAAGTGTCCAGTGTGTTGACTGATGCTTGAGGTGATCCCTGGACCGCAGTGGACTACTGCCTTCAGTTCTATCTTGATCTGGACCACTAACCTGCTATGGGGCACCTTCGGATGTCAGGTAGTGGTGATACAACACACACACTATGATGAGGAGCAACCTTGATAGATTGCTACTATGCTGACTGAAACTAATATATACTTATGCTGAAGTGATAACTAGTTATGATGTGTGTAGAGTGGATGAGGATCCACTCGACCTTTGATGATGAGAAAGCATGGTTATATACCTCTTCACAGCATCGCCAGCGATGCTGCTCCTGCTCTCTCTCCAGAGAGTACCTTCTTCATCAAGTACTTGTACAGAGGGCCCCTCTAGCACCACTCCTGTCCTCTTGAGCTGTGTCGACTCCTTCGACACTGCTCCTCCTCCTTGCTATCCTGCTTGTTTGGCACCCCTGTGCCTCCTGAGTGGTGTCGACTCCTTTGACACTGCTCCTCCTCCTCAGGACCTGCTTGCTGGTTCCCTATACACTGCTCCTTCTCCTTTGACCAGTGACGGTTCCTTTGACTCTTGTCTCTTGAGCCCCTGAGTGGTAACTGTCTGCATGCTCCTTGAGCTTGGTCCTCTTCATGGCTGTGCCTGCTCCTTGAGCTTGGTCCTCTTCACATATGGGCCCAGTCCTCCTTTGCATGTGAGTCCATAGGAGAGTCCATAATCTCCATGGAGACTGCACTACAACCATGCTCATCACTGGTATCGACTAGATCTCTGATACCTATGCTCCTTCCATATGAACCAGTGACCCTCCTGCTTCCTGAGCATTCAGGCCCATGACAGTTGTGTCCTTGTAATATAGAGTGTCTGTGTCCTGGATTGGAATTGCATCTGTGCAATTGTTCCATGAATTGTCTTGCAAGAACTGTGCAGAGTTGGACCAGAAGATCAGCTGGTTGTGGCTGGGAGCTAAGAACTTCCATCCTTTGTGCTCTTCATCATATCTGACAAAGATAGCAGGAATGGCTGGTTCATCCAGTTTCTTGCATTTTGCCTTCAGTATGTTGACCCAGGCAAGACATCCAAAGGTCTGGAGCAGATTGAATGGCTTTTGTGGATCTTTACCATAGAAGATATGGTAAGGTATCCAGTTGTTGACATTTGGCAAGAGGTTTTTGTGAATACAGTGGCTTCAGTGGCAAAAGGCCAGAATGTTTGCAGCAGGTGATGTGTGTGCATCATGGCAATCATCATTTCCCTGATTGTCCTAATGGTGTACTCTGCCTTACCATTCTGTTTGATGGTATAAGCCAAAGTCTTTTGCCAGTGAAAACCTGCCTCATTCTGCCAACTGATAGCTGCTGCTGAGACCCATTCACCTTCATTATCCAAGTGAAGGGTTTTGAGTTTGCGAGCTGTCTGTATCTCAGCGTAATGGACTTATCTCTGTTTGTGCAGCAACTAAGCGTCGGAAAGGGTCTAAATTTCGAGCGTTGGCTGGTTGCACACGGACGCACAAGTGTTAGACGGCTGTTGAGAAGAACACATTCGCCAAACATAACACCTTCTTGATCGAGCTCAACAACTCTGTAACTCACGCTGACTTCTCCTTCGCGCTCTCGAGCAATTGGAACACAGCCATCTAGACACGATCCTCACACACGGCGCACACACAGACGCAGGTAAAGCGGGCAAACAATTCCGCCAGCAGCGCAGCTCGCTAATCCGGCACCTGGAAGGAACACCGACAGCGCAGCGCTGCGGAAGTAGAGCAATCGACGATAGTCTCGTTCCCGCACACCATCTCGACCCCAATCACGAACTGAGTGGCTTCAGCTGAATACATTCGTGCTGGGAGATCGGGTCGTAGAGCTCCTCTTAGAGATCGGTGCCGCTCGACAAGGACCAGCTTCGCCATTGCAACAAACCAGCCTTACGCCTCCGCAATCCCTGGACCGCCATCACAATGCCATCATCCACCATCACATCACTGACCAAGGTCGCCAGCTGGAACTCATCCCAGCGCTCCAACGGTGGCTCTGTCTCCCCCACAAAACCATCCTCGGCTGCTGCTTCGCGTGCTGGCACGCCCATCTCGATCAAACCTACCATAAGCACGGCCCTGCCTGTCCGCCAGATTCCACCAGGATGCTCGCACGTCGCTTCTTTTCTCCATCTCGGCGCACCATCCTCTTCCTCCTCCTCAACATCGAAACCAGCCCCTTCAATCCCTAAGATCAAATCAGAAGAAGGCGATGAAACGAAAACCACCGGCTTCGACACTCTCCCCGCCATCACCCGTTCCTACCTCAAACGCTACATCGCTGGTCTCCGCTGGGGAGCACAAATTCGCACAGGATACGTCAAAATGATGGACGAAGAAGAAAAAGTAGCCGAACAACAACGATACAACGACGAAGCAGCGAAAGCCGCCAAGCAGGGAAAACAGGTCAAAAAGCGTCGAAAGCTTGACTATCCACAGTGTCACACCTGTCAAGTGGATATGCTGCGACCATTTATCTGCCTTGAATGCGCATACACGGCGTGTTTCTCTCCCCCTATCGCCGATGATCCGACCGCAGTAACACGGACACTGAAGGATAGTCACATGATACAGCATCTCCGCAGTAAGAAACACATGCTAGCGATTGATCTGCTTTATGGCCACGTCTACTGCGCTGAGTGTAAAGACTTTATCCACGATGCGCTCTTCGAATCGGTTCAGCGTCATGAGACTTGCAGAGTCAATCAGAACGTCGTTGGACAGCAATTTGGACCGTCCAAAACCACCATCGAGGCTCTGTTTCCCCCAGCCCTGGATGCAACGACGGTGATGAGCAAGTTCTACGAGACCGACACGACCAGCGTCACTTGCCGCGTCCCTCGCGGTCTACGAAACATGGGTGCCACGTGCTTTATGAATGTTATCATTCAAGCGTTCTTGCACAATCCGCTATTAAGAAACTATTTCTTATCAGATCGGCATAACCCGGCGTTGTGCCAGGGGGGAAAGGTCTGTTTGGCTTGTGAGATGGACAAGATTTTTAGCGAGTTTTATTCTTCTGATCCTGGTGCGATTGCGGCTGGCGCCGATGGATCAGTAGCGGCGGGGACTCAGGCGGGTAACCCTCCTGGTGCGGTAGTCGGTGAGAACGGCTCGACACAACAAACGGTAGCGAAAGGTCCACACGGCCCAACATCGTTCCTCTACTGTCTATGGATAGACCAGGCAAGCAGCGAGCTTGGTCAAGCGGGGCAACACGATGCGCACGAACTGTTTATCTCTGCTCTCAACTCTATCCATACCGCGCTCACCAGTCGAGCACTCGAAAGATCGTCGCTCCCGACTTTTGGGTACGAGCATTCGGATGCCCTCAATTTGCTGTATGATCATTATGAAGGCGGTGGAGGATCGGGGAATCAGTCGGAAGATGAAGGGATGGGTGGTGGAGGGGGTACGCCTATGGGTCTTGGAAATGGTGGTAGTGGCGGTGTAGCGGGATGTCCTTGTGTTGTCCATCGTACTTTTGCTGGGCAATTGCAGTCCGATGTTACGTGTCAGAGATGTGGAAAGGTGAATACCACAAGAGATCCAATGCTGGATGTTAGTTTGGACGTTCGACCTGAATCTCTTCGCCGAAAGGATTCTTCTTTGACCAATGGCGGGTTGACTTCAAAGGCGAAAGTTCCCAACGGCAAAATTTCCGATTCCATAGGTAGCAGCAATGGAGTGAATGGGGAAGGGGAAGAGGAACAACATCTCACCATCTGTCTCCAACGCTACTGTTCAGAAGAAAAACTAGGGAACAACGACTACACATGCACAAGCTGTGGCTCTGCTGCAACCGCCACCAAGCAACTCTCTCTCTACCGTCTACCCCCCGTACTCTGCATCCAACTGAAACGATTCGAACATACCTCTTCAGCTGCTAAGATTGACACCAAAGTGCGCTTCCCTCTTGTTTTGGACCTACGGCAATTCTCGACTGCGGAAATACGCCAAGCTACCAATCCCCCAGTACAAACGAGCAATGGCAGCAGTAATAGTGGGTTGGCGGCGATCCCAGACCCAGATGCATATCTTTATGATCTGTTCACGGTGGTCGTACACGAAGGATCGATGAATACGGGTCATTATACGAATTTCAGCAAGTGGAGAGGCAGCTGGTACAAATTTGACGATGATAAGGTGACACCGACGACGGAAGGGGTTGTGCTTGGGGCAAGGGCGTATCAACTGTGTTATAGGAGGAGGGTGTTGAAAAATGTTGTTAGTTCGAGGTCGCAGTCTCACACCTAGACGATGCTACATCAAGGGAAGCTGCGATCCCAAAGTAGAAGTGGACATCAGACTCTGTGCAACACTTCAATATACTCTGACTCGTGAGGCTAGCTGATGTTTTGTGTTTCCTGAACCTGATATAGACTTGCGAGCTCTGGTGTGTGTACAAGGCGCGGTGACTTGCTATGCGTAGTTGATTCCCACGCCTTCTCTTGAAGCATACAACGCGCACGTCAGAAGCTTTTGGGTTGGACGATGGCGGGGCCCACACCATATTAGGGGCTGTAGAACAGAATCGGGATCGGCTCTTGTGACGAGGGTTACAAACAACCGAAGCAAAAAAGTTGAAGATACGTTGGAATTTCCAGGGTTTATCCGGGATGCCGACAGGGCGAAGCTCGTGAAAGAATATGCCGCTTATTCACGAGCTTATTCAAAGCAAAATGACGACAGAGCACAGACGTTATTTCTCCGCAAACACACACACACACGCACGGAATCACCTGAGCGAAGGGAAGAGGGGATCCTTCATCACACCCTTCCCACCATTCACTATCCACTTCACTGCTTCGTCAGACCGGCTAGTCATCATCGACACCATCATACAACGACATCTCGATCAAACCTATCTTCATTCTACTTCGTGACCGAATCAACCGCCGACTTTTAAGCGCATCACACATCTCAATTGTTTCATCTGCCTCACGCTCACGTATCATCCGAAGTTCGACACTAGACTCAGCCACACGAGCATATATAGGTTGAACAGCATAGAACCCGGTATCTCGACATCTGCATCGCTCAGTAACCCTGCGAGCTAGGGCACACAACAAAGCAGCCAGTGTCTTCTTAAAACGAACACGCGATTGCTCTCAAGACACCGTCTCATCGCCTTGCATGACCCGCTTCTTGACTCAATAGACAAATATGGACGCTCAGCGACAGCCTCTTCCCGGGCCCAAGGATACCGACCACAGCTCTTTGCACTCTACCCACGCCATTCCACATTCGGCCTCCGAGCCTCCCAACTCCTCTTCCTCCACCTCTTCGAATGACCCCTTACATGTCGCAGCTGCAGTACATGAACACGCCGACGGCGATGCTGTTCCACCATCTCTGAAGAAAGATGAGCTCTCACCACCGCCGCAATCACCCATCGCACAGGAGGCATCCTCAACCCTGCGGCCCACAGGGCCATCACGGGAACGAGAAGTAGCAACCTACACCGCCGCCGCAGCAGTCCGGGGCCGCAACCTGGACAAGCATGGCAACTTTGACTCTGACTTTGATCCTAATCCTCGGCCCTCGCTTGCTTCATCCGCTGGATCGCCTGTGACTTTGATCAAGAATTTGCCCGATGCCCTCAATACCACCATCACCGCTCCCGGCCGCACTCTCGACACGATCAAAGCAAAACTTCAGGCACCTAGCACGGGGCAGAAGAGTAAGAGTGATATTCCTAGCTCGATAGCTCAGATCGAGCATGATTTGCGGTGCAACCAAGAAGCGCCGGGTAATTTGAGTCCGATCAAGTCTCCTACCTCCCCTGCAGCGAAGGTGGGGGATGCGGAGAAGGATGGCAAACCGGCAAAGTCGAGTTCGTTCAGCTCGTTGTTGGGGGGTAAGAACAAGAAGTCCAATCCAGTTTCGGTGCTGATGCAGAGAGGACCGAGGAAGTCAGAGTCTAGTGCGAGGCCTGACAGTGCGCTTTCGCCGCGTCGCAAGGGAAGCGGTGTCTTGGAGGAGGGCGATGGAGAGCAGGGACAAGGGAACCGGTTGAGGGAGGAGGAAGAGGAGGAAGATGAAGGGATTGTGAGGCAGAGAATTAAGGATCAACAGAAGCGATTGGAGGATTTGGATGAGGCACAGACGATGGGGTTGTTACGTACTCAGCAGGAAGGAGGGATTGAACCGCCTGGGTCGCCTTCTTCTCCCACTGCAAAGCCGTCTTGGCCGGTTGCTTTGCCGTTGTTTGGTAATAAGCATGGCAAAGCCAAAGACGAGAGTGCGGATGCAGGTGAAGAAGGTTCTCGAGGACGAAGTGATACTCCACATCGAGCCAATTCCGAAAAGCTCAAAAGCACAATCAATCGGTCGCAAAGCCATGGTCGATCGGCTTCTGCCTCACGAGCAGCTCGCAGCAGGAGCCGCCCTCGCGAAGATGGAACACCTCGTCGTCGCGGTAGCGGAAAACTCGAACCACCTCAACGCAACTCCACCACCTGGACCTCGAAACTCCGCACTAAAATCCCTATCAAAGAATTCCCACTTCAAGGAAGCGGTGCAGAATCCGAATTCAACCAAGAATGCCCCCTTTGGGCACGTCAACCGTGGAAGTACCTCTACTTTTCTTACTTTGGTCTCAGCGTCGGCTTCTTCTACCTCCCGCGATGGGCTATTACCTCCGCCTTCCCGTCGCATAGAGGAAGGAAAGATTGGAGCTGGAAGAAAGCGACAATGGTCAAACTGTATCGGCATGGGACGCAATTAACGTTCAGAACGAGAACAAGTTTGGGGAGGGATCTGCAGAAGGAGGTGCCGCATAGCAAGACTGTGAGGTGTAAGTTTACATGGGTTGATCCCGTGGGGGAGGAGGACGTTAGGGGTGAGTTGAGGAGGGCGATGGTTATGCAAAAGGTACAGCCGCAGAGGACGTGTGGATTTTGGTATGGGGATGTGGCTGAGCAGGCTAAGCATAGGCATAGGCATGGGTTTATGAGTAGACACAGACATGGAAGTAACCAGACCGGGGCGAGTGATACTCCGATGCAGGAGAATGGAGTCAGTCCGGGGGTTGAATCGAGTGCTAGTTTCGGTGCAGGATCAGAAGGAGAACTAGGAGAGGCGAAGGGAGGGGTTGGAAGACCGGCCGAACCAGGGGAGAAAGTACTGTTTCATCTTCATGGTGGAGCATATTGGATTGGAACTGCGCATGAGAAGGATGTGACTGCTGCGGTTAATACTGAGCCTCTACGATACATGGCAGAGATTTACAGGGCGAAAGAGGCACAGGCGAATGTTGCTTCGTCTTCATCTTCCTCCTCGTCCTCCGGCTCTACTCCCTACCAAGGCAAGCTCTTGCGATCGTTCAGTTTGGACTATCGACTCTGCGTTCCTGGTCGACCTCGGGCAGGGTCTTACCCAGCTGCACTCCTCGATGCGCTTTCCGGCTATCTTTACTTAGTTCGCCAACTAGGGTTTAAGGAAGAGAACATCATTGTTGCTGGTGATTCTGCCGGTGGGAACCTCGCCCTTGCTCTCTGTCGTTACCTTCGCGACGAACGTGAATCTATCGCAAAACAACCAGGAAGTTTGTTGCTGATGTCACCATGGGTAGACGTATCTCGTTCGCACTCCGGTCCCACCGGTGCACCCAACCTCGACTCCACCGTTTACACCAATCAGAAGTCGGATATTATCAGTAGCATGTTAGCCTTCAGAAACACTGCTGTTTCGGCCTTTCTCGGCGATCTTCCGGCCAGAGAAACCTATAGGAACCCTTATATCTCTCCAGTTTCGCTGCAACTTCCGCTGGAACGAGGGGGTAAAGGACCGCATTACGGATTCCACGGGTTCCCCAAACGGATCTATATCACCTCTGGATCAGCTGAAATCTCTTATGATCAGCACTTAACTCTCGCACATCGACTCGCAAGTGGTACGAAAAAGGGAAGGCCAACTTACACAGGAGACAAACTCTCCGCTGGTTGCAATGCGCGCGAGATGGCCGAACGAAGGAACAGACCCAGACCAAAGGAAATGTTGGACTCTGAACAAGGGGAGATCGGGGTCAAACCGCAAGGGTATGATTTGAAGCTTACTCAGTCTCCGCAGGGTGTAACGGAGGGGGTTGCGGAGGGTGTTGCGGAGGGTGTGATTGATGGTGAGCCAAACCACTCCACTGTAAAACAGCAGAATGGACCCCAAAATGGAGGAGAGGGTAATGGAGAGGGTAAAGGGAAGAGACCGGTAGCTAACCCACCCCCTGAGCCGGAGGATAGGGAAGATAGAGAGGTGATCTTTGATGAGGTTAAGGATGCAGTTCATGACTATTTGTTGTTCAAATGGTTCGAACCGGAGAGATCGGGGACTTGGAGGAGGATTGCGCGGTGGATTGATGAAGGTCCTTAGCCTCTCCCCAGCAGTAGAAACACAGCACTTTCTTCAATGCTCAATCTTGTCAAGATGGTGATTTGATTGCGGCTGTATGCTCTGTGCTGGGTATCGTGGGTTGTGTAGTGTACAGTGGTACGGTGTGTCTTTGTTGTACAGTGAGGACTAAGGTGAGGATGACCAATCTAAAGACACGGCAGGAGGAGATGATTTCCAATCATCTATCTCTTCATCCCATTCTGTGGCCAAAGCGCCGTAGTAAGCAGTTAAGCTAGAGAGCTTTGTGCCCTTATTCACGTACTGATACTCCACCTTGACCTTCTCGTCTCTCTCAGAGGCATCTGAAGCGGGTAGCAGGGAAGCGAGCTCGGATAGCTGGGCGAGGGAAGTGTTTCGTGGAAGATAGTAGGCGATGTTTGATGTGCGGAAGGATAAAGATACGCGTCGGAACAGCTCACGGCCGTGAATCGGCTTAATTGCGCTGAGGGAGTATTCGTTTCCCTCTGTTGCCGCCGCAAATGCTGGTGAGTCGGTGGTAGAGGTGGGTACTGCTGCTGCAGAGGCATAATTAACACCACCCCAAGGCGGAGACAAGAAAACCGCCTCCACTGCCTCGAGATCTTCGGCTGTCAACCCATTCCATACCTCGCCCTCTTTTCCCTTGCCTTTTCCCTTCCCACTCCTCCACTCCTCCAGTCTATCCAGCAACTCCATACTATCCCCTCTCACAAACCATATCCTCTCCTCAACGCCATACACCCTGGCATTCCACCTGGCCAACCTCAATTTGACCTCATCGATTTCTACCGCGATCACCTTCCCACACGTCATCGCGAATTGGATCGCGTTTCCCCCAGCACCAGCGAATAGGTCGATAATGATGTGATCTGTTGCGCAGCGTTTTGCGATTCGGAAAGCGACGGATTCGGGTGTGATAGAGTACCATGATTGTTCATCCAACAGACAGCCGGATGAGTAGAGGGAGAAGAGGTCGAACCGGTGTCGCCAGTATTTGAGGAGTGGTGCGGGGATTTGTGAGGGGTGAACGAGGGAGTGGGGGAGAAGGAAGAGGTAGGAAGGGTCGGTGAGGTGGGTTGGGTCCAGGTCTGGGTGGTATGCTGAGAGGTTTAGCTGTTTGCTCTTGGCCTTGTTGTGGGTGGAGTGAGCGGAGGAGGGGGAGGGTGAAGCTGGTTTGAGGTGGCGGGCATGGGCTGCGATTGAGGTTAGTTTACGCTTCTTTGCCATCTTCAACAGCTTTTCTGACACCCTCTGTGGATGATGCTATCTCGCAAAAGCTGGTGTAGGGAAGGACTGGACTGAAGAGAAAGAAGTGTCACGAGAAGAAGAGTAGAAAAGTGACAACTACAAGTTTCGGATGTCGGGAAACCCTTGTGGAGGAGTTGAAGATGCGACAGAATTAACAGAAGGATTATCCGAGCATCGAGCAAGCTGAGGGTTGGCAAATGAGGTGCATGAAGGCTGAGTGATGGAGGCTGAGCCACATGATAGGCCAAGCAACATGCATGTGGGATGCATGCTAATTGGACCAGCAACTAGTTGAGAGTTCCATTGGAAAGATAGCATGCAAAACACATGACTGTTTTGACTGGACCAAAACAAGTGCTAGGAGTGATCATAAGGTATATATAGACATGTAGTTACACCAATACATTGAGAAATGACCATGCATTATCTACACCATTCACCTGTGTGTAAGGAGCTAGACTGTAGCTTGGACAAAGTGGTGCACTGTATAATAAACTTCAACTGATTAAGAGTCTGAAGTCATAGCTAGACAACAAATCAACTAACCATGGTTGAAGAGAATGATCCTCAAGCTGGTGCCAGTGAGATTGCCAAGAGATCAAAGTGAGGTGGAAAGAAAACAATCACCATATGACAAGCCCAAGCCGAGAACATAGCCAATGAAGGCATAGCCAATGAAGAACTAGGCTCCAACTCTGACAATGACAATGTTGGTGACTGATACAACTTCCACACTCTGGTGAAGCTCCTCAAACCCATACCCAAGTTGACCACCCAGAACTACCATAGCTGGAGTGCACACATCAGGTCTTTCCTCCAATCAGTGCCACACACCATGGAGCACCTCGAAGGAACATACAACACAAGTCACCCAAGATGGAGCCATGCCTTTGATGATGCCCTGACCAACACCACCTGAGGCACCATTGATGCCACAGGAGAATACAATGTCAATTACATCCTCCTTGACACCATCAAGGAATATTTAACCTTCAATCAAGTTTGGAAGAGAATCAAAAATGGTTTGGGCAGCAAAGCCACCAGGAACTCCTGTCAACTCACCCTCATCACTCAGCTGGGTGATGTCAAGATGTTTAACTCTGATGCTCAGAAACTCATCCAGGAGATCAGGACTATACAGGTGGAAAGCAGCATCCTGGGTAAGCCATTTGCAGAAGACACTCTGTTCTCCACTCTCCAGAAATGCATGATCTGGCACCCCATGTATAAAGACACCATTGCCACAGTCCACCATCTCAACTTTGATGCCCTTGCCATTGCACTCAGCATGTGCCAGTTGGCAATTGAAAGTGTACCTGCACAGAAGTGGGACCCCTGGCAAGCCAATGCTAGAATTGCTGGCAGCACCAAGAAAGGCAATTCAGCCAAAGAAGCAGATGCCAATGATACCAGGGCAACATGGAGCAAAAACTGCAAGATCTGTTGCTATGTATGCAAGCAAATCAGACATGGAGCCAAACAGTGTGATGCCTCCATTAGCATTCCCAAGAACTCCCCTCTTACCAAATCAGATTAGGAAATCTGGTACTCTCTCACTCCCGGTTGGAAGAGGCCCCAAAATCAAAAGGATACAGCTCACTGGATCCTAGATTCTGGAGCTAGCTTTCACATGGCTAATGACTACAGCATCATCATTAATCCAAAGACTTGCCAGAAGTGTGTTTTCACTGCGGGAAGCGAAATTTTGGAGGCAACAGCTGTAGGAGATGTCAACATATCAACTGAACATGGAGACATTTTCCTCCAGAACATTTTGTATGTTAGAAATCTCAATGTTAATCTATTATCAACCAACTCCCTAATGGATGAAGGAGCATGAGTGATTTTAGACCACATGGGTGGACAAATACATCTAGCAAATGGAACACTACTCAAAATATCAAAGGATGGTGACTGCAGACTACTAGAATTGCAAGGAGACACATGGTGACAGAGAGTCATGGTAACATCAACCCAACCATTCAAAGGTGTCAGCAAGAACCATGAGCAAATCAATACAAAACCCAGAACTTTCATACAGCAACTCTGGCATGAACATCTAGGACATCCAGGTCAAGACAAGGCTAGAGTGATTGTTAAGAAGTTAGCTGATCAAATGACAATGGAAATGGACCCAGATACAGCTCTGACATGTGAGCAGTGTATACAGTCCAAAAGCACAATTGCACAAATGGGGCAAGGGAGTGGGGAAAGGGCCACTGCTCCACTTGATCTTGTACACATAGACTTGATCATTGACTTGTTGCATGCCACAGAACACACATGCATGCTGGTGTTAGTGGATGATCATAGCAAGTATGTGTATGTACAGCCACTGTTGCATAAGAATCAAGCCTTTACACAACTCAAGAGAATAGTCTCCTTCCTTGAAACATAGATGGGAAGAAACTTGAAAGCAATCCGATCCAATCAAGGGACCAAATGGAAAAGTAATGAAGCTCTGGAATGGTTGCTAGACAAAGGAATAGAGTGGCAAGCGACTGTGGGGTACAACAGCAAACAGAACGGCCAGGTAGAAAGAATGAATAGAAGTCATACCAAAGGCCAAGCGAGACAATGTGAAGTTAGATCAACACACAACTGCTGCTATATTCATAGGATATAGTTTAGAAAGAAAAGGATGGTTGTTCTATAGCCCAGATTATAGACCTAACATATTCTGGAGTAACTTGGCAAAATTCTTGGAACCCAAACACTGGACAGACTGGACTGAGTGGCGACCAATGAATGTGTCACCACCACTGACTTTAACAGATGAAGAAGACCCCAATGATCTATGGTACTCAGAAGAAAACCTGTTTGACAAAAGCAATCAAGAGTCATTGGATGAATACACAAACATGGATCCAGACCAAGAGGCTGACAATCAGACAAGTCACAAGGCTTGGACAAACAACAATACATTTGGATTAATGGCAACAAGTGCCAACAAAGGAAGGATAAACCTTGACCCAACCATTAGCAAAGCATTGGCCAGACTGGACAAAAGATTATAGAAAGAAGCAATGTGAAAGGAGTTAGATGGATTAGAAGCAATGGACACATGGGTGGTCACAGATCTTCCAGCTGGAGTAAATACCATTGACACCAGATGGGTACTCAAGATCAAGACTGATGCAAATTTAGTGCCAATGAAATTCAAAGCTAGACTGGTAGCACAAAGATTTACCCAGAAGGCAGGTGTGGATTACACAGAGATATTTGCCCCAGTAGCCCCAATTCAGTTGATCAGAGGAGTATTGGTGCTTGCTGTGGTACAAAATTGGGAAGTGGATACAATTGATGTTAAACAAGCATACTTAAACTCAAGCTTGCATCATGATGTTTACTTGCAGCCACTGGTAGGAACCACAGTACCACCAGGAAAAGTGCTTAAGCTCATGAAGGGACTATATGGTTTGAAACAATCAGGGTGAGAATGGAATGCTGAGTTAGACTCGCATCTTAGGAGCATTGGTTTTCATTGTATGCCAAGTGCCCCTTGTCTGTACACTAGGGGAATGGCAGATGATATCACAATCATTACAGCATACATAGATGACATGCTTATAGTGTCACCAAGCCAAAATGAAGTGGATTGCACCAAAGGAGAGATTATGAGAAAGTGGGGGACACAAGATAATGGATCAATCAAGGAATTTCTGGGCATCAAGATCACTCGAGACAGAAAGCAGGGTAGCATATCACTGGATCTAATGGCATATATACAGGTGATGGTAAGCAAATGGCTAGAGCAGTCTAATGATAAGTCCTGGGTACCTCTGCAGAACATAGCTGACACCATGAAAGGAGATAACTGCTTGCCATCACAGAGCAAGAAGTATCAGGAGCTTGTTGGACAACTACTGTGGGTATCCAACACCATATGACCAGATATCACTTTCACAGTGGGAATTTTGGCATGACACATGTTGACACTGACAGACAGGGCATGGAAGGTGGCAATCCATGTGCTCAAGTATCTAAACCAAACAAGTGAGTACTGACTATACTTGGGAAGGAAGTCAGGTGATCACACAGATGAGGCAGTGATGATGTACACAGACACAAATTGGGCATCAGATGCCACCAATGGAGGGAGAAGTATGTCTGGGGTGATCACATACATTTACAGATGTCTGGTGAGTTGGAGATTGCATGTGCAGAAATGTGTGGCACTATCAGCAGTAGAAGCAGAATTTGTGGCAGCATCCAAGGCAGCATGAGAAGCCCTCTTCTACTCCTACCTGTTAAGGGATCTAGGAATAGAAGATGTCAAACCAGTGCTTTGAACAGATAGTCAAGGATGCATCCAAGTCAGCAAAGATCCAGCCAAACACTGGAAACTCAAGCACATTGACATGTGGTATCACTTTGTAAGGGACCATATGCAAGAAGGAAACATATTGATTGAATTCATGGGCACAATCAACAACATAGCAGACATCCTAACAAAGCCATTGAAGGGAGTGGACACATCCTGATTAGCCTGATCCATAGGACTGGTAATGCTGTCAAAGGGGGGAGTTGAAGATGTGATGGAATTAACAGAAGGATTATCTGAGCATTGAGCAAGCCAAGGGTTGGCAAATGAGGTGCATGAAGGCTGAGTGATGGAGGCTGAGCCACATGATAGGCCAAGCAACATACATGTGGGATGCATGCTAATTGGACCAGCAACTAGTTAAGAGTTCCATTGGAAAGATAGCATTTGAAACACATGACTGTTTTGACTGGACCAAAACAAGTGCTAGGAGTGATCATAAGGTATATATAGACATGTAGTTACACCAATACATTGAGAAATGACCATGCATTATCTACACCATTCACCTGTGTGTAAGGAGCTAGACTGTAGCTTGGACAAAGCAGTGCACCGTATGATAAACTTCAACTGGAGGCCAACATTTTTTTCCTTTTTTTTTTTTTTTTTTTTTTTTTTTTTTTTTTTTTTTTTTTTCCCCCTTTGGCAAGTGTCGTATCTTACGATCTCACATTCTATTGAGAAAAGCGCGCTAGAATAGGCAAGTTCAGCAACACTCGATTAACAACGACGCCAGTAGTTGTGATTTCCAGTGCCAGCTCATTCTCATCGCCCCCACATGCTTGTGCCTCATCATTCATCCATGATACCCCGCTGAGACGTACTTTCTGCCGAACGATGAAGAGATTGAAACCAAATAAGTGTGAAAGAGAGGAAGGGGGTGCGAGTGCGAGGGTGTGCATTCAGGCTGCACATTTACGCCGTGTTTATGAAGCGCAGTGGATTCGAGTTGAACAGTGCGGCAATACTTGAGAGACTCCTATTTTGGCGCAAGTGCGCTCTCCCGCCCCTGACTGAAGCGCAGATGCAGTTCTGCGGCCAGCCCCTTGTCTCTATTGTTTTATACAGCCGAAACCTACACTCTCACAGCTGAGCCGACACTTGTTTCGTTTTGACTCTCATCCACCTCCATCTGTCTGTTCTAGCATTCCTCTCTTGGCATTTCGACTTCTTCTCGCCACTCACACCTTCAAGCATTCGCAGCAGGTACATCATTGGATCTTGCAAGACTTTGCAGCCGCCAATCCGGATAACACTCGGCAATAACGAGCGTCACTAGTCCACTGCATTGCGCATTCGGCTGATCACCTCGAGCAAGCTCTTCTTCTCGCCGCAACAACATCAAACTACACCCCTCGCTGACAGAAACGGTTCAACTCAGGCTCCTTCTCAAGCCTCGACTCCCAACCTTTGCCGCATCCGACCTCCAGACCGCTTCCAACCTTCTTCGGCTGGAGGCGCCCTCCATCACCATCCCGCTTTATCTCCAGTAACTGATGCCACCAATGAACTTCATCTTCAAATCGAAACCACGCACACCCCAGGAACTCGTCCGTCATCTCCGAGACACAATCCTTCGTCTCGACTCCACCTCCTCTCCCCTTGGCGGATCTACATCTTCTAACTCGCTTCATTCGAACTACACCTCTAACGGATCCTCCACTTCGGCTGGTTCTTCTTCTATCACCTCGTCTTCCTCTTCTAGCTCGGAAGCGAGAAAGAAAGCGGTAGATGAAATCTCGAAAACCCTTTGCCAGGTGAAAACGATTTTGTTCGGAGATGGAGATTCGGACCCGCAACCAGAGCTGGTTGCGCAACTGGCACAGGAGGTCTATTCGCACCATGTGCTGCAGTTGTTAGTCGCACATATTGCAAAGTTCGAATTCGAAGCGAAGAAGGATGTTTCTCAGATCTTTAACGTTTTACTCCGTCGACAGATCGGGTCTCGCTCGCCGACAGTGGAATACCTTGCCACACGACCAGAAGTGATCTTCCTCGCTCTCAAAGGGTATGAAAACCCCGAAGTAGCACTGAACACAGGAATGATCCTTCGCGAAATGCTACGTCACGAACAACTAGCCAAAATCCTCCTCTACTCCGAAAAGTTCTATACGTTCCCAGACTACATCGAAACGACCACCTTTGGCATCTCTTGTGACGCCTTTTCCAATTTCAAAGAGACGCTAACCCGACACAAACCCATGGTAGCAGCTTATCTCGAATCCAACTACGACCGATTCTTCGCAACATACACCACCTTACTCCAATCACCTAACTACGTTACCAAACGACAATCCCTCAAACTTCTCGGCGAGATCCTGCTGGATAGGACAAACTTTACCGTCATGACCCGCTACATTTCCAGCGAGGAGAATCTTAAAATGATGATGAACCTCCTTAGGGACAGAAGCAAGAACATCCAATTCGAAGCCTTTCATGTGTTTAAGGTGTTCGTTGCTAATCCCAAGAAGCCGCCGGGCATAGAGAGTATTTTGAGGAGGAATAGGGAAAGGCTGGTTAAATTCTTGGCCGATTTTCATAATGATAAGGATGATGAACAGTTTGTTGATGAGAAATCGTATGTTGTGAGTATTATTGAGGCTACGGGCAAGACAGCGCCACAGGGTGGTGCCGGTGCCGGAGGACAGGCTATTGGTGCAAAGTAAGGTCGAGCGTGAGTTTGTTCTGTCTTTTGTTCGTGGTTGATGTTTCGTAATGCATGCTTTCATCCGCATCTCGCTTTTTGTGTTTGTTTGTGTGGTGTGATCACTTCAGCAAACGTATGAGTTCTTTGTGGCTTGAGCAAAGCCGCAATGGGCGGTTAAGAAGGTTGAAAGCAGATTCATGTGCAAGCAAGGCAGGCTTCTTGTGCCTTTCTCCATTTCACTCGTTGCTGTGTCTCATTCACATCTCAGCTGTCCAGACTCTTACGACATTCAGTCACACCAATCTTAAAAGCACAAGAACATCAGAAAAACGAGGTTGTGCACCCAACTTCCTACTGCCATATAGACTCGTAAGTTTACATGGCGATATGGTGATCACCCACTAGCAATGAGCGCAAAAAGCTCCTCCCCCAGTACACCATCCAACTCGTTCGTCCCCGCAAGAATCTCTCTCACCCCCTCCTCTTCCCCCAACAACAACCCAACTTGCTTCTTCCCCACCCCCGCACTCCCCGCATCCCCAAAGCCAAACCCTAACAGGGCAGGAGCACCAAACATATCTTCCCCATCACTAATCAATCTCAGCGCCTCCACCAATCTCCTACACAAAACACTGAACGGATTTCTACTAAACTCCGGCGTAGCTCTCGCCAATTTCTTTACTATCCTTAGCACAATTCCTGCCAAACCCGGAATCTTTCCGAGTTGAAGTTTGACCGGAGGTGGAGCAAGGAAGGCAAGATTGTAAAGTGACATCGCCAATCTCTCGTTGTACCCTAACCGATGTTCGGTATTGAGAACTTTGAAATCCGATTCTGTCATGGGAAGCATTCGAATCATTTCGCTTACGAGCGTTTCGATGTCGGAGCCTGGAAGGATGTGCGAGAGAATTTCACGGTTGTCATCTGGCAAAGCCAACTTTGAGAGCGCGTCAAGGGCTAGGTCTGCATGGTATGGGATACGACGGATTACTGGAGGGGTTGGCCCACCGGGTGGGAGGGTTGCAGCGAGTTCGGCGAGTTCGGCTGCATGATCCATTTCTTCCACTTCTGCGGCTTCCAGGATAAAGGATGCGAGGAGGTGGAATATTGTCAGCACTGTCTCTCGGTCTTGGGTGCCGAGCGAAAGTGTTTCTCCTGCGAGATTTGAGACTATTACTAGGACTTCCTTGCGAACACGAAGTGCTTCGAGGGTGGTGAACACTGTCGCGCCTAACCCCTCTTGCACCGCTGCTGCTGCAGCTCGATCCTCCGCATCCTCATCCTCCTCGTCATCACCCTGTGCTGCTGAACGAACCCTTTCAGCATCGATCGAACATAACCTCGCCAGAACCTGCAAAAGTCTCGGAGTGTTGTTGAAAAAGTAAATGTTCTCCGGCATGGCGCTGAAGTTCTTGACAATCGTTAAAATCGTCAGTGCCAGAACTGCTTTCTTCTCCGTCGACCTCTCCTGCTCGCACAGCACTCCATTGGTGGAAATCGTGCCATCAAGCGCAACGTCGGTGCCAACAGAAAGAGCGGAGGAAGAAGCGAGCGAGTCAATGTCGCTTCCAACGCCACCATTGAGAATGCTCCCTGCAGCAGATCGCGAGCGGGTAGCTTTCCTTCGTGTCCAGATCTTGAGTTCCGCTTCTTCTTCGGCTGCAGCTGCGATCCAGTCGCGATACGTCGGTAACCCATCGAGACCACTCTCCCTTCGCAACCGGTTCGAGGGTCGACGAGAAGAGCTCGAATGGCCATTCGCGCCGTTACCGAACAGAAGCTGATCCAGACCTTGCGACGCGCTAGGATCCTCATCACCGCTATGGGTCTGGAAAGCAGAAGCCTCCAACAAGTCCAACAACTCCTCCAGCAGATCCTCACAAGACTGCAGACCGAACTGGAAATTAGGCGCTGCACCAACACCGGCTGACAGGATCAAAAGCGTGTTGAGCGCATACGACACCTCGAAATCCAGTCGCGAACGCAGGGACATGATCAACCCTTGCACATCCACCAAACCCAGCTCGCGCAAGGTCCTTGGTCGACCACGCGAAAGCATCGCTGGTGTATACTGGGATTCGACGAGCGACAAGTCCCATCCACCATGTGTGTGAACGTCGCGACGAATAGGTAGGTACACGATCTTGTGCTTCTGCGGTGGTGCAGGGGGGCCAACAGGCTGTTGTGTACCCGGAACCAACTGCTTCTCTGGTTGGGGTTTCGGTGGGACTGCGGCTGGAGCTGCTGGAGGAACACCGACGGGAGGCTGAACCATAGCTCCAGGACCAGCCATCGGATCGCCAAGCTGAGGCATCGGTGGCTTCACATCCAGACCTGTAGCTGCTTGCAAAGGCAAAGGTGTCGAGACGTTGCTTTCGGTCTTCTTGCGTTTCTTTTTTGATGGTTTGGCTTCAGGTTTCGAGATAGCGGTGGGCGTCTTGGGACCTGCACCGTTGACACCTGCTTGCATCTTTGTTGGTGATGCAGGTATCCCCGCTGGCGGCTGCGAAGGCCATTGGGGCACACCCTCCGCTCCAGGCTGACCCGCAGGAGATTGCTGCTGTTGCGTAAGCATTGCAGCAGGGTCGTTGAACAGTCCTGGATGCGCTCCGGGCATCGTGCCAGGATGATCTTGACCTGGTGCCGGTGATGCCTGACCAGGCACGCCTCGTTGCGCTCCTGACATGCCTGCTTGTGCTGAGCCTGGTGCAGGTGCCATGCCGGCGAAATCTTGTGGAGTCTGCTGTTGTTGCGGTTGCTGGAACTGACCTTGCTGCTGTTGCTGTTGTGTCAGATCAGTCGGCGCACCTGGTTGCTGCTGCTGCTGCTGTTGTTGTTGTTGTTGTTGTTGTTGTTGTTGTTGTTGTTGTTGTTGTTGCTGCTGCTTGACCATCATCTGCCGTGTGGCTTGCTGCATAGCAACGAAACGCTCTCTTGCCTGCTGAGAAGTGATGCGACCTGAAGCTACGAGCTGCTGCAATTGGACCATCTGCGAATGCAAGTTGGCTGGCAGGTTTTGCGGTGTCATCTGGCCTGGTGCAACGGGTCGGTTCTGACCTGGAGCTTGCCCTGACTGTGCTCCCGGCTGCTGCTGCTGCTGTTGTTGTTGTTGTTGCTGCGGCTGTGGTGGCTGTAGTGGCTGTAGTGGCTGTAGTGGCTGTGGTGGCTGTTGCTGTTGCTGTTGCTGTTGCTGCTGTTGCTGCTGTTGCTGTTGCTGCTGCTGTTGCTGTTGCGGTGTCTGCCCCGGCTGTCCTGGCTGCTGCTGTTGTTGTTGCATCTGCTGAGCCTGTGGGTTGTTCTGCTGCGTTGCCTGTATGTTCGGGTCCTGTACTGATGGACTTGGAGCAGCAGCAGCCGGCGAGCCGGCAGCAACACTCTGACCGCTGGGCTGACGTTGTGGCATTCGTGACATCCAGAACTGCTCGAATGCTGAAAGACGGTCACGGTAGAAGGACGAGAGACGATCCGGAACCTCACCAGGGCTGGGTACAGCGTCTGGTGCCGATTGCGTTCCGTCTGGTGGGCCAACTTTCAAGCCGAGTCGACTCGCGATGACAGCCCAGAAGCCAGGGATCTGTGCCGCACGTTGAGATCCTCCCGAGTGAATGACTGCAGCAAAGAGCGCCTGCAGCTCGATCGTCTTGGTGTCGCCTGGCAAGTTGGAAGATGCGGGGCCGACAAAGCTGAGAGACAATTGCGGTGGGAAAGGCGTTCCGCGTTGTTGCATGAAGTTGCGAACAGTGCCGACGAAGTCTCGTTTGGCGCCAGGCGGACCTCCACCAGTGGCCGAACTAGGCGCTGCCATCTGTGCTGGGTTGAAGCTTGGTTGTGATGTTTGTGCTTGTGTCGGTTGTGCCTGTTGCGACTGCATGTTGGGTTGACCGAATGGCGGCTGCTGTTGTTGTTGTTGTTGTTGTTGTTGTTGTTGAAGCTGATTCAGGTCATTGGATGACGTGCCAAACTTGTTCGGATCCATACCGATACCATTCATGCCTTGTTGCGGTTGCATCTGACCGAGTTGAGCTGGATTCAAGCCTTGCAACATAGGGTTCTGCTGCTGCTGTTGTTGTTGTTGTGGCTGTTGTGGCACCATGCCCATCTGTCCGGGCTGCTGTTGCTGGTTGAGTTGGGCGCCTGGTGGAATGTGTGCACCCATCGACTGGATCGCCGACTGTTCCATCATCTGCAAACGCTTCAGCTGCGACGCCAGATGTTGTTGTGCATTCGTCTTGGTCGGCCCGTCGGGCTGACTTGAGATGACGGCCCATTGTCGCTGTAGCGCGGCGATATTGCCACGTATTGACTGCAGGACGTCCATCACAGAGTATCCAGAGACGCAATGGCGCGTTGAGGTGTTGAATGGATTTGGCGATCAAAGCGAAAGAATGCCGGGGGGGGGGGATGAAGGTCAGCGTCTAGCTATGGGTCGGAATCGAAGAAGTAGGTCAGGTCATAGGTCCTCCAGGGATGGTTGGCATGAGAGTGCTGAGGTAGGTAGTGATGCTTCAAGTCTGTTGAAGGGCACGCTCCATGTGTACTGATACGAAAGCAGCTTGTCGACGTCTTCTCGAACTGGCCCGAGCGAGTGAAAGAACGACGGGAACGGAAGTGCTGGAGTCGTCGCGATCGCTCGAGATGAGTAGGAAGGTGGAGAAGGAAGCCTAACAGCTGCGTGCCCTATCGTATCGGTGGAGCGCGACGCTGACGGTCGTGTGTCAGGCCAAGGCGCGGGCAAAGGCAGGGGCGGAAGTTGGAGGAGGGGAAGGAGCTGCCAATGTGTGTGAAGAAGGCGCCGGCGATTAGAAGACCGAAGAATCGTTTAGGGATATGATGGGGTGCAAGAGCGAATTGGCGAAAGTGAGAATGACCGAGCCACGGACATTCGAGACGCGCGACGGCCGTCCAAGCCGACCCGCGATTCTTTCTCTCGAATTGCCACTGTCTCTCTGTCTGTGGACGAGCAGATTTGATTGGAATTGCCAGAGAAAAGGGTCGATTCGAGATCCGCATTCGGTCGGTCGTTCAGCGTCGCGACTGATACCCAATCGACCAAAATCGGACTGGCCGATTGGCCCGATCGAAGTCCTCTTCGCCAACCTCTCTCTGGGACCTGACCTGAAAGCCTAATGATATATGGTGGGATGCAATTCTATTGAGACTCACCTGTAGCACTTGAGCTGCGTTCTGCATTCGAGCGCCCATGTTGTTCGAGTCGCCGACAGCTGGCATAGCCACCTGACCAGCGGGAGCAGCGGGAACAGCGGAAGCAGAAAGGGTATTGGGCTGGATGCCGGCATTGAAGTTCTGCTGCTGCTGGCCTTGTGGCAAGCCAAGCGGGAACTGCAAGCTCTGCGGGTTCATGGTGCAGTGCTGTCAGTAATGGATGAGACACGTTTCTCAGATGTCGAAGCCTCGGCTGTGCCGGAAGGGCAGCTATGGATTGCGAAGAGCATGAGAAGAATGTGTCAGGGCAAGCTGTCGTCATCGTGAGCTTGAGCATGGCGGCCGGCGAGAAGGAATGAGCTCGAGGGACAAGCAAGGAAAGAAAGACAATGCACGACGCTCTCTATCTCGATCGTCGAAGGCTGCGTTCGGGATGCTTCTCGAGACGAAGGGAGGATGTGCAAGACGAGATCAATGATGGCAACAACAAGCAAGAAGGAGAAGGGACGAGAGGAGCTAACAACATGCGATCCCACGCAATGCATAGAAGCGAATGGGCTACGGCGGAGCCGAAAGCAGGGATGGCTATCGCGGCGAGTTTCTTCGAAGCCGGGCAGGATGAGTAAGGGACAAGGGAATGTGGGGTAAGAGACCGAACCAAAGCGTCCTAACCAAAGCAACCTTGGATGCCAAGGAAGCTTGCATGCGCACATGCACATACAAAAAAGGACGCAACAACAGCAGTAGCCGAAGCGGCGGTCGAGAGACGGGATGGCATGATGACGTCTAGAAGCTCAGGGCGCGGAAACGGCGTCAAGGAAAGGGACAAACAAGAGCCAGGAGGATAAGAAGAAACTGAACACGAGGAGCACGTGCAAGAGATGCGTGGACAAGGATGGTGACGCCACCATGAGATGCAGCGGCGCAAGTGGGTTGCACGGCCGGCAAAGCTGACTCGTGGCGGAGGACTCGTGGCGGAGGGAGAGAAACAGGCAGCAGGCAGGAAGGAAGGAGGTGCGGACAGAGGGACAAACATGACGATGGCAACGAAATGAGATGCAGGGGATGGAGGGAGTGGAGGGATGATCTGGGAAGTGCAAGCAAGCGAGCCAAAGCAAAAGCTGTTTGGTTGAGGGAAAGATACGTACCGGAAAGAGGGGGGGGGGCAGCCAGAATTGCCGAAGCAGAATCCCACCAACGGAGAGAGGGACGGCGGATGGTTTTTGGCTTGCGATGATAGATACCGGATCTTGTGATGAGAAACAAGTTCGGGAGTGTGAGAGAACAGAGAAGCAGTTTGAGATGGCGACCAATCTCGATCCTTCTCGTCCACGTCTGCGTTTGTGCAGAAAAGAACAGGGCCAGAGGAGAGAGAATGAGCGAATTTTTGCCTTGTGGACTGCGCAGGCGAGTGTCACCGAATTTTGCGGAAAGAGGTTCGGTGAAAGGAATCAAACCTACATCCTCCTTTGTTCCCATGCCAGTCTGAAAGCCGTCAAAGATCCGGCTCCATTGGCAACTTCGGAGGCTAACTGATAGGGGCCAGGGGGCAGGGGGCAGGGGGCAGGGGGCAATCTCAGGCGGCGTTACGGGTCAACTGGGCCGGCGCCTGCTTTCCAAGCCAATCGCAGTTGCGCATCTGCCATAATGACACAGTCACGCCCAAGCGCAAGACGACCCAAACGCTCAAGTTTAATGCCTTCCGCAGAAACCCTGTCTTTTCCGTCGTTCCTCTGGCCTCTTTTTCATCGTCCGTCAATGTCTTCCCTTCTCGTCCTGCCTAAGTCTAAGTTCCGCTTGTCCGAAACTGCCAATGACGAGAAAGGCCAACGTGTACCAAGGTGGCAGCCTGCTGTCCCAGCTCTGCCGGGTAACAGCCAACAAGAGATATCGTTCCAAGCGGACAATCAGCTCGCTTCTTCGGCGTGCTTCCTGATACTTTAGCTATCGAATGCTAGGGACAGCTTGCAGCTACAATGCTCCCAAATTCCCGCCAATGACAAGGTTGGAGAGGCCATGGAAATGGGCCTTCTGCCTCATGTGAGCTATGCCAGACAGTGATGCTGGGTCCCGATCACCGATCTTGATCAGCACAGCGGCCATCCCGATCTTTTTGATCGATCTGGCGATATGACGCGAGTTTTAGGCGCAATTTTGCTGACCTGACTTGGCAGCGCGCAAAACATCCCGGCTGCGTGAGTCAAGCGAGTACAATTGTCCAACGAGCAAATGGCAAAGGCCGCCACCACTCACATCTTCTTTCTTCTCGTCATCAACCACGTAAAACATCCTTACCTAGTGTTTGCATTCGCATCGACACCGTCAAGTACCCCCGCTACCTGTTCCTCCTATTTCCAGCAGCCTGCATTGCTCTCTAGCCCACCTCAGAGCTATCGCCAAGCCAGCTCAACATACACACATAGCCAGCAATGCTGCGCTCCATCACATCACGATCGTCGGTAGCCGCGGCAGGCCGTCTTGGTCTCGCATCGTCTCGCTCCGCACAGGCCTCTAGCTTGCTACCATCTCGCACCTTGACCAACTTTGCCCGGTCAAGATCGCAGCTTGTTTCCTCTTTCAAGCTCGCACTCCCTCAGCATGCTTTGAACCTTCACTCGCGGCACTATGCCACTCCTGCTGAGGGTGGTGACAAGAAGAACCGTAACCCCAAGGAGCAGGATGATGATGACAAGAAAAAGAAGAAGGACTTTGAAGAGTCAGTAGAGCGTGGTCTCAAGGAAGCACGTCAGGGCAAGGCTCGCGGTAGTCTCCCAGAGAACCTCAAGCGGTTTTTTGAGAGTGATGACAAGAAATCAACATCAAACAAGAGCAACAAGGACCCCAAAGCACGCGAGGAGGAGAACGATGTTGCAGAGCAAAAGAAGAACAAGGCAGGCAAGTCTTCAGGCGCTAATGGCTCGGCAGGCGGAGGACCCAATGGCCAGTACGCCGAGATCCGCATCAACGCCAGCACCATCCTTGCCACCATTATTTCCACCTACCTTTTCTACCGTTTCACATCACCTGATCAGCCAAGTCGAGAGATTACTTGGCAAGAGTTCCGCACCGCCTTCCTTGACAAGGGTCTCGTTGACCGCCTCGTTGTTGTCAACCGCTCCAAGGTCAAGGTTTACCTCCACTCGAACGCCACTGGCTCCATGTACCCCTCCTCTGGCAATGGTTCCACCTCTTCGGCAAGCGGTAGTGGCTACGCCGCCTACTGGTTCAGCCTCGGCTCCGTTGAGGCTTTCGAGCGACGTCTCGACGAGGCACAGCGTGAGCTTGACATTCCTGGCAACGAGAGGATCCCAGTCTCGTACCACGAAGAGATCTCGACTGCTCAAACACTTCTTCACTTTGCACCCACCTTGCTCATCGCCGGTTTCCTCTTCTGGATGTCTCGACGAGCTGTCGGAGGTGCCATGGGTGGCGGTGGCGGCGGTGGTCCAGGCGGCATCTTTGGTATCGGCAAGAGCAGAGCAAAGATGTTCAACCAGGAGACAGATGTCAAGACTAAGTTTAACAACGTCGCAGGTATGGACGAGGCCAAGGAAGAGATCATGGAGTTTGTCAACTTCCTCAAGAAGCCCGAAAAGTACAAGAAGCTCGGCGCCAAGATTCCTCGTGGTGCCATTCTCTCCGGTCCTCCCGGTACCGGTAAGACCTTGCTAGCCAAGGCTACTGCCGGTGAGGCTGGTGTGCCATTCTTGTCCGTTTCTGGGTCCGAGTTTGTAGAGATGTTTGTCGGTGTCGGTCCAAGCCGTGTCCGAGACATGTTTGCCAACGCCAAGAAGCACGCTCCTTGCATCATCTTCATTGATGAGATCGATGCTATTGGTAAGAGCCGTGGAAAGGGAGGCAACTTTGGTGGTAACGATGAGCGAGAGTCGACGCTGAACGAGTTGTTGGTGCAGATGGACGGCTTCGGCACCGAGGAGCACGTCGTTGTGCTTGCTGGTACTAACCGACCGGATGTACTTGATGCTGCTTTGATGCGTCCTGGTCGTTTCGATCGACACATTGCCATTGACCGTCCTGACATTTCGGGTCGTAAGGATATCTTCCTTGTCCACCTCAAGCCTTTGACGCTTCACTCGTCGACCGATTGCGACTTGCTTGCCGAGAAGCTCAGTACCCTTACCCCTGGTTTCAGTGGTGCTGATGTTGCCAACGTCTGTAATGAGGCTGCGCTCATCGCTGCTCGTGGTGGCGCCGAGTCGATCGAGGAGCACCACTTCGAGCAGGCTATCGAGCGTGTCATTGCTGGTCTCGAGAAGAAGTCCCGTGTTCTCTCTCCCGAAGAGAAGAAGACGGTCGCATACCACGAAGCCGGTCATGCTGTCTGCGGTTGGTTCCTCGAGCATGCTGATCCTTTGCTCAAGGTTTCCATCATCCCTCGTGGTGTCGGTGCCCTCGGATACGCCCAGTACCTTCCCAAGGAACGTTACCTCTTCTCTACCGAGCAGCTCATCGACCGTATGTGCATGACCCTCGGTGGTCGTGTTTCCGAAGAAATCTTTTTCACCACCATCACCACCGGTGCTCAGGACGATCTTTCCAAGATCACCCGTATGGCCTTCGAAATTTGCGCTTCTTACGGTATGAACAAAGAACTCGGCCCTATCTCCTATCGCACCGAACAGGAGTCGATGCACAAGCCTTACTCTGAACGAACTGGTGAAATGCTCGACTTTGAAGTGCGCAAGATGGTCGCCGAAGCTCACAAGCGTACCACCCAGCTGCTTACTGATCGCAAGGCCGATGTTGAGAAGGTGGCAAAGCTCTTGTTGGAGAAAGAAGTGATTACGAGAGAGGATATGAGGAACTTGTTGGGTCCTAGACCTTTCAGTCATGCAGATGAGGCGGATCAATATCTGGATAAGAAGGGCAGGTTGAAGAGGAAGGGTGAGATCAGTGCTCCTCCTCCGCCGCCTGAGGATTTTCCTACTCCCGGGCTTGCTAGTAAAAAGGTCGAGGATAAGCTTTAGATCACCTCTCTTCAGCACAACGGTTTCGTCGTAGTATCCGCGCCACCATTCTTCCTCACTCATTGCTGTCTCCCTGTATTCTTATAAAGTTTCGGGTTTCAATTTCCAACATGACAATGCAGTTTTTGGAACATACACACAGATTCAGAGGGAGAGACAGAAATGTATTGCACCAAATCGAAGACCGAGATACGAAAAAAGCAACACGAAAGCATGTGACGGAAGAACAAACAAGATGAAGCGAAACGATGAATGATGAAAGACATAGGATGCGTGATAGAGCATACAGACAAATCAACTTCTAGCGATGAATTCAAGGGGCCGACATCAGCGAAGATGAGACGCTTTACCTCGACCCTGGTCCCGTGGCGAAGCTTGGGGGCGGTGACAAATGCTCATACTCTCCCACTTCTTTACGGCTGAGCCTACGACCGAAGCTTCCCCTAGGATCTTGTTTCCTGCTGCAGCGGATTTATTGTGGTGATGGATGGTGTTTGTGAGGTCCTGAGAGACCGCCTCATTCAAACCGAGGATTCGTTTGGAGGTTGAAGAGGAAGGCATGCCCACTCCAGGTGCTGCCTCTAGTTCGGAAGGGAAGGTAGGAGAGTAAAGTGAGAACTGCGAGTCTAGTCTTCTCTCAAACCCTACTACCTCTACCTCCCGTCGCTGCTGCTGCGGCTCCTGTGTAGCAGGTTGGAACTTGGCATGGGCGCTAGAAGCGACCGGGGCCGAGTCGAAGTCCCAATACCCACCAGCCTCGTCTGTGCTGGCTTGTGTTTTAGGTGAAGATCTGCCTTTTGTGGGTGATTGAGAAGAACGCATTGCGTTAGATCTCGAAATTGTCCACGGCGTACCAGTGGCTGCTTTCGCAGCCCTGTCTTTGAACGAACTCTGTGTGGCAGGAGCAGAAGGAGCAATAAAAGCCCCCGCTATGCCGTAACCCCCAGTCGCACCACTAGCAGCTGGCATCGCAGCATTCACAGGGGGCAACTGACTTGGAGCGCTCAAATAAGCCAAATCCAACGGCGGCAACAGGGGCACCTGCTTCAACTTGGGACTCTCTATCCAATCCGTCAAATGATAGGGCAACTCTACTCCCGCACCTCTCGCCAACCACATATATCTACTAACCTCCAAATGCGTATTCGAGTAATAACTTTGACTTGCTCTCCTCAACGTTCCCAGCACCTTTTCTATTCCCGATGTAAAGAGTGCTTCATGGAACTCTACCGCCGTCATTACTGGTTTGGGCAATTGATGGGCTTTCACTTGACCCAAAATCGTCGCAATAGCGTTGATAAGCCCAAGATGAACGGTGATGTAGGACATAGCTTCGAACTCGACCCCTCCTGTCATTCCACCTGGAACCTTAGGACCGCGGATGGAGTCGATGCGATCTTGAAGTTCTTCAAACCGCCAAAAACGGTTTTGAGAATGACAAAAGATCCAGAAATAATCCCTACAGATAGTGCCCAATTCCACAACGTAGGTTTTGAACGGTCGAGAGGTGTGAGTTTGCTTGATGAAGTCCACAACACTTTCTTTTGCTGGATCGCAAGGATTTTGGAGGAGCTGCAGGAGATAGTTGAGCGAAGATTGCGTGTGCGATTGCGATGCCGGCAGCTGCAGATCCAATAGGATTGCTAGCAGCTCAATCATGAGTTTTCTCGTGGAAAGATCACCAGGTCTTTTCTCCGAAAACAATAGATCAACTAGTTCTCGGAAAGGTCTGGGAGCTTGGGACGCAAGTGCTTGCCTACCAACTTCAGTGGTGGATAGGGCAACAAAGCAGCGCAAAAGTTCGTGTAGAAGCATATCATCGTGTTGTTCATCCCTCCATTCCATGGCCAGAAGCTCGTCGAGCCTGGTCAGCATCGCATCGTACCCACCGCATTCCGGACCGATGAAAGTAGAGATCCAAGCAGGCGACTCTGCTGCGAGAACAGCACGCATACGTTTGATGCGGGCAATATCGATATGGCTTGCATCGGTACATTTGAGCATCGTACCGAAGCTTTCGGGAGTTTCTTTGCCGAATGCGGTGGCAATTTCCTTGCCAAACGACATCGATCGAGGTCGAGTGTTCGTGGTGGAGGTGAGAGTGCTACCGCCGGTGACAGAGTTAGCGAGGGAGATGAACGAGCCTCCTTGACCAAGGTTGGGGGTCGACTTTTTGAATGCTTCGCGAAGAGCACTGCGAGAGGCAGAACCGGAGGATTGTTTGTTATGACCACCCCGTAAGCCACCACCAGAGTTAGAACCGGAATGGGAGGAGGAAGAATCGATAGAACCAGTAGAGACTTGTCGAGGGGACCCGGCACCAAACAGCTGGGCTGTGTCGGGGGGTGCCATCAGCTCGGCATCGTCTGCATTGGCTTGATCGAGGAGAGAAGAAGATTGGTATATCGTGGATGCGGGACGATTGCCGGCGTCGGCAGGGCGTCCATTGAGGAGTTCTGGGATGGGCATGCGAGAGGTTTTGGTTGGGGAAGACGACAAAGTGTCGTCCAGACTGAACGAAGCTAGACTGAGCGTAGCCTGACCTTGCAGCATCGAGGCTTTCACTGTTGAAGTGAGGAGAAGGAGCTTTCGTCGCAAGTCTGGTTGCACCTGGAGCTCATCGAGCATGTTGACAAAGTCAGCATCGATCTGCTCGGGAGTGCGAGTCGAAGCATCGTAAGCAGGTGCAGCGGCAGCTTGGTTGTTGAGCGTATCAGCCTTGTCTTTGCCGAAAAGGCGGCTTCGGCTGCGACTACGGCTTCGCAGACCCTTCTTTGTGGGGCTAGATGAGGAGCTGAGCTTGGATCGAGAAGTTCGCTCTGCATCTTCGGGTGAGTTGCCACGAAGACGGTACTTTGGGTCTATAGCGATAGGCTGGGCTGCAGAAGAAGAGGTACCCTGGGATCGGCCCCGTTCATGTTGTTGGTGCTGAGGCGAGAGAGGCTGATTCTCCTTGCCATACTGCTTTCCGGGGCCGGACGAGGAACAGCCAGAATGGTGTCGAGAGTATTGACCGGGTCGAATGCGACTCGATTCGATTGGGATGGCGGCGGCCATGTCGGCCAACGTTGCCTGTGATGCTACAGGCCGATAGCGAGATGTGAGAGAGAAGAACTACAGCTAATGAGGAGCGGTGCAGGTCCAAAGATGGATAGAGAAGAAGAAAACAAAGATACGAGGGCCCACTTGTTGCGTGGAGTTGGACGACCTCAAAGTTGCTTGACCAGATTAGGAAGGCCTCCAGCGAAAATGCAGCAGCTTACTGTACGCAAAAGCAGGGTTCTGCCGGGACGAGTGCGCAGCAACAAGCTATCTGTGCATCGATGTCTCTCAAACAGCAGCTGGGTCTTCTCGCAACTCCAACAACGCTCTGACCAACATCTCCAATTCGACTCCAGTTAAGGCAGCAGTGTTGCACGAGGGTGTGACTTTTGAACTGCGACTTTTCTGCGCCAAGTCAGACAACTCTCTTGCGGTAAAGTGACACTCATTTCTACGCTTCGCGAAAGACGTGTCTCGCGCCAATTTCATCACGTGCAATCCACCTTCTCAACATCCTCACTTCTGAGCGTATATCGGCTGTACTGGCAATCGTCTGTGCTCTCCGATCGAGGATGTGAGGCTGAAGCATACATGACCTGCAGATGGCGTAGAACAATGGCCAAGGCAGGAAGACTTGGCGGATAGCGAGTCTAGAGGGCAGACCAGGCCCGAAATGAAGTATGTTAAATCTGAAGAGAAAACATGTTTGCCTGGCGAGGAAAACTGCCACGCGAGCATACGCGGAGCGCGCGTCACTGCTGCAGTGCCGACATAACAAAGCACCCAAATGTCTGCGCTATTGGACGTTGACTCAACATCAACACTGACAACACTTTGACTGCTCAACTACCCCAACTACCCTTGTCCTACCTGCACTAGCTGCACAATGCTTCTTATCCGGCTCCTGTCAAGGCTTGCTCAGTGTCAAATGGAACGACCTGTTGCATCCTATGCTACACTCCGGCTCGTTTGGAGTTGACACATACTTCTACCACACCATATCTATGGCCCCACACTCTTGACGCAAGCAGCCCCTTTCTCATCCCACACTAAACCAACCAACCAACGATCAAGCATCACTGCACTACACCGCACCAAGCTCTATCTCATACCATTTCTGCATACAATCTCTCGATCCCCATTGCACTGGCTAGCTGCTCTGTCGTCGGGTCGAGCATTGTGCTGCTCACACTGCACTTCATTTTGCTGTCTAGCGCTCTTTCACTATAGCATCTCGTAGCGTCAGCAGGGTGTTCGCTAGTGTTAGCTGTACTGCGCCGTACCATTGTCTCTTGTAGCTGTATCACGCGAGCTCAACTGCATCACTGTCTTGCATCATGTTCCGTTTCCGAGCATCAACTTCATCTGTTGGCCCTCCCGCCAACCCCACCTTATCTCCCTTTGCCTCACCCGCAAAACCAAGTCAGCCAAGCCTACCCACCAGCACTTCGACTTCCTCCATGACTAGCTCAGCAACTGCTGATTTGATCCCTTCAAGCTCCAGCTCCAGCAGCAGCATCTTGTCCCTTCTCCAAGCCCACTCTTCCGCTTCAACCTCCACTTCTTCAATCTCTGCGCTCTCTCCAGCTACGTCTCTCTCTTCCCTTCCCTCTGAATGTGCCAATCTCACCTCAGAACCCTTACCTACTCCCGAACCGACCAAAGCAACCACCAGAGTACCTCGCGCCTCCACAACTACCATCACCCCTCGCAAGCAGCAATCACCACCCTCACATGCTGCTATCTCGCCTCGCAGAGCTACACTCTTAACTTCACCACGCACTTCCAGGGCTGCCACTACCCTCAACGCCCAGTCATCTCCTTCACCGAATAAATCGGCAACCCGCCGTTCTACTATCGTACATACTAGCACGGATCGCAGCAGCGCAAAGGTCGTAAACATGGCCAAGAAGGCCAAGGTGGGGTCTGCTGCTAAGAGCTCCCCCTTCACCAAGGCTAGCAACGCAGCAGAGCAGACCGACTCGAACACTGCCGCAGCAGATGCTGATGCACCCCTCGCAATCGTGACCGAAGATGAAGGTACCCCTGCCCTCGGCACCCCAGTTACGTCACAGTCCAAGTCAGCAGACGTAGCATCATCCTCGACTTTGGAGACCAAGCAGAATGTTGTCGTTTGCGTACGCATGCGACCCACCCGTTCCACCTCCACTGAAGCAGCAGTCTGGACCTGCGACCCAACCAAAAATTCCATCCTCCCCACCGAACACCATCCCGCAATCGCTAAACGCACCACCTCATCCGAACGTGCCGGCGCCTCCACCTCCATTGCCAACCACTCCACTCCCCAAACAGACGAAGATCAATCAACCTACCATTTCCAATTCGACAAACTCATTACCGCCCCTCAGACCACTGATGATATGTACCACTCCCACATCGCCCCTGTTGTCCGAGCCACGGTGGAGGGCTACAACGGAACGGTGTTTGCATATGGTCAGACTGGGTCTGGTAAGACGCATACTATGTCGGGAAGTGATGATGAGCCAGGTGTAATTCCTCGTGCTGTAGAACAGGTTTTCAGTGCGATTAAGGAAGAACAGAGTGATAGAGAGTTTCTGTTAAGAGTGAGTTATTTGGAGATCTATAACGAGATGTTGAAGGATCTTTTGGCTCCTTTGCCGCCGGTGGGGGCGAAAGACCCGCTTCGCCGACAAAAGGGGGGTCTAGTCACGCTGCTGGTCAATCTCAATCTTCGACATTGAGGATTATCGAGGATCAAAAACAGAACCGGGTGCTAATCACAGGGTTGAGCGAGGAAATCGTCACTAACTCGGACGCTGTGTTGGACTTGATCAATCGCGGTCAAGAAGAAAGGCATGTAGGTGCAACAGATTGGAACGAGCGCAGTTCGAGATCGCACTGCGTTTTCACTCTCACTATCGAATCTCGACCGCTGCACACTACAAGTTCTTCGGGTAAAGAAGTTAGGATCAGTCAACTCAACCTGATTGATTTGGCGGGATCGGAACGTGCAGCTAGCCAAGCAGAAAGACGAAAGGAAGGAGCATTCATCAACAAGTCCCTTCTCACTCTGGGTACTGTTATTGGAAAGCTCACAGAGCCGTCCGAGGGTGGCGATGCTCATGTGCCTTATCGAGACTCGAAGCTGACCCGCATCCTGCAGACCTCGTTGTCGGGCAATGCGAGGATTGCAGTCATCTGCACGCTCAGTCCCGATTCAGAGCATGCAAACGAAACGCTATCCACTCTCAAATTCGGTAAGAGATGTAAGTTGGTAGTCACGACAGCGAAAAAGGGAACTGCTATGGATGATAAGGCGTTGTTGCAGAAGTATAGGAAAGAGTTGGATGTGTTGAGAGCAAAACTAGAGGCGAATGGGCCAAGTCCCAACCCAGACAATGTTGTGGTGGTCGACAAGGTTGATCCTGCGGCATCACTCGAGTCGCAGCAAAAGTTGGACGAGTTGAACCAGCAGAGAGAGGCAGCGAAGAAGGAGGTTGAGGACATGCAAAAGAAGCGGAGCGATCTTAAAGGGCAGATCGAGCATCTGACAAAGCTGATTTTGACAAGTCAGAGTGTAGCTGCTTCGGAAAGCGGGAATGCTGTTGCTGGTCCTAGTACACCCGTCCGAAGCCGACCTGCTCATGCTCATGCGTCCGCACTAGCAAGGAGAGGACCGAGGATGAGCGACTTTGCTGGTTCCCTCTACAACTCTCCCATATCCTCTTCCGTCTTTGCTCCAACCGGCGAAGAGACGTTGAGTGGGGTAAAACCCTTCGAACTCGAATCCGAGCTTGCAGCACTTCGTCGTCAGCTCCGCACCCAAATCGAGTCGCGTCAAACCCTCATTGCAGCCCATACAGCCGAACTTGCCGCTCGCGACGCACGCGCTGCCGATTTACAAGAAGCTATCCGACTTAACGAACAAGAACTCGACGAAGCCGAAGTTGCATACGACAAGCTCAAAGAAGAACGTGACGAAGCAAGAAAGATCGCACTAAAGGAACAAGAGAAGGCGAGAGAGAACAAGAAGAAGTTGTTGGAGGAACAGGAGGCGAATCGGTTGTTGAAGTTGGTGGCGAAGGCTAGAGCTGGGGATGAGGATAAAGCGATGGAAGAGCAGATTGAGAGGTTGAGAGAGCAGTTGAAGTTGAAAGAGGCTCAAGTGGCGGATGTGAAGGAAAGATTGGAGATTCAGTTGAGGGAGGCTAGGAATGAGGTTGAGCGGGAGAGGAAGGCGAGGGAGATGGCGGAGAGGGAGAGTGAGGAGGCGAGGGAGGCAAAGATGGTGGTGCAGGGCGAGTTGGAAGCTGCGACTGCCAATGCGGACGAGTTGAAGGAGAAGCTTGCTGCAGCGGAGAACAGCTCCAACGAAGACGAGGAAGATGTCAATGCCGAGTTCCAAAACTTGGTCCGAGGTAAAGCAGCACAAGACACCGAAGCAGCAGCACGTCTCGACCAACGTTCAACCGAACTTGACGAGCGAGAAAGACAACTCGAACAGCTTCGCACCGAGCTTGAGCAGACACGTCTCGACCTCGCTGCATCCCAGCCCTCACCAACAGCAACACGCGAACTCGCATCGCTACGCGACCATCTCTCCGCATCCGAAGAGGAGCGCCAACTCCTTCAAGTTGAAGTGGCGAAACTCCGTGCTACTGCTTCTAGTCGCGAACAGGATGCCTCGAAACTCGCTGCTTTCGACTCGCAACTCGCTCGTGCGAACGCCAAGATTGCCGAACTGGAGAAAGAGATCCTAGCAGAGAAAGCTAGGACTGCTGAAGCACTGAAGACTGTTGCACGGCCACTTCCTGTGCCTGCTTCGGTGGCGCAAGATGCTGGTGCGGCGGTGCAATCTGTCCCTACTTCTCCGATCAAGGCTTTTGCTGGGTCCAAATTGCGTGGTTTGACTCCGGAAACGAGTGGTGCTGGTACGGGGTTGAACAGAGCAGGATCGGTCAAAGAATACAGAAGGTATCAACCAGGTGCGGCAGATCCCTCTTCCCAAGCCTCACCCTCACCGGCCGCATCGGGGAGCAGAAGCGCCTTCCTCAGTCAAGAAACTTTCAGTGGAGGTCGATCTGCCACACTCAACAGCGGATCAGCTGCGACCAACAAAGCTGAAAAGGAAGAGATCGAACGACTAAACTCTGTCATCAACTCACAGCGCGCGATCATGGCCGATCTCGAGAAATCCGTCGCTAGCTGGAAGACTCGTATGAAAGCCCAAGCAGAGCTGATTCAAAAGTTGGTCCTTGAAAACATCCCTTCCACTCAATCGCCTCCTACTTCGGATGGTGAGAATGAAGAAACCTTTTCCTCACTCTCCTCCCCTCGACGAAAGGCAAACTTCAGTCACCAAGAAGAAGGAAGCAACACTTTACCCAGAACCACGCATCTCTCGCTATCCCAGCATCAAGCGATGAACGAACCGTACTATGGAGCGCATACATACAACCGTCCCCCACCGACTCTTACATACGGTGTGATGCCTGGCTCGCCACACAAAGCAGGGTTTTCGGCGAACACTTGGTCCGCCTCCTCTCCCTCCCCCCTACCCTTGCCATCAGGGAACGAGTCTCCATCGAAGAGAAAGCCGAGAAAAACCATCGAGATGGATCTAAAATTGCTCAAATCCAGTCCTAGAGTGGAAAGTAACAAGACCAAGTTCGATCTAGATGCTCTAACCGCTGGGTCTAGGACACAAGATACTCCGACAAAGCGTAGAGGCACTGCTGCTTCTGCCTACTACATTTAGTCACCCCTGTCTGTTTTTGCTTTGTTGGTCTTTTGCATTTGTCTCAATATTATTTACTGCAGAAGAGAGTGTTTGTCAATAATATGTATTGGCGTAGATTGAGGACACAGGCTGGAATCACAGCGGAAGACGGGATAGGAAGCAACTCTTTCAGCATAAAGACGGAGAGATAGGATACAAACAGGGTGAAATAAGTAATACAAGCAAACAAGCATCATTGCAGGCGCAAGAAGCGGGGAATAGGGATAAAGTACAAGCTACCCGAAACGGGAGCGTTGGGGAAAGCGAAAAGGAAGAATAGAGTACAGGTGGTCGTACAACAGCATAACATAGCCAATAGTAGACCGTGCGTACTTTAGGTGGAGAGCATACGGTCGTCTGCTTCCTTTTGTGGTTCATCTGTTGAGATGAACTGAGTGAGTTTTACGCCTCAGCTGGATCTTCGACAGCCGCGTCTCCCTGAGCGATGGCAGCTTGAGCAGCAGCTCTGATCGCGTCTGCTGTCAGTTCATGGGACAGATCCATACTGTCTGCTGAAGCATCGGGGACTGCGGCTGGTTCAGCTACAGCATCAGTCTTGCCCTCAGCTGAATCGGAGACAAAGTCCTTGAACAGCGCCTCGGAGACCACCGACTCGATGGTCTTGAGTGCTGCTGCGCTGACTGCTGAGTCCAACTCGCCTGCACTGTCGACGTCAGTTGCTGCAGCCGAGGGTAGGGATGTGAGCAAGCTGCCCGCGGTAGCGTCTTCGGTCGGTTCCGTGCTAGTGCTGCCGATTGTAGCGGCGATGGCGCGGGAAATGGCGTTCGAGACAGGGAGCGGGAGTGTTTCAGCGTCAGCACTGACCGCAGCCGGGATGGTGGAGGAGATAGCACCAAGAGCGATAGAGACGGCAAGTGATTGTGCTGGATCTGCTGAGGCTGCTGCGTCAGCCGACGCCGGTGTGGTAGTAGGAAGAGCGCCGCTGACAGCTTCTGTCTTCGGCTCGACTGGTTCGGCTTTCACCACAGCAGGTGTGTCCCTCGCAGGCGTCGAATTCGCAGCCTCTTCCTTAGCCGGAGAGGCAGACATTGCAGCCGGCGTGGGACTCTGTGTAGCAGAGGTCGAGCTAGGACTTGCAGTGGACGACGCCTGTGTAGCGGCTACTCCACCCGCCGCAGCAGCCTTCGCAGCTTCCTCCTCCTTCCTCTTCTTGCTATTCTTCCTATGCACACCAGGCAAGCTTCCTCCTCCACCACCTCGACTCTTTGGCACAATACTTGGATCACCAGTAGGCTCGATGAACTCGACTGCGCCATCTTTGCCCTTTTTTTTCTTTCGGCGTGTGAGCGAGCGAGCATAGCGCAAACCGCACGCATTGCAGAGTGTCTTGTGGCCTGAGGGTCCACGTCGCCATTCGGGCGAGTTAACCTTGCCACAGCCTGTACAGGCTTTGTTGGGGTTGTGCGCTCCTGGTGAATCGCCGGCTAGGGTAGGGGCTGATTGACCGTTGGTTGCGGCGGACGGTGTTGAGGGAGTGGTGCGCTCGGTGGTTGCTGGGCGAGCGGAGTTAGCGGGGTTGGAGGAGGGCTTGGTGGGCGCATTGGCATACAAGAGACTGGGGTTGGCAAGCGCTGAGAGGCCGCTGGATTCAGACTTGACGGCAGGCTTGACGTACCTAGCTGCTGGCGGTTTCGGGGTGTGACCGTTCGCGGCCTTGGCAGAGTGATGGCTTGAGGGCGGCTGAAATCCATTGACTGCGGGTGCTTTGGTCGTCGACAAGGGCATTTGAGGCGAAGCTGAAGTGGCAGCTTTGGGTAGGGAAGCCGTCGGTGGTGTCGGAGCCGAAGGCGTTGTGGGGCTTGCTGGCGCTTGATAAGCGTTGCCATTCGGCTTGACTTGCTCTGCACTGCCGTCTGTTTTAACTCGCTTGTTCGGCGAGCCCTGCGGCGCATCGTCCACGGCCTTGCGTCTTTCGGTTTGAGCTTGCAACGTCGTACGTGCCTGCAACACCATCTTCGGATCAGGTTGCGGCAATTGCTGCTGGAACGTCGTGTGGAAGCAAGCCAAGATCACACCGCCATAAGGAATGAGAACGCTTTCGATGCTTCGGACCTTGCCCTCAGTCGTCAGTGTATGTTTGGCCCTGAAGCGTCGAGTACAACTCGTGTTGGCATCCGATAGCGTAGACGACCCAGGAGCAATTGAGACACCTTGCGCAAGCCTTGCAAAGTCATCCGCAAAGTACGAGCCGTCTCGGAAGACGGTCGTATCGGACTGCGTCATCAACTGAGCCTCTGGGTCGTTCGAGAAGAGCCGAGGAGGTGGCCAGCTAAGCAATAATCTTCCATCACCACCTGCTTCGATGACTTGGAACACGTGAACTGGTCCACTCTCTGGCACTATTTCGCGTGGACTAGCCTTGACCTGCTTCCAGATGGTATCACACTGCCGTAACGTGAAGCTGCCTGGCGGAGTGCCGCACCAGTTGGTCCAGTCTGACTTGTGCTCCTCATCGTTGTCTTCGGCACCTTTGTCGATGATGGCATGGAAGAAGCAGAGAAGCATGCCGTCGCCGATCCAGTTGATAACAATGTCGATGGCTACGAAGCTTTCGTCCTCCACATACCGGTCTGCGTCGGGGTCTCGTGGTGGGTTGACCGCACCGAGCAGCTCACGAATGCGTGGAACTCGCGAGTATCGGCACCGTGTGACGCTTCCAAAAAGTGTTCGACTCTCGACAATCTTCTGCATGTCGTCCGAGACGCGGTCTCGTTCTTCCGGATGAACATAGTCGTAAAAGTCAGATCCGATCATTCCTCGAGCCTGTTCAGCCATGTGTTGTTGCAAGACAGGATCGAGGTAGACAAAGTGAAGCTTCTCGCCCGTTGCCCCATTGCCTTTGGAGTGGTCGGCAGAGAGAAGTGCCCAGTAGCATCGAGTCTTGCCAAGTTCGACGTGCGATTCGATCAAAGGTAGATGGTCGAGCTCTTTTGCTGCAATGTCGCAGTCTGCGAGAAGTTCAGCAGATCCGCCAGGTGTGCGCTTGCCGATGGCCAGGGGATACGGTGCACTGTCACCTGTGTATTTGCGACACTGCTCATGGACGGCAGCTCGTGCATCGTCTTCGTCGGATCCGTTGACTGAAGCGCCATTGGTGTGTACGCTATTGTGCACAGGCGTTGCGCTGGAGTCAAAGCTCTCCTCCGATTGGGCCTTTTGCTGATCTTCGCCATTGATCTGTTGTTGCGCGTGAACGGAAGCTGCTGCTGCTGCAAGAAGGTACGCATCGAGGTCATCCGCTCCGGGCATGGCTTCTTCTGTTGGTTGATGCTGGTCGATATATTGGCCATGACCTTGAGCGGCAGCTGCCATTGCTGCTGCAGCTGCGGCCAGTGCTGCCTCGTCAGGCATCACGACGTCATTGTCCACTGTACTGGCCAGCTCATCATCTCCTGAAGCCTCTGGCTGCGCTGTGGAATCCATCGACGGCGTTTGCGGCGCAGGACTCAGGCCAGTATCTTGTGTCCTGTTGGTTGTTGGTAATGCTGACTGCATCGGAGAGGTTGAGGAAGATGCATCCAGCAGCATGGCATCTGCTATATCGGTCGACATGATGATACCGACGTGGTAACGGTGTTTGTACGGGTCCGTCAACCCTGGTGAAACTATGTCGATCGATGTAGGGAAAAGACGATGAACAACGTTGCTTGACAACGCATTCGAAGCTAGTGAGATCGGACTATGCACAATGATCGGCGACGTAGTGCAAGGTTTGGTACGACCAACAAGTCTATGTATCGACAGACTGGATGATGGCCGGTGGTCGGTAGCGAGGATATTGACGTGATGATGTCGCAGGCCAAGGACGCTGCTCGAGGTGTTAAAGTTGTTGGGTTCCTCGGGTTGCCCGGCAAACGGCGGCTTTGAGCGTGGGGTGCCGGCGCGGAAGGGTATGAGGACAGTCCTACGTCCTACTGACCGGGTCGAAGACGACGATGACGATTAGGCCGCCGCTGGCCTGGCTCGCCTGCCAACGGCGAGGAGAAGAGAAGGGGAGGAAAGGAGGACGGGGTTCGGCCTTCTGCAAGCACGACCTTGCAACGCAGTTTGCGCTGCCCTGATTGACCAGTACGCCGAGTTCCGTTGATCCAAGATCTGACCTGTGCTTAGCTAGCGTGGGGATGGCGCTTTTTGAAGAAATGCGGGGGAGTGATCGTGACGAGAGATCGAATTAGACAAGGAACTGTGATCAAGGATACCAGGCCGAATTTTGGTCGAAAGCTTTGGGAAGATTTGGAGTACAGTATGCAGCAGACACAGCAGAACGAGTTCTCAATGAATTTTCTTCTTGGCCTCGGATTGTTACCGCCAAAAGGCTGGCGCGGCCTGCCCTGTCACTCAGGATTTGAAGCGAAAAGAAAGTTGAGAACAGCTCAACGCGACCCTGAAAAGTGCGACCTTACACAGTTGAGATCGCAATCTTGCTGGGCAAGCTGAGTATCGGCGATAGGAAAATAATCTCGGAAGTCGCGAGTTGTAGCTATACAAAAAGTGAGAAAGTTGGAACTCTTGGCTTGCTTCGCAAAAGAAGAAACCTACCAGCTACCCTTGTTCTCAGCATCCTCATCTATCCACCAACAAGGCTTCTTGGCCGCTCAGATTGGCAGCGAAAGATCACAACTAGAGCCCGCAGCTGCTTTGTACACGGTCGCAAGCAGCAACACGAGAAGAGACGTACTTGAATAATGTCGACCGTCAGCTCCGCCTCCACTTCGGCCACCGCCATGCCGTCAGCTTCAACTTCAACTCAAGGCTCGAGCTCTCGCAAGACCCACAACAGAGACACATACATTCAGCCCGGAGACCTTATCATTGTCTTTGCTTCTCGCGATAAGACACCTCTACCTCTCACAGTCACTCCCGGAGAGCACGTCTCCAACATGTTTGGTCACTTTCCTCACGACGACATGGTCGGTATGCCATACGGCAGCAAGATGGTTTCCAAGAATGGACGAGGTTACGTCTACCTTCTTCGACCAACACCTGAGCTCTGGACATTGGCGCTGCCCCACCGAACGCAGATCTTATATGCGCCGGATATGTCGTTCATCTCGATGAAGTTGAGCATGGGACCAGGGAGCCGTGTTATTGAGGCAGGAACTGGATCAGGCAGTTTCAGTCACGTTATTGCTCGCACGGTTGGACGAGCTGATGTCAAGGAGGATCGAGAGAAGAGCGGGTTGCAAGTGCCAAGAAATTGGGGAGGCCTGCCGAACCACCTTCAGCAGAACCTGTCCAGAGGCAGAGGCCAACCACGCGATTTGGAGGATGGCAACGATTCCACAAAGTCCAATGATGATGCCACCAAGAGCAACACACCAGAGGCCGAGGCGAGCTCATCCACGAAACCCGACACAGACCCTCACGTACCCTCCGAGCATGGTCGACTGTGGAGTTTCGAGTTCCACGAACCCCGTGCTGAAAAGGCACGAGCCGAGTTTGCCGCTCACGGCATGGACAAGGTCATTGTTCTCAACCACCGCAACGTATGCAAGGAAGGTTTCGGCCTTAACGATGCAGCCGACTCTGTGTTCCTCGATCTGCCTGCACCATGGGAAGCCGTCGACCATGCTACCAAAGCACTGCGAAGGGACAGAGTCACGCGAATCTGCTGCTTCTCACCATGCATCGAGCAGGTGCTCAAGACTGTCACCGCGCTCACTGAACATGGCTTTACGGATGTCGAGACATTCGAATCGCTGGTGCGCACCCACGAAAGTCACTCGGCTGCAGGATCGGAAGCTAGCATTGACGAAGCCATCGACCGCATTCGGATGGTAGAGAAGAGGAAGGAGACAAGGAGGTTGATTCAGATCGAGAAGGCGAAAAGCGCAAAAGCGCAAGCAGCAGGTGCGGCTGGAAAGACTGCGGAGGCAGCCATTGCAAATGGCAATGATGAGGGTGATACAAGCATGGCTTCCAACTCTCACAACGCTGCTGGCAACGCACGGAAACGTAAGCTTGATAATGATGAAGATGAGCAAGAAGGGAATCAGGGCAATGATCCTTCGCAAGCCAAGGAAGTGGCAAACGGCACGTACCAACGTGGTGTACAAGAAGGTATCGCTGTCACCAAGAAGAAGGCTCGAATGCTGAAGCAACAGACACAACAAAGCCAACCTATGCAGGCAGCTAGCGTCTACTCAAGGCCCTACTACGAGGTGTGTTCACCATCTTCATCCAGATCCCAGACCCTTACCGACTAGGATGACGTACTGACTTGCATATTTGTTTTGCTTCTGTCAACGGTTGCAGATGAGAGGTCACACCAGCTACCTTACTTTTGCGACACTGCTGCCACGTGATATGATCGGCGGGCTTTAAGTCTAACCAAAGAACCTAGTTTCAGGTTACAGTCATTTGCTTAGCTTTGCCCCAGCTTGTGCATGTGATTGTCGTCTTCTACGATGAGACCAACGCACGTACGAGCCTCTCGTTGAACTATTTCATTTGCCTGCGATTCAGTGAAGGCCACCTCGAACTTCAATTGACCGGCGAATTTGAAAATCGAGCCAAGAATCACACACAACGATACCAGGGTACAGAGCCGAGTTTCACTTATCCGCTTTACGGTCCGACAGGTTGGTTGGGCTTCTTGTGAAAAGTGAGGGAAAGTGTGTGAGGGTCTGTTCGGGAAGCAGCTGAGTTTCAGGATACATGGTTTCTATTGTGATAATATTGTAGCAGAGAGGCTCATCGATGGTGCGCCTTTCTTCGAGGATGGTTCGGACTGGAGACGATCTAAGGACCGCTCTGGTGCAGCGGCATGTGGTTGAGTGAGGTTGGAATGCCAAGTATGCCTCATCCGGTTGACTGACGATTTGGCACAACAGTGTCTTTTCGATTGTCAATCTCACTCGTCCTCGGCTTGGTCAAGAACGGTTTGTTTCCCTCCAACTCCGCCTGTAGTCTGGCACAAGCTCAGCTAGACAATCCCCAAAAAGGATTGCATGCCTGCGCCTTTTCAGCTATCGTGTGTTCCACATTTCGTCGTATCGGACCGACTTTTGGGGAAAGCGGCCACGTTTTAAGACGGTATGGAACGTGGAACACAGAATCTGGAACGTAGAATAGCGGCTTGCGTTTGGGCTTGACGGACAAACGCACTAAGAGAGTGATCGCAACGTTGGAACGAATGAAGGGGCTGTCACGGGTGTCATTCATTGTAATGACACTTGCTGATGTTTGTCGGAGTTTGCGAGGCTGGCTGCGGGGTTTTGTTTCGGTGTTTGGCTCGGCTTGCATTTCAGCTGTGTTTTGGAACGGCCCTGGCGTTGGAGAGACTCTTTCTATCTGCAAGCCTCTCTCGGATCGGAGCACCTCTTTTTAAATGATCGAATCTGACGAATCGAAAGGACCTTTGCTGCTTAACTTAAAGCGTGCAGACTCGGCGAACCCGGTTATAGCGCCTCCCAAAACCTGGAACCCCGTTCTTATCCAGATAGTTGGACGTGCATTTTCTCACACTCTCAGCCATTTACACACGACACAAGCCCAACAGAATGGTTCAAGGTTCTGGCTGATCCACCCTCTCTGACCGGTCGGAACATCACAAGCCGGTCGATGCATATGTCTTTACTCGAAGTCCGTTCGGTGATTTCTGTCTTGGTTCATGGACTGTCTTGGTTCATGGACTGTCTGCTATGTACCGTAGCTAGCCTACTTCAGGCTTGCACTCAAACGGCCTCGGCAAATTTGTATAGAACACGGATGTTCGGTTCTACAGTGCTTCGGAGACAACAATGACAAGCATGTGGCAACTTCCGATCATCGATCTTGAGCAATATCTGGCGTGGGAAAGGTCGTCTAGTTTCCGACAATTGGACTCAGGGCTTTGTCAGTTGTGAGTAGTAGGCTGATAGTTGAAGAGCGTCCCCACCAAACCTTATCGAATCTGCCGCCACAATTCATGGTCGGGAGAATCAAATGACTTGTTCATCGTCCACGTGTTGCTCAGCAGAGCGCCAATCAACAGGCTTTCACACCAGGCCGATGCAAAAATGAATACCAAGCGAGTCTTGGTTATCTTTGAAGTCAAGCCCACCAGATGGAACGCCATGCATGAACCGCAGTATAGTACAAACAGCCCTTGACACTAGGACAAGGAGCCCCAACTCAACACCGTGTTTGTCGCATCTGTTCAGAGTCGTTCAATCCGCCTTGTCTTCTCGGTTGCTCCTTCTAATCAATGGATGCAACATTTTGAACATAATGTTCAGAGGTGTGAGCACGTCATGTGAAGTTCGAATGAACAGCAATCACGCTCCCCAGCACAGTATCGCGCTGTTCGAATCATATGAGCGTGTGTATCAGCTCGTCGTTGCAAGCAAGGTGCAGAGATTGAAATTTCTGGGTCGAGGACAGCCAAAAAGAAGCGGAGGTGCGCGGCGGGAGCCAAAAAAAAAAAAAAAAAAAAAAAGAAAAAGAAAAAGAAAAAGAAAAAAAAGAAAGAAAGAAAAAAGAAGAAAAAAAAGAAAAAGAAAAAGCAATGGGCAGCAGACGACTGGAAATACACCTTTCTTTTTGGTCCCCAACTGTGGTTGAATGTCCAGGAGTCTGGTAACTTGGCTTTGGTTGACTTTGGGCGATACGAGGCTAAGGACCCATGCCGACGTTGGGGCAGGGTTCTCCAACATGTACTAAATTTCTTTATTTATTTATTTTTCACAGTTTTCTTTTTCTTCTAGGCGGACTTAGAGCAGAGGCTTCACGGGTGGATTTTTTTTTTTCTTCTTTTTTATTTTTTTTTTTCTTTACAATTCTAATCTATTTATTTTTTTGAGTTGAGGTCCACCGCCTGAAAATGGAGCTGTTCTTGCCTTCTCGAGAGCAAAAGCAATCGCAAATACATGTGCAACTGTCTGAACAATCACAAGTCCAGTACCCGAGACGTGACTTTGGACCGACGTAGCATAGTCTCTGGGAAGAATCACAAACAAGAGCAGGAGGAACAGTTGAGCCAAATTGACGGAAGCGAGAACGGGGCTGCATCGGTTTTATCCACTGCTACGCCATCAACGACCGCGTCAAGGCCAACTGCAGTCACTGCTCAGTTCCCAGCATTCCGCCCTAACTCTGGCTTTGGATTTGGCTTTTTGCATGTGGCTTTCTCGTTCCTCTACTGTACAACAGTACCTGTGCTCCCAATTCTTCCGTTGACTTTCCCGCCTGATGGTCGATCCAACTCCCACTCAATCTTGCGACATTTGTTCTATTCAGCTTCCAGCTTCCAGATCTCCAGCATCGCTTCATTCAAATTGGAATTGATGCTTGGAATACCGAACTCGTCCTCTCAGCTTTTTCCTTGCTTTCCCTTTTCTTCTTTTCCGGAGCCTGTCAACCAGCGCTCTTTTCCTCTCTCATCTCTCCTCTCTCATGAGCGTGTCGAAACCCCACCCCAAACTGGCCGAGTGTTTCATTATTCTAGTTTACCTACCCATTCGTGCAGAGGCCAACATCTCCCGTTCCGAGACCTTCTTTCCCACACTTTCTTTCCCTTCACTTGCCATCATCTTTCCCTCCTCCTACATCCGTCCCTACGCTCCGAATCCATTGACATTGCCTTCCTCCCGTCAGCACCGTTGCCTGCGTTTTCACAACCGAGCCTTATCGACACCGACGTCTTGGATGGCTTCGAGTTGCGTATCGTGGTCCCTCCACACCATCAAGCCGTGAACATCCTCCATCGACCTTCTTGACCTTGACCTCACTTGGATTCTTCCGTAGGAGACCAACTTACTTTCCGAAGTCGTTTCATCTGTCTCACTCGTCGATGCTCTCCCATCCCGCTTCTTACTGATTCGGACCGAGGCCAACTTGTCGCCTCGCCTGGCAAAGCACACCTTGGAGGGAACACTACATCCCCCACCTCTAAAGCTTCTCGAGCCTTGAGCTCCTGGCAGCGGTAAAATACCCAGTCACCCTTGCTTGCGGAGCGATTGCCTCCTACAGCATCAGCTTTTTGCAGTCATTTGATTCGACGGTCCCACAGCGTTGGACCTCAACCCCCTCTGGCTGATCCCAGCGCCCACCACAGCTCAACTAGCATGAAAACATAAGCTCTTGTTACGGCACCGGTCGTCGACGTGTCGCTTTCCCGCCTTTCCCTATCGGCCTCGCGCGCCTGCCTCGAGCCATCCCAAGTATTCGCACGGGCTTGAATACTCGCATCGCTCAAATCCATCGCAAAACATTGGCGTGAACAATCTAGACACAGGATATCGAAGATGAGCCGCCCAGATGGTCGTGGTGCATCAATACCGCCGTTGCACAGCAGCGCAAGTGCGCTCTCTATGTCCAAGACCGACGACAGTGGCTCGAGCAAAACGCCTGGAGGCGCTCCCGAAAACAGTGTTGCCTACCAGTATGTCGCTGTGCAACAGATGGCCAGTTGCCGCGACCACATCGAATACCAGCTCACCGTTCGCGAGCAGCCCAAACAATCAAGAATGTGCGGAGTTGGCGAAAAAGCTGATCGACGTCCTATCGACCCTGCTCCCATCGTCCAGCTCCGCGTCATCACTCACGATCAGCCCATCCGTCAATCCAATACCGTCGAGAGCGCGTCCGTAACACCACCCGTGGAAAGGAGATCGGGTCATGGCCCCAAAGTACCAAGGACGCCGGCGGTACGAAGCGGCCTGCCCGTCAGCACTGCCCTTGGAGATGGCTGGGAAGACAAAGCTTGGTATCTCGAGAATCCGTACTTCTTCATGTACGCCATGCTCTGCCACGCCGAAACTGATGAAGAGCTTCACCTGCTCAACGATGGAAAGACGAGGTACACCAGCGGCTCGTGCGTCTCCTGCCTCTATCACCTCAAAGACATCGATGGCTCCCACCAAGGCTTCTTTGTCTTTCCCGACCTCAGCATCCGTGTTGAAGGACGATACCGTCTCAAGCTTTGCCTGTTCGAGACCATTGGTCACTCCGTACACCACTGCAAGTCGATCTACTCAGACCCCTTCCACGTCTACACCGCCAAGCGCTTCCCAGGTATGGAGGAGTCTACCAAGCTGTCCAAGTCTTTCGCCGAGCAAGGTCTCAAAGTGCGTGTTCGCAAACACCCCAGGTCGCGACGCAGAAGCTCAAAGCGTACCAAGGACGAGAGCGATGGATCCGATGCAGATGTTCCTCTCGCACGAGACCGCAGTCCCAAACGTGCACGAGCTTCCGACATTCTTCCTTCATCGGGCCTTCCGGTGCCGTCTCAGCAACCGCAGCAGCCGACATCCCAAATGCCGCGTTCCCTCGATGCGCGTTTCGAACGCGCCGTGTTCGATCGAAAACCTCCAGCAATGACTGCTTCTGCGCCTCAGGATCAACCGCATCGATACGCTGCTTGGGAGGAAGAGGAAGCGATGCGCATTAGGCAAGCGCGCACTAGGGAGACTGGCTTTGATTCGGGTCTCTACGCCCGCCATCCAAGAGACAACAGAATGACACAAGGGCGGACGCAGCAGCTATCGCGCGAGTATTCTGAAGGACGGTACATGGACGACCATCCGCTACCCCCGCCCCTGCCACACGACCGTCCCGTGCCGCCACATCACGGCGTACCCCCTAACCGAGGTCCGGCGGACTATCCCGAGTATGGAAGGCCAGCTTATTATCGCGGCGAGGAACCTTCTCGAGGTCCCATGTTTGCACCTGGACACCCATCAGCAACGCCGCCACCACGGCCACCATCGCGATCATCGCATCCATCCAGCACAGGATACCGCCACGCAGATCCGTCTGGCAACCTGCCCGCACTGCCGACTCACAACCGTCCGTGGATGGACCATCAGCCCCAGCCGGCGGAGGCGGCGGCAGGCATACCTTCCCGCCCTCCACGTGTCCACTCCCGACCGTATGGACCGCCGGATCATCTTCCGCAACACGAGTCCGCTCGCAACTACGAATACGACGACTATGCTGCAGCAGCCAGACGCGCACCTCGATACAGCGCGCCTTATGATCAGCGTGAAGCTGCACCGTCAGGAAGCCGAAGTACTCCTTCCCCACCTAGCAGAAATGTCGAATACGGCAGTCGTAGAGTGGCGTTCCCTCCTCCACCACCGCCGGGCTCACAGCCTTGGCGATCCGGCCCGCCAAGCCCGCGCAGAGGTCCAAACGACTATCCTTCTGCAACAGCCTCTGCGATTGATCGAGACTTCATGACTCGAAGGTCGCCCTCTCTCCCACCACCGCATCGCAACATCGCCACTCCACCAGCAGCCTTCATCGGCGCTGACCATCCTCATCGTCGAGGCTACCCTCCTTCCGAGCACGGACCCCGGTATGATATGGACCCGAACAACGGCAGTGGTCCAGATGCTTCACGCCGCACCATGCGTGCTCCTCCCTCTTCGACCATGTCAGACCCGTATGCAAGAGAGGACGCGTCCAGACCAAGCGATCTTCCTCCACCCGACAGATTTGGTCATGGGATGAGACCCGTGCTGCCACCACTCTCTGCTTCTCCCTTTTTGGGTCAGCGAGAGCAACGCGAGCGAGAAGCACAGATGGCTGCTTCCCGTGACCGCGACTCGGTAGGTCCACCTTACGACCGCATGCTACCCTCAGGGTACATGTCTCGAGCTAGCGATGCAGAGATAGCCGACCGAGAAAGGGCAAGAGAACGTGAATGGGAAAGAGAGAGAATGCAGATGCGGTCGCAGGGTGGTGGTCCTCCACCTCCTCCTCCGCAGCAGCAAGAATGGAATCCTCGAAGACCTCCATCGACTGGACCCAACCCAGCCTCGGGAAGAAGCAGCGGTGCCTCTCAGTCTAGACCTCATTGACAACTATCACACAAATGCAAAGAGATAGAGAGGGAGCAGGTTGAAGCAAGTGGTTTTATTAGAAGCTAAGGCGCTGGCTCAACTTGCTTGTGCTCATTATCACTTGATCCAAATCAAAAGCATACAAGATACGATGTGCAGTAGTGAAAAGCCAAGTGTGTGATGTGTGGATGTGAAGTACGAACATGTGTAATATGCGACAAGTACAAAGTGTGATGTGTGAATCGTGAAGGTCGTAAATGTGACACGTGAGTAGTAGAGTGCGAAAGTCTGATTGAGTGATAGTCACCCTTGAATGTACCGAGCTGGATGAATGTTTGCTCGTTCAAAGTCGATGCTTCCTGCAAGCTCTTAGAACGACCCGCTCGAATTAAATGCCCTATTCCTCTCTGCCCTCCTCAACTCTCTCTCTGCCCTCCTCCACTCTCTCTGTTCGCAACAATAACAAGGCTTCCGCATCGTCCTCTCCCTCCACCATTCCTTGAAATGTCTGCTCAGATACTGAACAATCCAACCAAGATAAAAGTAACGAGTGGAGTTTAGACCCTTCTTCGACCCAGACGTATCCGGGATTGGGGTTGGAATAGGTACGTTCCATGGGGTAAATACGGATGGTGGGGGTTTTCTTTTGGTAGTACCAGTCAGGAGTTGGCATGATGGTGGATGTAGATGGGAGTGGTTATGAAGGGCTGAAATGTTCAGAGTAGCGAGAAAGGAGAGTAGAGCGAGATGTCGAGAATGATGGGTCGAGGTTACTCATGACGACGATTGCGGGGGTGTATATAAGTGGACAGCTGGATTGTACGATAAGTGTTGAGGAGGAAGGTGCGGGGAAAGGAAATCACTCCGCAAAGCTCACGAACAACCGCTGAGAGAGCACCGAGGAAGCGGGTGAAACGCTCTGTCTCGCGAGAGAAGACAAGCTTGACTGCAAACTTACCTTCCATTGCACGGTTTGACAGGTTGCACAGCTAGACATCGGAACGGAAAGCAATATAGGTTTAGTAGCAAAGGATGAGGAAACTCCGTTCTGAATCAGTAATCAGATCAAAGTCGCAACCGCAGAGGTCGAACTAGGGAGCCAGATGCACCGGTTGCTTGCCTGGCCAGCGCGCTACGCGGTACAGAGGGAGCGTCTGTCGCTGTCGCGTTTCGGCTGAGGAGGAAGGGGAAAGGCAGACAAGAAACTTCGTGCTCTGCTGGCTTTGCTAGCTCTGCTGCCACTGCTGCCTGCTCGTCAAATCTTGCCTCCTTCTCAGCGGAACCGACAACTCCATCGGCAGCGATCATAGCCAGTGAAGAGATCAACGTCCGGAGAATCAAAACGTCGTTTTCGATATCATCATCAGATCAAGAGCCGAATCAGGAAGGTGAGAACGGGAGGCTGACATCGTATGCAAGTGCAAGGCATGAGGAAGAGGAAGCGGAGTGGCGTTGCATACAGCGGCGTGGGAGGCGGGCAGCGTGGAGCGAGGCACGTACAGCAATCAAGGCTCCAGCTCGATCGAAGGTGACAAGGAAGGCGAGGTTGGGTCGCCTGGCGCCAAGGAAGGAGAGAGCAGGCGAAAAGGTGGCGGCGATGTCGGTGATGAAAGCGAAGCGGCGGGGGTAGTGATTATGCAGTTTGCGTCTTTGTGATTTACTTTTCTAGTGCGGTGATGTACATTACTGTATTGTCGGAGGAAGAGGGAGCGGAAGAGTGCAAGCGATAGGCGAGCATCGGTGCGGTGCGGCAGGCGGTGAAGGAATGCAGTTGATCGATCGAGTTGCCGGAAGGAGGTGGGACAGTAGCACGAGGAGGCGTTGGACCAAGGCAGTGGTATGCCAGCGATTCGGGGCAGTGGATCAGGCGATTGCAGATTGACAGCGCGACAACATCAAGTTGGAGGCAAATAGCCAGCCAAGAGTCGACGATAAGGAAGAGAGGAGCGAGGTTTGAATTGACAAGATCCGTTTAGGGGTCACACGAAGGAGGACCAGGTTTGTTGCAGCAGCAGAGCGCGAAGTGAAAGGAAGGAAAAGTTGGATCATCAGCATATAGTCAACCTCCTAACTAGTTTTGAGATCGAGGGCATCTTACGCACCATTGTTTCCACGAATAAAAGCGTCACCATACGAGTTCTTTTGCACGCCGTCGACGTACTCGACCGTCTGTTCAAGGGCAATGTTCATGTAGCCGTCGAGGCAGGAAAGGACACCGCGGTAGTCGATACCGGAATTGAGACGGACGTTGACGTTCTTTCCAATCACGCCTTTGAGGAAGTCATTAGGGCTGCCTGTTTTTGGCTGCTGTTGCGCCTGTGTTGACGACATGATTGTGTGTGTTTGTGCAGACGATTCAATCCAGAGCTGAGCTTGGAGACAGGCTGATTGCTGTTTGAGCTCGTGTGTAAGTGGTTTGCGTAGATTCAAGCTTGCAGACTGAGTGTGACTGTCTGGGCTTCTTTCGATGTTTTGGGGAAGGTGTTGGTGGTCAGGAGGATGTATGCTCGCTACCCAGCTTTCTTTTTTGGCGACGAATACAAAGGTGAGGTATAGTTGCAATTGCTGCAACTCATGTGGTTGACCTCGCTCTGCGCACGGGACCTAAGCGCGTTCCACTTTACGCGATAATCGATTTTTTCCGGTACTGCTGCTCTGCTGCCTTGATTTTTTTTTATACTTATTTTGACACCCAGAGCTCGCGTCTCGGGAATCGCTGTCTGCAGTTGCATTATTTTCAGACTTGGCGTGATCGATTTTCGAGAAGGGTTACCAAAAAGTAACACTTTCCGAGTTCCGACTTTATCTTTGTGGCCATCATCTACAAAATGACACCCACTTCGTCTAATCGTATAGTTAACTGCTACAAGAACATCGACCCTCGCTCCGCAACGAAGCTGGCTGTCCAACTGCATATTAGGTGCCTTCTCACAGCTCCTTAGCTACACGGTCTCCCACGCTAGACGCCTCAGACACAGACGCAGGAGCTCGCTCGCATCCTTCGCTTCCTCCTCCGCTTCAAGCCACCTCGAGCTCGAAAGATTCCCCTTGTGAGGCCTCAGACGACCAGAATACGAAAGCCAAGATCTGAAAGACAGGCATTCTGCCCAACAGCCTTCCTCCTCCTCGCGACCTGCTTGCACAGCTTTACGCGACCGCACGTCACGACGCCTCTTCTTCGTCCTCCTCGAATCCTCGTCTGGCCTTTCTCTTCTCGGCACTTTCTCTTGGCACGGAGTTTTCTTTAGCGCAAAACTCGACAGAAAGATTTCGCCCTTATCGATAATGTCAAGACCTGCAAAGTTCACGTTAGCCGCTTCTGTCCTGGTCTCGGGACTGACCGTGTGGGGGGTCCACTATATGCAGGAGAGGGAGCGTGAAGTCATGTACCGAGGCGTGGAACGCGACGAGGAACGTCAGGCAGAGAAGAAGCGTAAACGACTGCTTGACCTCCAAATCAACCAGGAGAAAGAGGCAGCCTACCAGAAGATACAGCCTACAGCAGCAGCAGCCTCCTCTGGCACCTCGTTGTCCTCCTCCTCCTCAGCATCTCCACCACCATGATTCTCTTCCTTACTCTGCCGCACTACGCTAGCCTTCCTCTTACTTCTGTACCTTCAGCAGCAACAGAAGCAACGCAACTTCCTCACTCGCTCATACGAGCCCTTATCAGTACATATACAGCGAGTTTAGGACCATGAAGTCTCACACTAATCATCATCGTCTACACACTCCACTTCTTGCTTCTTCTTTGCTATCGTACTGTAACGCTTTTCGTCTTCCTCTACCTCATAACCTATCTTCTGCTCATCATCTATTCTACCGGCTCCAGTTCAACAAGCTCCAGTTTAACAAGCTCTACCATGGCTATCATCAACAGGGGTTACCGCGTCATTTCTGCCGCTCCCTCCCGCCTCGGTTGAGTCCATCGACAGCGAACTCTCTTGCCATGCCATCCTCGAAGGATACCTCGGCAGCCCTGAGCACATGAGTTCAGCTTGCGCTGAATGCTTCCTCCGTATTCGTGGTCTACAGGACCTGGAAGCAGCTCGCAAGGCAAGCCTCGAGAGCCTATTCCCTTTTGGCATGCCCTCCGAGGTCTTCCTCAGCCATCTCTACGCTCAGCCTACTCCTGTCGTTGCCACTCTCACCTTCTGGCGCATCTGAACTGCCGGCTTCGTGACCATCCTCAATCGTATCACTGGCAAGACGGCCAAGCTGGAGCGAGAGCAGCAGGAACAGCGTGTGCGCGAATTTGATGCAAAGTACACTAGCCTTAACGAACCCTACCGCGTTATCGCTGATCGCAATGCTAAGTTCCAAGCTGAAGCTGAGGCTCGTGGCGATACGGACTCTATCAAGAGCTGCAACGCTACTATTGCTAGTTTGGCCACTAGTGCAGCCACCGTCACTTCTTCTCTCCTTGAGAACAACGCTGTCTGCAACACCAGCGCTACCACTCCCGAGGGCACTCTCGAGCCCGTGAACTCCATTGTTCAAGGCATGATCGAGACCGTGGCTAATGCTGTCCTTGCCACCCACGCGAACATGGCTCCTCTCATCGTCAACACCGTTACCATTCCCGGCATCACCGTCGACGATGTAGATGACCAGCGAGAGGCTCTCCGCTTGAAGGGACGTGGCACACGCGCTCTTGGTTACCGCGCAAACGAATGTCCCCCATCCGTCGACATGTGCGATGAAACTCATCTTGCTTCCCCCATCACGCACCACCCTCGTATTCTTTGCCACGGCTGTGGATACTTGTCCCCCGACTGCCACTGTTCCCCTCACTGGGTCACTTCTGCCACTAGTGAGCCCACCATTAACATTCAAGAACAATACGGCAATCGAGTCTGGAGACCTCAACCTCGCTTCGCTCCTACCCACCGACCTATTCCTGCCCCTTCAGAGCTGTCGAGACTGTTACTTCCGATCTCAACCTGCTGAGTCAAGTTTAAAGCCAGGAAGAGGCTGGGCCTAGCTGCCCTCTTGGCGGCCGGGATGACGAGACCTTGGGTAGGGATGTAGCTTACAATGTCGTGCTTCGTCAACGCAACTCATCCTGTCCCGATGTTAGAGAGGCTTGTGCTGCTCGTCAAGAAACTCGGGATATGGTTCGCTAATATGCAGAACCGCGAATACGAGAACAGGGTCGCTAAGCGTAAGGCCAAAGAAATGGTTCACGTTAAGAACTTGTTCGTGCAGTAGTTGCACTCTGTCGTCTTCTCAGCCTCTTCGCTTGCCCACTTTGGTTATCGGCTCCTCGTTCTCCTACCTCATCTCGGCCCCCTGATCTCCCTTGCCTCCGCTTCTATCTTACGCTCCCTCAACTGTCCCTTCCTACTCTCAGCTGTCTTCCTATCCTCAGCTCCACTCTCGCCTCAACCCCTTTCCATATTCTACTCCATTCTATCACATGTAACGGCACCGCAGTACCTCATCGTATTCACCTTCCACTTTCATCGCAACTTAGGATTCGCACAATCTTTCTACTTGGCTTTTATATCACCATCATAACAACCTTCGGCTTACTCCATACACGCTCAGTAAACCGCGATCAACATTCTGCTTTTCACCACCACTCTATCCACCATCTGCATACCTCATACACGCATTGTTATCCGGATGGACCTTTCTCTCTGCTCGCCTTGCTTCCTTTCCCATCTCAGATTTTGTATTAGGCTCTCACCATGTTCTTTCAGTCAATTGAGTATATTTGTTTCTGTCTAAATCTAGCAGTGACATCGTACTCAGACTCTACCCGATCGCCAGTTATCGGGACCAAACTTCAACACTTACATGTGTACACTGGAAGTGATGCGGGAAAAGAAAGGGAGCGCTGACCAGACTCCCCCCCCCCCCCCCACCCACCTCTCGCAACCCGGCAATGAGACCATGACTCGATGTAGAATGTCCATGTCATCACTCCGCTCCAACTCAACTCTCGACACTCGGTGTCCACCTTGTTCTGTTTCAAGATGTAATCGATGCTGTAACGGTCAGGACGCAAGCGAGGGAATGTGTAGCTAAAGCTTCCTAACCGCCGCCTTCAAAACCGTCGTCACGGCAGGCAAAACAATCTTCCTATTCGCCCTAGCATTTGCCTGTTTATACACTTTCCCCCACTTCCACTCATCCTCTTCCCTCCTGCCATCAACTCGGACCCCCTTCACCCTCTCCCTCTTCCCACCCTCCATCTCTGGCATCCTCTGCCCCTTCCACGGCTCTTGCAACATCAACCTGCTATCTACATCATCTTTTTCTACGTGCGCATCGTTCTCCAAGCCTCTTGTCAGTTCTTGCCACAATTTTTCCGCTTGACTTTGCCCCATCCCCCTCGGGGCGAAAGCTAGTACTAGTTCACGTTTGTGCTTTCCTGCATCAACTTGGCCCTCTGGGACACGAAAGCTGCCGGTCATAACTGCAATATCGAGTTTGCGTTCCGTCATGAACAAGTCGAGAGTTTTCCACCATGCACTCCATGCCTCTTGCACTTCTTGTTTCGCATGCGGCGCGTCCGAGATTCGAGCGTAGCGTCGGTCCTTGTGTAGCCATTCGACCAGTGAGATGGGCACTGAAGCAAAGCCGAGTTTGAGAGAGATGTCCCTGTTGGAAGAATCGTGGGCGGACAAGTCAACTTGTTTGTAATCACGTCGGAGCAAGTCTCGTCCGGAAAGATGTGAGACGGCCAACTTGGAACGCATGAGGATGGTCCAATATGGCGCCAGGATGGTTTTTGCGCTTTCTCTGGCTGAATCCGTTTCTTCGGATCCGGACGGGTTGATGGCTTCGATTGCTTCCACTGCCGCATCTTGCCTTTGGCTTGCTTTAAGGGGGGAAAAGGAGAATGCAGTTTCTTTGATCTCTTCCGAAGTGCTTGGCTTGCCAAACGACGAGGTAGGCAAGAGAATCTTTACCGCTTCAAAGTCGGTTTTTGTTGCTTTACCCCTCGGTGCGCCCTTCAAGTTGTCCGTATCAATCACAATCGCACTGAGTAAGAGATCCGAAACTTGTCGCAAAGCCACATCGTTACTTGGTGCCTTTGCGAAGGACTCAGCAAAGAGTTGAGCAACGATACTACTACAGCTTCCCACTGCTTCTTTACTTGGTGACTTTACGATCCTTAGCGCTGCGTTGGGGTGAGCGCCAGTATCTTGGTGATGGTCTAGTATGATTTCGACCTGTCTGTTCTGTGCTTTTGCCCCGCCCCATGGTCCTGTCAACGAAGCGTGGTCGACCAGACCAAGTGCGACGTTGGACGAGGGTGAGAACGATTCGGAATCCAACTGTAAGCCCAAGTATTGCTGGAGATCGTCGAGAAAGAGAACCTTGTTGGGGTTGACACCGGATGCATGGTAGGCAGCTGTGTTTTCCGCTCGCAAGACTTTGTCAGCGTGCATACTCTGGATCAATGGGACGTAGTTGGAAGGTGAAAGCTGGTATCCAGGAGGTGAGCCGAATCGAGTCAGAAGGTAAGAAAGAGCGATAGCACACGAGGCCGAATCGAGATCGCCGGCTTCGTTGCCCATGATCAGCGTGACTTTGCCTTGCGAGCTAGAGCCGGCTTTGAGGTGAGTGATTGCATTTTGCTTTGCTTGCACTAGGAAGTCGTCCAGGGTGGGATATGTTGACATATTGGGCGCCTTTTGCGTTGCAGAAGGTGTAGAGATGGCGTGCGAGAGAGGTCGAACTTGCAACCAGTGAACGTAGTCCCTCAGCGAAAGCAAGACGACTGAAGAGACGGCAACAGAGAAAAGCAGAGCAACAAGACGAACAGTAGCCTGATTACCGTTCGCAGCTGCTCTAGTTGTTTGATAGGTATAGATGGGTTCGTATGCTGGCTCAACCATGCCCTGAATCAGTGTATCGATGTTCGAGGTAATCATGAGGGAAGCCCAGACGGGCGGACAGACACAGATCGTGTGTGTTTCTACTCAAGATAACGATCCAATATGATGATATTGGATGACGTAAGCGGATACGAAAGGGATCGGGCAAAGTCGATTTGATCAGAGATCGGGTACAACCTAGTCCCCCTCGTTGCCAGACTTGGTGATTAAGTAGGATACACCCACATTCGGCATGTGCCACCCAGATATATATACAGTACATGCATAAACTGTCTCAAGATTTTACATGTCACCATACATCACTCTAATGCTCAATAGCTATAAGTTGTATTGCCACACTGTCTGATATTGTCTGAAAGTGCTGCTTCTTCTCTCCAAGACTGTGGAATTGATATTGACATTGACTAAAAAAATTGTGCTATGAAGAAGAGCCAATTTTTTTTTTATTGTGGGACAGTTTATGGAGCATGCTCCCAAATAGTGACACCACTCCATTCCTGACCTTGTGGGCTTTTGACTACAATGAAACTTGTAATGTAACTTGGTGGGCACCTTCATACACATTGAAAGTAGTGATGTGGAAAGTTTCAGCTCAATCAGATGACTGTGAGCAATCTGGCAGCACTTCCAGTCTGACACCATCATATCTATACCATCATGATGAAAACCACTCCTGAGAAGTGCCAATCAGCACTCTTTCACCTCCAAAATGGAGAATCTACCCATTCAGTTGCTGAGAAACTCAGTCTGAGCAAGTCTATGGTGTCTCACATCAGCAAAAGTGCCTCCACCAATGCTCCAAAGTCAAAGGGGGGCCAGCCAAGAAAACTCCAGCCTTGTCATGTTCACTTCCTGGACCACTATTTCAAGCTCAATTCAATGTCCACAGTCAGGAAAGCATGTCATGCACTGCAGGAGACATTTCACATCAAAGCATGCCCAATGACAGTAAGAAAAGCACTTCATTACTGTCATTACAAAGCATGAAGGTTAGTGAAAAAACCACAGCTACTCAAGAGACATTACAAAGCCCATTTCAAATTTGCTAATGAGCACAAGGACATGACTGTTGAGGATTGGAAGAATGTGGTATGGTCTGATGAGACAAAGATCAACTTCTTTGGACTGGATGGGAAGCAGTTCTGTTGGATTAAGAATGCTGGCTTCAACAGCAAGCTTGTCAGGCCAACAGTCAAGTTCAGCAGTGGCTCCATCATGATCTGGGGCTGTATGACATGGGAAGGGGTTGGAGGTATATGCTTGGTGCTGGGATCAATGAATTCAGACCAATACATTGATATCCTGAATGACAAGCTTTTGAAAACAATCTCAGATTTGTGGCTTCAGCATGCATACACCAACATCATGTTTCAGCAAGACAATGACCTGAAACACATGTCGAAGAAGACAAAAACATGGTTGGAAAGCAATAGCATTAAGGTTATGCAATGGCTGGGGCAGTCGCCAGACTTGAACCCAATTGAACACCTCTGGCACCATCTCAAATTGTGACTTTCACAGTATAGTACAATTGCAAAGTCCAGGGATGAACTGCTCAAGAGATGTGAAGCTGAATGGAAAGCAATCACTCCAGAGACATGTAGGATACTAATAGAGAGCATGCCAGACTGCATCAAGGTGGTTCTGAAGGCCAAAGGAGGGAATACAAAGTACTAAGGTGTTCTTGAGGAGTGCTCCATAAACTGTCCCACAATAAAAAAAAATTTGGCTCTTCTTCATAGCACAATTTTTTTAGTCAATGTCAATATCAATTCCACAGTCTTGGAGAGAAGAAGCAGCACTTTCAGACAATATCAGACAGTGTGGCAATACAACTTATAGCTATTGAGCATTAGAGTGATGTATGGTGACATGTAAAATCTTGGGACAGTTTATGCATGTACTGTATATCCAGCTGATAGTTCTAGGCTCTCACCACGCTCGATCAGTCAATTGAGTACAAGTGTTTCTGCCCAAAATAGCAGCGGTACTGTGCTCTGACTATCGCCGATCGTTGATCATCGGCACCAACGCTGCTCATCACCCACCAACACTCCTCACCCCTACTGCGATTGCTTATGATTACATGTGTCACTTCATTCCACATACGCACATACAGACCATCAGTAGGATTGGATGCGAGGGTGGTGGTGTGGGATGTTGTGAGGAGAAGAGTTGTGCAGGTGTTGAGGGAGCATGGTAGATTTGTTGTTAAAGTGGCGTTTAGTGGTAGTGGAGGGTACTTGGCTAGTATTGGTTATGATAAGAAAGTAGTTGTGTACCGACGGACGAAACGTACCGCTTTTGCTGCCTCGCAAGGAGAGCAAGAGGAGCAAGAGGAGCAAGAGGAGCAAGAGCAAGAGCCGGAGGAGTTGCAAGGAGAACGATATGTGAAAGTGTGGGAAAAGGAAACGCAAACCAACCCGGAAAGCATCCTTTTCATCCGTGCTTCCCCCTACCGTGCCTGAAAGGTTTTTGACTGTGAAGACCTCAGCTCTCGATGTTCAATGCACGTGTACGAGATCCGAAGCTGTATCGGAAAACTCCATCGACAAGTCTCTCGTTGACAAGCACAGACAAGCCCTTGAGCAGAACGTGGTCGACATAACCAATGACCGAAGCTTGGCAACACACATGCGAAACAAACTGCAATGATATCCCGGTTGGATCAGAGAAGAGTTCGCAATTGGGCAAGAGATCTAAAAAAAAAAGTGATCTGCTAACTGCTATACGGCATCAAACCCACATGCTCTGATTTCTGCTTTCAGCATGCGAGCGTACCGAGTCATCTCCTGCAACTGGTTAGGATATGCGCAGTTGCAGAAGCGACAAAGAAAGGATGATGGATTATTTAGACGAGCTTGGCAAAAAGCTTGGGTGCGGTGCACTCTTGTGCGCAGTGAGCGAGGTGGAAGAACTCTTCGATACAGTTCTCGCCCTCGAAACCCTTGCCCTCCTCTACACGCTTGGTGCACTCGTCAAAGTGGTGCTTGAATGGAGCGCAGGCCTTCGACTTCTCGCATTCTGTAGGTAGCAATTCGTATATCGATATGAGAAGATATTGGTGTCAGTCGTAATTGCTCTATAAAGTATGTCGGCGTGTCGCTGTAGGATGAAGTGTACGAACCTTCATAGATGGCAGGCGCGGGCTGAAGATGGTGAATCGTATCGGGAACATAGCAGAATTAGGGAGTCGAATCGGAAAGATGTTGGTCAGGACATTCGTGTTTGTAGCGATGTGGAGCAGTGTGTGCGTTGGTGCTGTTTACTTACGTCCTCAGGCTCATCCTGATGACGGTTGAAGAAAGAACATAAAACGTCAAGAGATGGGTCTGTGATCAGTCTTCGGCTGTTCCGAGTGACGTGAAGCAAGGCAGTCTGAGGCCTTTGGGTCGTCTACTTGCCTCGTCTTCCTCGTCTTCCTCCTCCTCTGCCTCCTCGGACTCTTCCTCGGACTCGTTGTCTTGGGACTCGTTGTCTTGGGACTCGTTGTCTTGGGACTCGTTATCTTGGGACTCGTTGTCTTCGGAAGGCGCCTGCAAGAATGTCAAGTGTGCGCGGTTTGAGATTGAAGCGAGCAAATGAGATTTGGTTGATTGGCAAGGTCAGAGGTCGGTTCAAAACAAGCGATAACTTCCGGAGAGTGACAGCCACAACAACAACAAGCAGCGCAACTTTGTCGCGATGCGAACGTCGAGTTGTACGTGTTCAATTTGTTCCCAAGAATGTGCAAGATAGACGATGCTTTTTTTGGTTGGCAAGTATGCTGCAGGTGCTCGCGTTGTGTCATACAGAGACGAAGGCGAGTGGGACATCGATGGCATATTGGTTGATATGCGGGTTGTAGTGTCAAAGTTGCTTTCAAGCATCCAAATGGGTTCCAGACGTGTGTCGATTGTTTGCTCGGTGGCATTGCAAGGCGAAGCAGTTGGATTGCTTCGCTGGAGCGGCTTCGAAGTGGGTAGGCGGCGATGGGTGGTGCATTGCATATTGTTGTTGTGGCTGGCAGGGACACGAATCAAAAGAGTGTCAACTTACCTCTTCGGCGTAGACGACTGGCAGAAGCGACGAGAAGAAGCTGGAAACGGAGCTGAAGACCGAATCGTCACCCGCGGCGGGGAACAAGACTGTGACGGATGGGGATGAGGATGGCATGGCGAATGTGTGGTGTGTGGACGGGTCGAACAAGGTAGGGGAAGACGTGGAGAAAGGTGTAGAGAGACGATCAAGCGCGATATCGATATTGACTTCTTCCAGACTTTCGGTGACGAGCAGGAGGTGTCGGTCACTTCGAGCAGACGGCCGATAGACAGCTCAGCACAACGGAGCGATGCGAGCCAAGAAGAAGTTCCATGCTCTCTCTCTGCCTTTCTCCGGCCAAAGCGATCCGCACTTTCCTGGAGAATTCAAATTTCAGGGCAGTGCGAGCTGCTGGTTTTTTTTTTTTTTCTTCTTTTGGATTTGTAATGTGCAATTTGCCAATTGAGCGCGCCTCGAACCGGAAACGAGCGGAAACGAAAGCCAATTTTCGAAGACGTACGAGAGGCGAAACGAATCGATCCGATCACGACCGTATCGGCTTGCAATAGGAGCAGATGGCCCGATTCCCCTCCACACCAAGGAAGACGGAAGCCAAGCCGAAATTGACTAAGCGCACTCAAAGGGTAGCACAAGCTGAGTCGGCATTCAAGCCGAAAGATGACTCTTCTCATCGGAACCAACCGAAATCAAGGGCCCAGCTATAAATATGCATGGACCATGACGATAGCCAGAGCAGAGCAGAGCAGAGCAGAGCAGAGCAGAGCAGAGAAAGACCCTTTCTTGTTTTATTTCTGAGAGGGGCAACTTGCTTCCCCCCCATTGCTCACCTTCTTTCATCACGCTCACGATCCAAACCGAACTTGCCACGAATCACGTTGCCGCTATGCTCTGAACGCATCCCACCCAGACCTTCCGTGTCTCAACTCCATCAACTATCACCACTCCCAGCCACGGCGCCTGGCACATCACTCTTCGTCGCACTGCATCCGAAGTGGCAGTCTGCATTGATAAAGAGCGACAGCCATTTTGTTGACAAAACCTCCAATATGGACCCCAATCGACTGCGGTCGCCGTCGTCGGCACAGCAGCCGCTACCATCAACAGCTGCTGTTGCCGGCTCCTCTTCCTCTCCCTCAAATGCGTCCACATCAAAAGCAACCAGTGGTTTCAATCACATTCTTCGCACCATTCGAGGTGGCGGACGTCCCTCATCTTCAGCATCGTCATCCACATCTGGCAATGGTCTCCTTCCTAGTACACCTTTGGCTCCAATTACCACTGCCCTTCCTACTTCCCGCAACCCTCATGACACCAGCGCATCTGCAACCCTGGAACCCCTCTCTCCTTACGACTTCAACAAGGTTGAGCCTCCCGAAGGCGGAGCATATGATGCCTTGATCCAAGATCTGCGAAGACCTCTTCCAGCTACCTCCAGAGCACGCGATGAAGCTGTAAGACAGCGTATACCCAAGATTCGTGCTCTAGCAGCTGCTGTCGAGCGTCAAAGCGGCTCCAAACCCATCTTCACAGATGACGTACCTCTGGCCGACGTCTTTCGTCTTTGCACCCTCCTCCTCACCGCCGAGCAACCTCAAAAACTCCGCATCGAGACGTGCCATCTTCTCACCTTGTCTGTCAAGCTGGCTGACAAGCGTGCAGCAAGCGCATCTCCCGCACTCACCGAGCTTCGCAATGGTGCTCCTGGCTCCCTCTCATCCAAAATCCCCGACAGTGACCAACCACTCTCTTCGATCGACCGCGCTCTCTTCTACCGACTTGTCCTCAGCCTATCCGCCAGTGAGATCGACGACCGAGGTGCCCAAGACAACACACATGTGATCCTAGCAGGTTTGCCAGTCCAGCTTTGTGCCCTCGAGGTGCTCACCAAAGATGGCCGAGATGTCATTGGCTTCCCCGGGCTGATTGTCACTTTGACTCGATGGCTCGATGTGGCTTGGGCAGAAGTTCAGCGCCTTCGTGCACAACTCCATCCTTTCGTCGACGACGCCGGCAGGATCGGCCGTGCAGGATCTGGCGATCAGGTCGAAGAGGCTATCACGCCGCAGACAGCCGCCATCTCTCAGCTTTCCTCTGCAGAACGAAACGTACAAGTTTGCTTGCAGCTGCTTACTGGTATTCTCAAGTACAGCTTTGCAAGAATCCGTCTTTCGCATGCCGAGATGGCGATCCGTAGCGCCGCTGAGCTTGTCATTGGTGAAGCTACCGCCAGTGCGATCACACTCCCCGGCTCGACCATCAACTCGCCGCCTCTGAAAAGCACTCCTCTGCTGGGTACACAGCGTACCTCAGCTGTTCTGACACCAGCGTCACGCCGATCTCGCTCTCGTGACGCTCGACCTTTGGAGACTGGCTACTCGTACTATGGCTTGGAGACCATCAGCCCCTCACGAGGGAGCAATGAGACATCACCTTCTGTCACGCCTCGCTCCTCCATCAAGCCAATCTCGATCGATGCGGTCACCTCCCAACTTCACGCAGCAGCAGCATCAGCTAAACCCTCCAACGCCGCTCCCATGACCTTGGCCACCTTGGTGCCCAGCCGCGAGTCGGCTCTGAGTGGTACTGCACCCGATGATCACGCAAGCTATTGGGCTGGACCAGAACTGCACTTGGACGAAGTGCGCAGCTGCCTCAAGCTGCTCGACGCTACTCTTCGATACGGTCATCTCCCGCCTGCTTGCATTGATGTCGTCATTAAGATGCTCTGTCGACTTCTTGGTTACTGTCGCATCGACTACAGTTCAGCCGGCTTCATGCGAACAAAGACCGAAGACCGCCAAGATGATTGGCATCCAGAGGTCTTGCCCATTCTGTCCAACATCCTTCGCAGCCACTGCGCCAATGCCGCCATTCGCTCGGCTCGAATCATACTCACAGGCGCTCCCGACACTGCCAAGGTCTCCCAACTCGAAGATCCAGCGGTTCTGGTTGGCGCTGTCAACTTCTTCCACCTTGCACTAGATCACGTTGCAGAGCAGGAAGCTCAAAACGGTCAAGGATCCAGCTCTACCGCCTTGAGCAAGGCCCAAAAGGAGGACGCCCTTGCTCCTTCTCTGACGCTGGCACTCATCACGCCAGCTTTGCGAGCCGCCTTGAAACGCCAATGCGATGTGCTCGATCTCGAAGTCCTTCTCCTTATCTCAAATCTTCTTCCTTCCGCCTTATCTGCTGCCGAACCAGCACCACTAGCCAAGCGTACAGTAGGCGAGAAGCAGAGCTCTACCGAGCACGCAGCCTCGTTGCACAACAAAACAGCCCGCGACAAGATCTTTGCTCAGTCAGACTGGGACGCACTGCTTGATCTTACCATCGATGCGAAGAGACATCTCGACGGTCTCAAGCTCAGCAGCTCCTTCCTCAGCTCATCCTCAAGCAAAGGCACCACGTCTTTGCATGCCAAGGCTGAAGCTTCGCAAGCTTTGCCTAATCTCAGCACGGGTCAGACTTCGCCCATCTCTGCTATGCTCAAGCTGCTAGACAAGCTCAGCATCTCGCACCCACCGAGGGCTCCATCGGACCTCAAAGACGCGGAGCAGAAGCAGCGCGCCACGGAAACCACCGACTCTGCCTTGTCACCCTCACCTCCGTGGACGCCCAAGCTGGCCTCCTTCCTCCTCACTCTTTCGCCTATTTTACCAGATGCAACAGTTTCGAAGTTGGTGCAATACTACTGGACCCAGCACCTCTGTCTGCCGAGCAATCCGGACTGGCTTCTCAACATTCGAGCCCTATTGCAAGCCTTCTTCTACCGCAACGTGTCTCATACTCAGGACAGTCTGGAGGAAGAGAGGAGACGACGCGATCTCGTCTCGCTCGTATTCGACCACGTCTATAACGCTGTACAGGACCTCAACACAGAGCGTGACCTTTTCATGACAGAGATCGTGTTGCCATTGGCAAACTCGACGCTCTCGTCCGAAACAGACGTCAGAACTGAAACAATGCTGCGCTCTGTCCTGGTGCACGCCGCCGTCCTCAGTGGGTCTCAGATCCCAGGCCCAGTCGACCCAGAAGCCGAAAACGTGGATGATGTTCAGAAGGATCAGTCGGGTTCGGAGTTCGAAGAGGTCTTCGTGGAGATTCGCAAGCTGCTGTGCAGGCTTGCCCGCTCTGGTCCCTCGCACAAGGCTGTCACCTTTGACGTGTCGGCAGACGAGCCAGAAAATCAGCAAGCTCATGCCACGCCGCATGCTCGTCGTGGTATCACTGCTACCGAGAACAAAGCACGAAATGCAGCGCTCGACATGATTGCTATCTTCAACCGTATGGCCTTCAGCACTCCCTGGATCGCAAACTCGGTCGACCGAGAAGTTGACTTGTCGATTCGACAGCGCTGGGAAAAGAAAACGCGTGCAGGCTGCATCGCCATCTTCCGCGATCTCCTTGAGCTGCTTAAAGTCAAGCCTCCATCAGTCTCAGGCTTTGCGGCAGGGTCTTCCGCATCGTCGTCCAGTGGCTCGGCTTGCACGTCGACAAGGCTTGCTGTCCTTGAATGGCTACTACGCTTCCGTACAGATCGCCAGCATCGCGTGTATCTCGCCGGAGACCTCGATGAGCTTGTGCACGCAAGCGCTGCCATCCTCATGAAAGGGCCCAAGGAGCCCGAAGGAGAACAAGCGCCTCTTGGACGACAGGCGAGCCAAGCATCTCACAGTACCGACACACGCTCCCGCGCTGCCTCGAAGGCGGCTCCAGTCACTGCTCGCACGGAGCGCGCGGGACGCGATGCTCAGCGCAGTGCCGACGCCACTGCCAGATCCAAGTCTCGCCTCCGCGAACTGTCTCGTGAGCGAGGAAGGTCAGAGCGCAGCACAGATACCTCGAAGCGTCCAGCAGGTGAACGCGATCGCAGTAGCAGCCAGCAAAGGTCTGCTCGACCTGCGGTGTATGAGCATCTCTGGCGTCTGCCTCAGACGATCTCGTTCGAGATGCCAACTATCTCGCTCCGCAGTGACATCATCTACACGTATATCCATCAGCGAAACGACATGGAGTGCTGTGCTGGCAACACCTATCTGCATAGCGACAAGGACAACAAACCTGCCCCCATCCCTGTGTCGGAGTTCTTGGCTGTTGCGATCGACATCTTGCGTTCCGAACAAGACTGGGAGGTGGTGTCGTATTTGCTCTGCCACTTGCCGCACCAGCTCAGTAACAAGCATCTTTTCTGCGGTCCCAAGGCGCAGCTAGAGGTGCTGCACCTGCGCAAAGAGATCTGCCAAGGCATTTTGGACGACGCACTCTTGCCTAAAGTGCTTCTACCAGAAGACTTGAAGAAGACCGACGTGACAGCCGTCGTCTACGACACACTTGTCACGCTCATCAGCTATCGTACACTTTTCTCGCGAGCAGAGCAGGACGAGATGGTAGATGCTTTCATCCGTGGTCTGAAGAAGTCCCATACGACAGCAAGATCCTGCATCAAGGCTCTATCGATTGCATGCTACGAGATGCAGAAGAGCTTCACGCGCTTTTTCTCCAATATGCTACTTACTCTCACTGCTGTTCGCTCGCACATGACGATGAGTGTCCACATTCTCGAGCTCATTGCGACGGTTGCTGAGCATCCGGCTTGCTATGCCAACTTCACCGAGACCGACTACAAGCGCGTCTTCAGTATCGTGCTGCAGTACATCGAGTATCACCAGAGTCCTGAAGCTGCGACGCGTGACGACTACCGCGCTAGCCCGGCAACCTTCTCGCTGCACCAGTACGTTATGCTCATGGCGTTCTACAACATCTCACTCTGGTTTGTCATTCTCAAGATCGGTGACCGACCCAAGTACCTTCCCTACATCTCGCGTGGCTTGCTGAAAGCCAATGAAGGAATGGAAGCTCTGTCAGATCAGACTCAAGTCTGCTTCGATTTCTTAGCTCGCTTCACTCACTCGAATGCCGACAGCAAGCCGAAAAAGTCGTTTGTCAATCAGCTGATCATGGGTGCTCCATCTGCAGGCCCCGTCAAGGGCAAAGATGCAGGTCGACATTCGAAGACTTGGCTCATGGGTAACGGTCTTCTCACAGTCTCGACGGCAAAGAAGGCAGGATGGGCTGAGATTGTCATCCGTCGTCCCTCTGGTACGGCGACGATGCTTTGCAAGTTGGAGAACATGCCAACGGGCATCTTCCCGGATGAGAACGGAGAGAAGGACCATTTGCCGGCCATGCTGATGATGAACCGCCACCCGGACACGATGGCTTCGCCAACGCTACCTGCACCTGCACCTGCAGAAGACCCCGCAGAGATGCTGATAGAAGGTCAGCGCGAACAAGGCGACGGAGAAAGCAAGGAGGGCGGCAGCAGCCTTCGCCGACGTGTTGAGGAACGACTCGAGATCAGCGAACGTTTGCGTGCTCGTCGACCCCTTGGTCCTGCACACTTCGGCTTGGCTGCGCGCCCGCGATCTTCGTCCTTCTCAGGAGCTCTTTCTCAGAGTTCGAACTTGCAGAAAGGTGCACTGAGTGATGAACATGCAGGTAGCTCGCTTGCTATGCGCCAGGTCATGCGCGACATTCTTGGCACGGACAAGACATTGACCGAAGACTCAACAGCGACGACCAAGCCAAAAGCAACGTCGAAGGAAGCAGAGGTTGATCCGAGCTTCTTTGCGCTCCAACTTTCGACGTATCCTGATATGCTGCACGACACTGCGCCAATCTTGCTTCCCGATGAGCCAGCAACCGATAGGCTAATTCGCACTGTGGACCTGACTCCAGTGGTCGACTTCCACAAGATTGGCGTCCTGTACGTTGGACCAGGCCAGGAAGATGAGGTCGAGATCCTCAGCAATCGACATGGCTCTCGAGCCTACACCCGCTTCTTACAGGGCCTGGGACATCTGGTCGCCCTCAAAGGTCAGGAAGATGTCTACACCGGTGGGTTAGACCGCAACAACGACGAACATGGCAAGCACGCCTACGTTTGGACCGACGAGATCTGTCAGATTGTCTACCACACGGCCACTTTGATGCCTAACGACGAACGTGATCCTATCCGACGCTCCAAAAAGGCACTCATCGGTAACGACTTTGTTCATATCGTATTCAACGAGTCAGGCCGTGATTACAAGTTCGGCACTATCGCTGGTCAGTTTAACTACGTCAATGTCTGCATCAGCCCCACGACCCGTGGCGGAGTTAACCTCGGATCGGCCAATCCGGACGATGCGATCTTTTATCAGGTCACATTACAACGTCGACCTGGTATGCCAGAGTTTTCGCCCGTTGGTGATGGGCAGCTACTGAGTGCAGATGCATTGGCGAGCTTTGTTAGGATCTTAGCGCTGCACAGTAATATGGCTAGTCAGATCTATTTGGATACAGGAGAGGCGATGCAGCCGTATTCGAGTAATTGGGTTTCGAGGTTAGGTCACATTAGGAGAGCTAGACAACAGTTTGCTGCCAAAAAGGCAAAGGCTCAAGTTGAGGCAGGAGAAGTAGTGGAACAACAGCAAGGAGGAGGAGGTGGGAACATGTCGGTCAACTCTCAGATGGCGGATTTGTATGATTTCACCAAGGCTTTCTAAGTTCACATTCGCCGTCATTTGCAACAGTGTCTGATATAGTGTCGGGTCTCGGACACTGACTTCAAATGCATTCGCGATCAGGCATGTGATCGGTACACGTGTCACCCAGCGGGAGCGCAACTTCAGCGCACGCTCGCTCAAACATCTCTTTTCCTTTACGACCATCATCTCTCTTCGCGCTGGCCACAGGCAGCGCTTTCTGTCTCACCCACCACGCCCACCCACTTTCTTTGTTACTTAGGTCTCACGCGCGTTCCGCCTCACTCTCACACGACGCTCGACCATCTGTAGCCCTTACGGCCACGGTTGGGAGCTCGTAAGCGACTCACCCGAGTTAGGCAATCAATTCTCTTTCCCATCTCTGACATTGTGTATCAGTCAAGTGACCAGCGACGTTGATGTATCGGATCATCGCCTGGATTGTATTATTACATGCTCGAGAGGAAGACAAGTGTCACAACACAGGATGTGTGGGGTTTTATGTTTGTATGGTACTGTGAATGAAACCAAACCAAAAACGAAAACTACAGATAGAGAGATCTACCTTTGCTTCACCTGACGCCGCAGAGTTGAACTCTCCCACATCGCCTATCTTGACCCTCGGCTGTTGCCCAAGATGTAGTCTGCTGAAGGATAGCATCCAGGTGCAATAGCAGCAGTAACTCTCCTTTCATTGATATCGCACCTTGAGCCTCGCCAAAAAAGAATGCTCCGTACTGGGCTCGAACCAGTGACCTTCCGTTGTAACGATCTCAGACAAGTCATTCTGAGGCATCTCCTATTAGACGGATGCGATAATCGAACTACGCTAACGAAGCTGTTATGTCTGGTAGTGCTTGGTAGTGCTTAGCATTGCAAGTATAGACACAGGATAAAATAAAATAAAAAAATAAAAAATAAAAAATAAAAAATGAAATGAAATGAAATGAAAAAAGAAAAAGAAAAAGAAAAAAGTTTCGTCCGAAATCTCCTTTTCCGTCGTCATCCGTCACTTCTTAAGCGGGGACAAGTGGAAGAAGTGGGAGAAGCAGCAAGGGGACAAGTGGCAGAGGATTGGCTCAAGCTTGGCGGTTGGATAGCCGATTCCCCACACTTCTCTCTTGAAAGTTGATGTTCTAAGTCGCCGACACTCTTCTGAACGACTGAACGACAACGGTACTGTGTGAGAAAAGAGTGTCTTACTAACCATCTTGTGTTGCCGCTCGCCGACTCTCTTTGTGGATTTCTTTTGGAATTGCTCCAACTCGGATTGGCTACAGCAAGCACCGCTTCGACCTCTACCTTTACCCTCCTCCCATCTCACCAATATATACACAACCCTCACCCTTACCCTCACCCCCATTCTCACCCTCACCCCCATTCTCACCCTCATTCTCACCCTCACCTCTGCCTTACTCCCCACTCACAATGTTAAAGTTCTCCGAAGTGCAGCAGCACAACTCCAAAGACTCTTGCTGGGTTGTTGTTCACGGTAAGGCATACGACCTTACCGAGTTCCTTCCCGACCATCCCGGGGGAGCAGGTATCATTCTCAAATACGCTGGCAAGGACGCCACTGAAGAATATGACCCAATCCATCCACCCGGTACACTCGAAGAAAACCTTGCCAAAGAAAAGTGTCTTGGTCCCGTAGACCCTTCCACGATCACCAAAGAGATCAAGAACGAATCTGATCCCGCCAAACAACTCGCCAAGCAAAAGGACCATGGTGCAATCCCTCCACTCTCTCAATGCCTCAACCTCTACGACTTTGAGGTGATTGCTAAGCGCGTATTAAAGCCCACTGCTTGGGCATACTACTCTTCAGGTGCCGATGATGAGGTTACGATGCGAGAGAATACTTCTGCTTTCGCTCGCATCTGGTTTCGACCTCGTATCTTGAGAGATGTGTCCAAGATCGATTACTCCACTTCCATCCTCGGTCACAAATCTACTCTTCCCGTCTACATCACAGCCACTGCCCTCGGTAAGCTCGGTCATCCGGACGGAGAGAAAAACTTAACCGTTGCCGCTGGTAAGCAAGGAATCATTCAAATGATCCCCACCCTCGCTTCCTGCAGCTTGGACGAAATCATCGGTGCACGAGTCAACGAGCAGCAAGTTCAATTCATGCAACTCTACGTCAACTCGAACCGTTCCATCACTGAAAAGATCATCGCCAAAGCCGAAGCTGCAGGTGTAAAAGCTTTATTCGTTACCGTCGACGCTCCCCAGCTCGGTCGTCGAGAAAAGGATATGAGGATGAAGTTCGACGACGTAGGAAGCGACATGCAAAACAAGAACAAAGACAACGTCGATCGCTCCCAAGGTGCTGCCCGCGCCATCTCTTCTTTCATCGACCCATCTCTCTCCTGGGACGACCTGACTTGGCTTCGAAGCCTAACTCGAATGCCTATCGTGCTCAAAGGCGTTCAGACATGGCAAGACGCGCTTCGAGCCGCCCAACTTGGTCTTTCCGGTGTTGTACTCTCCAACCATGGTGGTCGACAACTCGATTTCGCCCGCTCCGGAATCGAAGTATTAGCCGAGGTCGTAGAGGCTTTCAAGGCAAGGGGGTTGTTCCCAAATCCCATGTTCCAGATCTTTGTCGATGGCGGTATCAGGCGTGCATCCGACGTGTTGAAGGCTCTAGCTATCGGTGCTACCGCCGTCGGAATTGGAAGGCCTTTTTTGTATGCCTACTCAGCATACGCTAGTGATGGCGTCGTTCATGCGATTCAATTGCTCAAAGCCGAAATGGAGATGAATATGAGATTGTTGGGAGCTGCGACACTCAAGGATGTAGTCCCCGAAATGGTCGATGCTAGAGCCTTGGCTACACATGTCAACTTTACTCCCCCTAGCCATGGTCATCAGATCTATGAGAAATTGCACACTGCCGTTGGGATGCCTGGAGAACCTTCTAACAAGCTTTAAACCCAACCCCCCCCCTCGCTCCTCAGCTCACGACTTGTAAAAATTTGCTTACAACGACATTTCTTACACCAGACCGTTCGTGATGAATGTACTGTACTGTACGAGAGAGGTTATGCTAAAACACCAGAATCAATAGCGACAACTCGAACAGTACGGTCGAAACCACAACTAGCTACCTCTCCTTCGCCCAACACAACCAAGTCCTTGACAATTGTATTTCCGCCTCTAGTCCAACTGGTAGCTGCTTGTCTCTCGCCTCGATCGGGATTTGATGCGATTCCGTGCGCAGCAACGCGAGCTCATGTTCGACCCTTGACATCCACGAGACTGACAACTCCATCTTCGCCGTTCAACCAAACTGCTCTTCCACTTGGTAGCCAGCTATGCCTAGGTACGGCGTAGGAGCTGGTTGCAACGCCAGTCCACACCGTTGCTGCTCTTTTCCCGCTTAGTGGCGGGAGAAGCAGCAGCCGAGATAGTGAGCCAGCCGTGTTTGATGACGTGGACGCGCGCCATGTAGGCCAGGTGTGGTCGCCGGTTTGGATGCAGATATAGAGACCAGAGGGGTGGAGAGATAGGGAGAGCAGCGAGTACGAGACGTGGAGATCGAGAGCGTTTGGGTTGGTGTTCAAGCTAACCACTGTCAAGTCTGGGGTGCGCCTGGTGGCGGTTGGAGTAGTGTATAAGTCGGGAGCCGTGTCGCAGTCGGCGGAAAGAGGAAGGGAGAGGTAATGGATGAAAGAATCGTTTCTCACTGTATAGCATAGCCAAGTTCGTTTTTGTTTTGCTTCTCTAACAACCACTTCTCCCTTCTCCGCTCCACCCCGTTGCACTATACCTTGCTCATCTTCGTCGGTGGGGGGGGGGGGGGGATGCGTGTGCTGACATGAAACCAAATGATACATTGCAAGGGAAAGCAAGAAACGAACGACAAACCGCGAACAGAAGCAAGCATCACAGCTTTACTAGTCGGGAGATATTTGTGTGTATGGAGTGAAAGCTAGCAAGTGCCTACATGTGTATGACAGTCTTTCGTGACAATCTAGTTGATAGGGTCCTCACCGTTCCAGTGAACCAAATCCAAGCATCGGTCGATTACCTTCTCAACGTTCCATCTGCCACCTGGACCACCTGAGCCGTACTTGAGATGCAACAAGGTACCAACCTCGTCACAAGCCCTCAATACATCGTCGATGTCCTTCTTTGTATGCGAAGCACTGACGCAGAATCGCACACGCGAAGAGATCAAAGGCGTTGCAGGGTACGCAACCACCACCACAACAATGGGTGGTCGTGCGGGACGGTCGATGTTGGCGGGCGATGCTGGGTCTTCGATCTCCTTCCTCTGCTCTGGTGACAGATCCGATTCTTGAACTGCAAAGCGTTGCGATGGAGGCAGTACCGAAGATCGATCGAGCATCATACGTGAAAAGAGCGACATCTTGGCAGGGTGGAAGATGAGCAAAGGAACGATGGGAGAGTCTCTGTGACCATAGATGATGAACCCGAGCTTGCGCAGACCGCTGCTAAGATATCGTGCGTTAAATGCAAGACGACGCAATCGTTCGCGACCTTCACTGCCGTCAAGGAGGTTGTGAGGGAGCTGAACCCAGCTTGGGAGAAGGGCGAGCTCTTCCGGGTCACGTCCGACACCCATAATCGAGGCCATAGAGGCAACAATCTGGGTAAGAACGGGAGGCGAGAGAGTTTCACCGTAGACGTTTGCGTGGTTGGTCAATCGGATGCGGTCAATGATGCTCTTGTCAGCGGCGATGTAACCACCAGCAGCACCGAACGACTTGGTGAAAGTGCCCATCAAGATTTCGACCTTGGCCGGGTCGACACCGAAGTAGTCGCATACACCACGACCCTTGGGGCCGATAGCGCCGACGGAGTGAGCCTCGTCAATGTACAGGTGGAACTTGTACTTTTCCTTGAGACGCATCACTTCAGGCAAGTTGACCAGAGTGCCTTCCATAGAGTAGAGACCCTCGACAATCAAGAGAATCTTCTTCCAAGGTCGGTGGGTTCGTGGCATACCCTGACTGATGCACTCGCGAAGCAGTGACTCGAGCTTCTTCATGTCGTTGTGCTGGTACTGTCGGATGTGAGCGCCACTGAGACGGGCACCGAACCGGATCGAGCTGTGGTTGTATTCGTCGGAGATGATCAGAGTACCGGGACCGGCAATGGCAGGGATAGTGGTGCTGTTGGTAGCAAAGCCCATACTGATGACAACAGCCTCTTCCTTGCCAACAAACTTGGCCACAAGTCTCTCGGTCTGTTGCTGCAAATCAAGGTGACCCGCGCCGAGACGGCTACCGTAACTGCTAACACCGTATTTTCGCAAGCAAGTCTCGACTGCGTCAGCGCAGCCACCGTGGGACTGGGCGAAACCGAGGTAATTGTAAGCACTGATGTTGAGGGCACGCGTCTTCTCGCCGGTCAAACGGAAGGTCTGGTAGTAGTCGAGCGCGACACGGTCGAGGCAGACGACAGTCCTGCCGCAAACACCGGTAACGGGACGGCTGAAGCAGTCGTCCATACGAGCCTTGAGACGACGAGTGTAAAAACTGTCAAAGTCCGAGTTGAGGGCAGCGTAGCCATCGCGCTCCATGAGGTGGTGGTAGCTTTTAGGGAAGAGGCGCTTTCCGGCGAAGTCACGCATGTGACCGATAAGGATGAGGATGATGTAGCTGATGTATGTGGTCAAGACGGTGAAATAGCTTGGTTCCTCCTCAACTGGGTTGGGAAGTGGATCGCCACGACGGTGTTCGGATGTGTAACGGTAGTCGGGGTTGGCGCAGTAGCCAAACTCGGAATGAATGAGCTTTGCGCCATCTTGGCTACTGTCGAAGCTAGTGGGAGCTTGTTCGTGAGCTGAGCCGTAGACAAGGGTTCCATCAGCGCCGTAAGCAACGTCGCGCTTGCCATTCTGGAATCGAGCGCTGAGACTGCGGTGGTGAGCGTCCTGAACAGACTCTAGGCTCTCCACGGAAGCAGAGGTGGAGCCTGTTGTGAGACTTGGTGCTTGCGACTCGACATCAGGCGAACTGTCTGGACTGGACGAGTAGCCAGACCAGCCATTTTGGTGCGCAGGCAAATCGAGCTTGTTGGGCGCCATGTTGTGGGTTGAATGAGCGGGTGGCGAGATGGCAACGATAGGTACGCCCTTTTTCAGAAAGGCAGAGAGTGACGGCGAAGACGCAAGTGGTGATTTGGCGGAGAGGCTAGACCTCTTATTGCTGTGGTTTGGCGCGATGTGACGAGGATCGATCTCTGTGAGGGCAGGCGCCATGATCTGTTAGTGCCACCAAGTGTACGAAGCCGCGAAGGTCGACTAGGGATCGTCAACGACAATCGAGTAGGTCGACAGTCGTGGTACGGGAAATGTTTCGGTCGAAGCCAGCAACTGAAAGATAGTTGAACAAGAAGGATACACGAAGCGTGCCCAAGCGAAGCGGAAAAGCTTGATACGAGAGTCAAGCGGCTCCTCTATGACACTATCAAACCGTACCCAGTTCGTCAGGGATAGAGTTGGTGCGAGCGGGGTGAGATTTGTGCGAGCGACGGCAAAAAAGAGAGCTTTTCGACGACAAGGAATAAGGTCAAGTGCGTGTCTTGATCGAAAAGGTTGATAAGGTTTTTGATGTTGGTGTCAACGTTGGTGGTGTTGGAGGTGAAAGAAGCTGGCGTGAGATAGGCTTGAGCCGGATCGAAGTCACGGTTTTCAGCTCCAGGGTCAAAATGAGGCGAGCGAGAGACACAACGGTGATCCTTTTCCGGTTACTGCTTCCTGAAGGTCGAGCGTCGTGCTGGGGCGAATTCCGAGCCAAAATTCGTTAAAGTTGCACTGACGCTTAGGGAAACACGCTTTCGAACGCAGTTGCAAATCCACTATCTCGCAAACTCGAAACCCACACGCGCTTCCTAAAAGAAAACTTGCTGCACACACACACACACACATATACGCGCCTGCATCACCGCCAGCGATTCAACAATCAGCAACAACAGCACAACAGGCGCTTTCATCTTGATTCGTGCTAGGGTCGACAATCACGTACAGTGTACAAGCTGACGGCTAAGCGCTATCATGGTTCAAAGATTTGCAAAGCACCTCCATCTCCAAGATACCAATTCTGACCTTTCCTTTCGAGCCATCCAAATAGACTTTCTCGCATCTTTGTTGATGGCAAGGACGTTGAAGCTGGCCTATGCTGTTTATGGTGGAAAACTAGCAAAGCGAGCCACCAAGATCACGGGAAAGTGGCTCCGAAGCTCGTTCAAAAGTCCGCGCTGTCAGCACACGCTCGTTGCAAATCGTATCCTCGGGGATGATCATCTTGATGACAGACACAGCCTCGCGAAAGAAACACGGTTCGATTTCCGAGGACAAGAGGCTCTAGAGCAGCACACTCGCATTCAACACCGCGGCAATATTTCTCTGATTTTTGTTGAGCCGACGATGAATTTCGAAAGTCGACGGCAAATCGGAAGTAAGCTTTCCAACTCACACAGCATGGTGACGCGCTCCTCGATTTGGAAAACCCTAACATAATCAGCCAATCTGAAGCTCCTACATGAGGCACTGCTCAGTCGGCCGGCAGGAAGAGCATTGTCTAAGTGTCCCGATCTGACACATCTTAGATATGAGCACGTCGAACCTTGGCTTCGAAGCTGCTGACAACTCGAAGCCTCAGTGACAAAACACTCCGTGACGGAAACAGGTGGCCATGGAAGTGCAATCTTTCCCTCCTGCAATCTTGACTTCTCACTGAGTTGCCTCGCAAACGGAAATTGCTGATCCTGGCCTCGCTGTGCATCCATTGCAGGTCGTGGAAGAACACCTGCCCAGTACTGGGCCCGTCTATCCTCTCACCATCTGACTGCAGCACAATCACCAACGCTTTCAAAACAGGGGGCATATCGGATCAACACGATTGTGCATAGGATTGCTTTTTGGTTGGCTTGCATGAGCGCTGTGGGCACTCAAAGTCGATCAAGACCACCGCCGCAATCGACGATGGTCATGTACATGTGTGTGTATGTGAGCGTGTGATGGGTTGCGTAGGATGCAGATCGTCAACGTGCATGATGAAGCCGCGATCGAAATGCGTTCCATAGGGCTAATGTAACAAATGCGGGGTGGCTAAGAGACAGCATGTACGGTCCAAAGATGGTGTGTGCGGGGAATGGAAGGACGTGCATTTAGACACGGACCTTACCGGCCCCACCCTTCATCTGCTGTCGCGAAACCTGGGGACCAGCACCACCGGCACCAACCGACTTGATCTTGTTGGCCTTGCGAACCTCGGCCTTGGCCTTCTTGTCCTCCTTGCTCTTGGTGATGGCGGCCTGGCGGGCGGCAGCACGGACCTCGGGCTTCTGGTTTCGGCGGGCGTTGATCTGGTCGAGCGAAGCACCGACGATACCACGCTGGTGCTTGACCGTCTTGCGCGAGCGCTTCTTGGCGACCTCCTCGGTGACACCCTTCTTGTGAAGACGACGGTAGACAACAGTCCAGGCAATCTTACGGGGGTTCTTGCGCTGCAAGAAGAGAGACTCGTTCTTGGAGCTCACAAAGCGGAAGACCTGTTGGGTTGTAGTGGTGATTCAAGACTCGATTCAGTCAGGAGCTGTTCAGGCAGCAACGATGTTGTGCGGTCGAGCAACGAAGGAAGGCAAGGCGAACGTCTCCAAGACAAAGATATGAGGCAAGTCGACTTTGTCGCTGACTATCACAACCTGCTGAGCAACGATCTATGCGTCTCTAACCATCTGTACGACGGAAGCTTGCCTTGCATTCTTCCGGCCCAACCATTTCGTGAAAACGTACCTTGTTGTCACCACGGACGTAAAGACGACCCTTGCCACTGTAGGATGTAAATGCGGCATGATCAAGATGTCGAAATGATGCGTGCTGGAGGGTTAGTATAAACTGAACGCACATAGGTTATGGGTTCCCATGGGCTGCTGAAACAATGTCGTCGAGATCTCCTCTGCATGTGTGTCGTCCGGCCTAAAGGCCCTTCCTGATGTCGTCCTGGACTCATTGACCGGACAAATCTTCCAAATGCAGCATCCTCGACAGTGTCGTCACCGGCTGTCAAACACCGTCCCGACAAACAGACCCCAAAACAAGTTACTTTCGTGATAATCCAACCTTGCTTTCGGACAGTTCTTATTGGACCTAGTTGACACGGATCACTCTTCCAGAAACAAGAAACTGGATGCGACTCTACAGTAGGCCCCGCTTCACCTCCGGTATTGACTTTTCCTGGATGCCTCAACTTCGTTGCAATCTTCCCGTGCTGACAGCCTTTGATGTTGTTGGATGAGTGACCTGTGCGTCTTCGATAATGCCCGATAGGTGCTGATGCTGAAGCCATGCTGAATACTGTAGATATGACAATCGTCCATGTTCAAAAGTCCTGAGCAATGACTCGACCGCCTGGACTTGGTAAACGTCCGTGTCCACGCCAACGCTGTATGATCTTTCTTCGTTGTCATTAATCCTGCCTGCTCCTTCCAATCTTTCCAATCTTTCCAATCTTTGCACGTCCAGTGCCTACCCGTAAGGGTAGTACAGCATCCAGCGAATCCTTTCATGTGTCGTGTGCTGGTGCTGCCGAAAGTGTACTTGTCTATGCATTTTTGCAGCATTTGTCTGAAAGTAGCGGCCCATGGGATGACGAACAAGCAACGGCTTGTAAACTTACGGGTAGATCTTCCTCTGGGAGAATGCGCAAATCTCGACCTTCATCTGTGCAGTGGTAATATGGTGATGGTTGTGGTGTAATAAGTTGGAGGTAATAAACGTGACGTGTGTTGGAATTGGTGAGCGTTTCTGGTCAGATGTAAAGATGCTGATGTGGCTGCCGCTTGGAGCTTGCTGATATTGTCGATGCTCCAGGCTAGTGTCTGTCGATATTCTTACCTTGACGGTATGTATGGATGATCTTGAAGTTGGTCGACAGGGAGCAGGAGTACCAGCGAGTCTCGATAGCGACGACGCACTCCAACGGTTTCTAGACCTCGAATCGGTGAGGTTGTCAGAGAGCGGGGCAGTCGTGCGATTCAAGATGAGGCTTCCAAGCCCAAAAATAAAAATAAAAAAGAAGTTTGAGCACGTGATTCAGCCACCTCGGCCGGCCTCGATCTTTTCTCAGATCAGAGACTTTGCTGTGCGTATATTGTAGGTCTAACAGCCATGAAATTGGAACAACAATCTGAGCACCTCTCTTCTTCCAGTGTTTCCAGCAATCCCGATGCAACTGGAGGGCAGATAGTACTGTAGACAGGCTTTGCTTTGCAGGCAAAGCTGGAATTCACAAACATGCTGTTGATCGGCGAGCCTTGAGATGGATTAATATCGCACCTGCCCAGATGTCAGGGAGCAATTCGGCGGTTTGGAACATGCCTTCTGACCTCGTGGGGATAGCGCATCGTCGAGCTGCAGGAGCAACCACATGAAGCGGTCCTCGGCGTCCTTGATAACGATGGCAGTGCAAAAGAGCTCACGAATGGGAAGTGTGATAGCAATCGACCACATGGAGTCGAGGCTGTGTCCGGCGGAGAAAGCATCTGCGACAAGTTTAAAGAGCCTTTGCTACTCGGCCTTTTCAACGGAGGCAGGCAGCAAGTCCATCGCAGCAGCGACGACGTTGCTCTCATTTATGCAAAGGACCAAGAGATCTGATAACGTCCATCGTGTTCGCGCTCTTCCTTGCACTCGATCATGTCGAGTCTTGGACCCCTTCATCCATGTGAGAAAGGCTCCGACCCGCCACGGAACACCGTTGGCAACCCTGAAATCGAGAAAAGCTCCCACCTTAAAAATTTGAGCCATCTCGTCAGGGAGAGGCCGGAACTTACGAGACTGGTTGCACCAGAGCTCCTCAGTCTGTCGCGGAATGTCTTTTATCCATTCGTTCGGCTTTGCCGTGGCCTTGGAACGGAAATGAGGTTCGGTGTTGAGGGTGAGCCAAATTTGTTTGCTGCTTGGGCAGCGCGGCTGGACAAGTCAAGGGTCGTTCGCATCTGGTCAGGCACAAGACAGAGAGCTCTGACACTGGTCATTTCAATTTCAGGTTCGGGTGTCAAACTTGCTCGCCTAGAGGAGCAAACGTTGGAGTAAGCGTTCGCTTGTGTATCACTTTCAGACAGTGTGTGGAGAGCAAACTGCAGAACCAACAGGGATTGCGCCAGTGTTCGAGTCGAGCTGCACCGCCCTCGGCGGAAACCTGGAGGTGAAGTTGCTTTCCCCCTCACGCAACGGATCTAAGAACACCTCGGTATTTCCGATTAAAGCACAGTTGCACGGGCACCTCGCCCAAGCAAAGTAGTCCGCTCAACTCTTGCTGTCGCCGTGCCTGAAGCGCTGAGTGACTGATACGACCAGTGCCCTCCATACGACAGTGCCCTCGATATGACAGTGCCCTCGATACGACTGTGCCCTCGATTGTTGCTGTCGAATTCGTGAGAAACCAAGTCAAGGCTCTTCGTGAACGATGCCTCTTACACACAATATCGTGGCGCTATGCTCCGCCGTCGGTAGGTATCGAAAAACCAAACATTGCTGCAGACGTGTAGCCAACAGAAGCATGCCCTACAGTACAGCAAGTTCTGTCGGGTCAATTGTATCACGGTGACATGAGCGAGCAGTGATGCGAAAAATGTGCCCTGTCTGGTGTGCACGATGAATTCGGATTTGCTGTTGCTGCTATGCTAACCGAAAGTTGACCCACCAAACCATCTCTTCCCACCACCGTCCTCGCCTTTCCCTCCGCTGCTGCTGCTGACTCCCTCCCTCCCCGCCATTTTCCTTCCTTAGAGCTTGTGGTAAGTACCTAGCATCTTCGACATGATGAATCGCAACTTGAGACTTGGAGGTCCTTAATCCAACCGAGGGACAACATTTAGCTCGCAGAAGACAAGTTGCTAAAGCGCCAAAGCCCGGTCCGGCGGACTCGTTCGCAATGTCGAGATACTGCCCAAAAGCCTTGTCCTCGCTCGCCCTTTCAGCATTTTCAAGTTCGAACGCTCGAATCTCATCCGAACCTTCGCGCAACCGTTGACGGATTGCCCAAGTGTTCGTCATCGACGTGCGGCTTGGAAGCCGCCTGCCTCCACTGCATAGGTTTGCAAACGGTTGTCGAGCTGTCCGGAACGCTTTCTCGATGTCGCTGTCATTCTCGCAAACAAGAGTCTCGAAGTGGTGTTTCTTTTGGTGAAACAAAGCAGACGGTTGGCCAAGAGAGGTAGCTATCGGTGGGGCGCAGCCATAGGTCGCACATGGAAGACAACCTTTTAAGGCTCTCGGCTTCATCCCCTCTCAATGTCCCACTTTTCTCGCACTTGGAGAGCCGCCAGCCTCGATGTCTGCCGGGCCTGGTTAATCTTCGCTTCGCTACTTGCAACAAGGCCGCGGTCGATTTTTGGCTAGCCAAGCCTCGAATCTGTATACGCCTTTAGCCATACTGTGACACACTCTCCTTACTGACAACCTATCCTTTCTCTGTCTCGACCAAACATTCTCTGTGATGTTTCCGACCCAACAGCTTAGTCCGCTTGAGTTTTACTCGCGAAACAGCCAGCTCGCATCACCTCGTCCTCCGCCTTACCGCCTTCTACCTTCCACGCCTCTTCGCCATCTTTTCCTCGACCTCGAATCAAGATCACGCCCTCGACCTCGTCTCACAACGCTCGAAGCCCATCCTCACCGTCCGTCATCCCCCGCTAGAAGAGTCATTGATACATCGCGCGCCATTGGTCGCTGCACTCGTATTCGTGTCTTTAGCCAACTCGGAGCCTGCCTTAGCTGTCAGCCGCTCCTACTTCTTCTTGACACATCGAGCATTCCTTACTGCTCAGACTTCCTATCACCCGCTTTTCACCATGCAGTCAGCCAACACCGCCACCGCCGGCACTCAGCCTACCACCGCCCCCGCCTTCCAACGCCCCTCCGGAAGTGGAGGAGGCAACAAGAAGGGCACCAGCGCCGAGCGCCGAGCCACGCACAATGCCATTGAAAGAGCTCGTCGCAAGTCCCTCAACGGTCGCTTCCTTCAGCTTGCCGCCACGCTGCCCTCGATCTCGGATATGCGTAGGCCAAGCAAGTCGATCATTGTCAACAAGTCGCTTGACTTTGTCGCCGATGCCATGAACCGTGAGGTCATCTACCGCCTCAAGATCGACAACATGCGTCAGGAAAACATGCAGCTGCGTGAGCAGCTCAACAAGTTCTTGACTCAGGAAGGCCTCGAACCGCTTGCTCAACCTCCCGTGGACGAGTTGCCTGTCCCTCTTGCCGAGATGCGCAACAAGAAGCGCCAGAATAGCTTCAATGCGCCCAGACCCCTCGTTGACATGTACGATCTCGACGACGATGACGGACTCTTCGCTGCCGGCAGCGAGGGAGAGGGTGGAAAGACTAGTCCTACATCAACCACTTCTGGCGCTTCCAGCATCCACGCCTCGCTCGCCAGCTCGATGCCCACAGGTGTTGCCAGTTTCACCCCCATCTCGCAGAACGACAACTTCGGCCAACAGACCAACTTCTTGGCTGCACCTGCAAGCTCTGTTGCTGCTAGCGGCACCTCGCCTGGCACCTCTTCGAACTCTGGCGACCTCGGATCCAGGGAACGCAGCGCTGGCTTTGAAGACGCTGCGAGTCACTGGATTCACCCCCAAGCCTATGTCCCAGGCTCTGCTCATGGCACGAACGGAGCTGCCTCTACCGAGCACCTCACCTACGCTGGCCTCGCCTTTTCATCGGCCGGAACAAACAATGCTCTGATGGCTCAATCGTCGCCTTCTCATTCAGTTGGCAACTCTGACATATCTTCTGTTCCTGCAGTGCTCGCTCAGAACGGAGAGTCCAACATGTTCTCGATGGACGCCAGCAACTACATGACCTTTCGTAACACGCAGCAGCTTGAGCAGCAGCATGTCCAGTTCCAGCTTCAATTGCAGCACCACCATCACCACCAACAACAACAACAACAACAACAACAACAACAACAACAGCAGCAGCAGCAGCAGCAGCAGCAAGCTGCCACCTATGCGCAGTACAACCCGTCCTCTTTTTTTGAACCTGCGCCGCTGCAGTCTGCTAACTTCTTGACTGCAGTATGAGCGCGAGTTCGGTAGCTCTAACGCTTCTCTGCGCCGTTTTCCTCCTGGCTCATGAGCAGCTCACGGATCTCAATTCAGCTCTGACTGTCGATCAGCAGCAGGATGGAAGCGGCGAAGGCACTTGGAAACTCCTCCTGATGATGCCTTGCACCTCAGTTAGCATGCTGCGCGGCATCTTCCACTACTGCCCGTCCACATACATCTCATAACAGATGATCATTATTCGAAGCCAGGTCTCAGGTCAGATCGCTTGGAGCTTGTCTCTATCTGTCTCTCTCTTTCTCTCTCTCGTTGATGCCTTTCTTACATCGACTCGATTGCCGGTTTGGCTCCTTCTTTTCTGTTCGATCGTCTCTATTTTCTGTCATCGCATGTATTCTGTAGCAGTACGGTTGCTTCGACAATCGTCTGACTCTCTCACCTGTCGCTCCTTTGCTCAATGTACTAAGTTCCGAAACCAAACGACTGTGAAGTGACCGTGCTGGCTTCGACGTTAGAGAGCATCCTGTCAGCATGTCAATGCTGCTCCCTCACATCGGCCAGGACACGAAGAACAGTCTCATGGCAAAGAGAAGCTGCGCCTCGATTCGAAGCCTTAGCAAGGAAGAAGTGAGCAAAGATGAGTCGAGTCAGAAGCAACCAACCGCCGAGCTCGCACTGTCTGTCACCTTGGGATTGAAATGCGTGGAAGATGGGGGGGCAATACAATTGAAGTCGAGGATTTGAATGTCTCATGCAGCTTTTCTATTCAAGAGATTAAATTTTACGAAAAGATCAGCCGTCAAACTGATAAGAAGGGAAGGCCAATGCGAGTCAATCATGGAATCTTGGCGATTTTCTCTCGGAGCTTGGCCGTACGTGCTTAATCGCCAGGGTGAAGGGATCAGGGTTTCACTTTGGGTTGCTTGACGCTAGGCGATTGGGTTGCAGCTTGGACCATCTCTCTCCTCTCACCATCGACGCCCTTGTTCTGTCTGCTTGGAAACACTTCTCCCATCCTTCATCTAGACGTGGAACTCGCCGTCCAGCTGCTTTGAAGGGTAGCCATCATCCCCTTTCATCAACCTCTGCCGTCGACTCAATCTCGTTGGGCAGCTGTATCAAGACACCGAGCTCCTACTACTTCCGCCTCGTCCTTCCACACAAAATCGCCGCTACAATGGGTGTGCTTGCAGCCCAGCGATCGTCTTCTCGCGGTCTTGCTCGCGCTGCCGTCGCTCAGCGATGGTTGAGCACCACCTCCCGCGTTGCGACTGCTTCCACTGCCGCAACCAAGGTCGAGTCTAGTAAGGCTCGTACTGCCTCTGTTCCAGCTCGACGCACCTACTCGAGCGCCGCTGCTCGCGAGAACGTTTACGACAGGGAGACCATCACCAGGCTATTGTACTCGCTCGCCTCGCGCAAAGAGGTCGAGCGTTACCTCCGCATCTTCTCGGCTGCTGACAAGTTCGCCGTCATCAAGGTTGGTGGTGCTATTCTCACCCACCAGCTCGAAGAACTTGCTCTCAGCTTGTCCTTCCTTCACAGGATCGGCCTCTACCCTATTCTTCTGCACGGTGCTGGGCCTCAGCTGAACGAGCTTCTCGAGAAGGAGGGTGTCGAGCCAGACTACATTGACGGTATCCGAATCACCGATGCCAAGACCCTCAAGGTGGCTCGTCGCATTTTCTTCGAGGAGAACATGCGTCTCGTTGAGAAGCTTGAGTCGTTGGGAAGCCGTGCTCGACCCATTCCCATCGGTACCTTCACCGCCGAATACCTCGACAAGGACAAGTATGGTCTTGTCGGCAAGATCAACAAGGTCGACAAGGAGCCCATCGAGAGTGCTATCCGAGCCGGCTGCTTGCCCATTCTCACTTCTCTCGCTATCACTAACGACGGCCAGATCCTCAACGTCAACGCCGATGTGGCTGCTTCAGAGCTTTCTAAGACGCTCGAGCCGCTCAAGATCGTCTACCTCAACGAAAAGGGCGGTCTCTACCACGGCAAGACCAAGGAGCTGATGGAAGTCATCAACCTCGATGAGGAGTACGACGATCTTATGAAGGAGGAGTGGGTCAAGTACGGCACCAAGCTCAAGCTGCGCGAGATGAAGGAGTTGCTCGACCACCTCCCCCGCTCCTCGTCCGTTGCTATCATCTCAGTCGACCAGCTCCAGAAGGAGCTCTTCACCGACAGCGGTGCCGGTACGCTCATTCGACGTGGTTACAAGCTTTACCGCAAGAACAGCATCGAAGAGGTCGGTGCTGAGCGCATCCGTCAGGTGCTCAAGGAGAACGACGAAGAGATCAAGGACGGCCGCAAGTCGGTTGCCGAGTTCTTCTCCGAGATCTCCCAGCATCCTTACACTGTCTACGGTGACGAGCCCTTCGACTGCGTTGCTTTTGTTTCGCAGCCCCAGCGCGAGGTTCCTATTCTCCAGAAGCTCGTCACCACCCGCAACGGGGTGCTCAACGGCGTCAACGACAACATCTGGAAGCAGATCCGCAAGGACCACAAGCGTCTCGTCTGGACTTCGCGTGCTGACGATGACCAGCGAGCTTGGCACTACGAGCGCGCTGACGGCTCCTTCACCCGAAACGGCCGTTCGCTCTTCTACTACGGCATCCATGACGTTGCCGAGGTTGAGACCATTGTTCGCAACCTTGAAGAGAAAAACCGCATCGAGCGTGCTTACTTGCCCCTCAAGCCTGCTAAGCCCACCGCACCGAGCGGTACCCGCGCTTACTCGACCATGGCTCGTCCCGGTCTCACTTCCTCTCGCATGATGGGCGGTGCTCGCCGTGGTTACGCCACTGCTGTTGAGCGCAGCGGTCCAATTCCTGGCTCTACCACCGACAAGAAGCGTGTTGCCCTTATTGGCGCTCGTGGCTACACCGGTCAGTCGCTGATCGCACTTCTCAACAACCACCCTCACATTGAGCTATCTCATGTCTCGTCGCGAGAGCTCGCCGGTCTCCCACTTAAGGAGTATACCAAGTCGCAGGTCAAGTACACCAACATTGGCGTCGAGGACCTCAAGAAGCTCGAGCGTGGTGAAGGTCCTGGTGCTCCTCCTGACGCTTACGTCATGGCGCTCCCCAACGGGATCTGCAAGCCTTTCGTTGAGGCTGTTCAGGAAGGTGGTAAGAACAAGCCCAACGGTCATGGTACTATTGTCGACCTTTCTGCCGATTACCGTTTCCAGAATGAGTGGACTTATGGTTTGCCAGGTCAGTAAATCCTCACGGAAGTAGCTTACCAATCTGTCTTTGCGCGCGTTTCCCAGGAGTGAGGGGAGGGTGAAGGAGCAATGCATGCATGCATGTAACAGAACCCGAAGAAGAATAAATGGAAATCAATAACACCAAATCGATATCCACCACGTCTTTCGGAGGTCTGTGTGCAGCATTAGCAGCAAGCCTCCCTACCCCGAATCCTGTTGAGTCCTCTCTATGAGACTGAGAAGCGTCAAAGACCCATTCGGAAGCTGTGTCGTTCACTTTGTCATTTGGATCGTCGCCGCTGACACCTTTCTCTCCTTTGCGACCTTGCAGAGATTTACGGCCGCAAGCAAGTGCAAGGCGCAAAGCTAATCTCCAACCCTGGATGCTATGCAACCAACAACCAAGCACTCATTGCACCACTTCTTCCTGTTCTTGATCTTTCCGCTGGACCTACCCTTTTCGGTGTTTCCGGATATTCCGGTGCTGGAACAAAAGCATCCGAAACACCTAGTGGAGAGCGCAAGACGGTCCCAAAGATCACTCCTCAAGACCTTGCTGGTGGAATTCGACCCTACTCTCTTACAGATCACATTCACGAACGTGAAGCCGGACATCAACTTACCAAGCTCCTCAAAGCCAACGGCCAAGAAGGTGAAGTGAAAGTGGCATTCATTCCTCATGTCGCACATTGGTTCCAAGGCATCATTTCAACACTTTCTGCTCCGCTGAACAAGAAGATGAGCAGTAAAGAGGTCAAGGCTCTCTATGAAGAGTTTTTCGCAAACGAGAAACTGGTTAAGGTGCAAGATAAGGTTCCAGAGATTAAGGATATCGAACTCCAACACGGGTTGAAAATTGGTGGCTTCCAAGTTCACTCAGAGAGTAAAAGGGTAGTTGTGGTTGGTGTTATCGATAATTTGTTAAAGGGCGCCGCTACTCAGTGTTTGCAGAACCTCAACATCGCGCTGGGGTATGAGGAGACTGCTGGTATTCCAGATCTCAAGTAGAGTCTTGTAGCAACTTGACATGGCTCCTCCGTACAGCTCCTGAACTTCTTCTTCATCATCTTGGTTTGTGTACATTCTATTCATCATTTTATTCACCTGATCAAAGTCAATTCACCTTGCCATGTATGTGTCTCAGCTTCCAAGCTTATGATCGTGCGTCTCCGTGCATTGCTGGAACAATGGACAGCGATCGCTTCAACAAACACGTTGACCGTTTTAAGTGTCTCAACACCTTCCAAAAGTTTATGTGGAACTCCTGCTTGTCTTTGCATAACCTCTCTTGCAACGACGACAACACGACATCGCTGCACAACCAGCACAAAAGCACGCAGTGATGCACAGAGTATGATCTTGAATTTCGACATCATAGGAGCAAAATTAGAGGACGGGGATCTGAAAACAGGTGCGCAAATTACATACAGGAACGGAAAGGTGCTTCAGGCATCATTGGCAGAAGGGATCGAATGTCTGCCCTGAACGATGCAAGAAGCTTACAGAATGAAGGATAGGAAAGGATGAGAATGCTGAGAGGCAGTGTCCATGTGAGTCCAGCAGGAACAGAGAGTCAAGGCTCCTAATTCACTGCTGGGGCTGACGTTGAAAGAGAAAAGGTAAAGTCCGTTGAGGAGCACAAGAAGCCTGAGCGGTTCCCAGCCGACGTGACAGCGGCCGGATCAGCAGTTCGCGCGACGCTTGACCGTCAAAGTCAAAGAAAGAGAGTTCTTCCGACGACTGAGGTCAGACAGCGTCGCCAAAGCAGCAGAAGGCCTCCTGCGCCACAATCCTGAACCTTTGAGGAGAGGAAGGTGGTAATCAATATCGGAAGCGAAAACGAGGCAAGTGGTATCGTTGAGGTGGTAGTCCACCGCAATGAGAGCGGAGGACACCTGGGTATCGCATGTGAGAGACGGATCCAGAAAGAAGCAAGAAGAGACTGTAGATGAAGGCTGGCTTCATCACGGATGGAAAGATTGTGTCCATAAGGGAAGGAAGGCTATAACTGCCTACTCTTGCTTGATCTGGTGGCTCGAGCCGGATGCGAGAGGAATACCGACCTGTGGTCCCGCGGTCAGAACCATCGGGTGAGCCAGAGGCATGTTGAGGTGCGATATGGGGTGGACCGAAGATGCATCGAATTCTCCACCAGCGATACCAGAGACGCCGCCCATGGATGTGTGAACGCGAGCGTGTTGATTAAGGTTGTCGTGTCGACTGAAGCGCTTGTTGCACGAAGGGTAAGGGCACAGGAAGGGCTTGTCATCCGTGTGAATAGAGCGGACGTGGCGCTTGAGATGCTCACTGCGCTTGAAGCACTTGCCACAGCCAGGCACCTTGCACGTGTAGACCTTGCCGCTCTTGCCGAGGTTGTTCATCTCCTCCGGCTTGTTGGGCACACGACGACCGCGCGATCGCTTGGTGATGAGGCCTGCGTAAGGGTTGGCGAGGTGAGCAAAGTGATTGTAGAGGCTCATGCCCTTGGGAAGCATGGCGAGGCCAGGCGCCTGAGCAGGGATGTGGTGGATCTGGATCTGGCGCGAGGAAGGCGAGGCGAGGACCGAGGGAATGTCGCCAGCCATGGCAAAGGTGGGGTAAGGAGAGGTGCTGCGAGCGCTGTTGGGCGACGAAGGGCAGGGCGAGCCGTGCGGGTGAAAGCACGCATTGTCGGGGGCGCTCTGCGAGAAAACCATGGGACAGTGTCCAGCATTGCCGAAGAAAGAGTTGCTAGGGAAGGCATGCATAGGCACGGGCATGGGCATGGGCATGGGACCAGCGTGCGAACCTCCAAAGAGACCAAGGCTCGACTCGCTAGCACTGCACCTCATGTGACCGTAGCCGTACTCGCTCGACGTTTCGCTGTGGCTGAGAGGCGAGAGGGGCACCTGTGGGGTCATGGTGCTGGTGGCAGTCGCGATGGAGTCCATGCTAGCGGAAGCTGGGAACCGAGGGGCAAAGTGTTCGGCGTCGGCGGCCTGTGCAGAGTCGTCGATGAAGTCGTGGATGCTGAAGTCGACCGAGGTGAAGTGCTCTTGTTTCAACGTGGCAAACCTGTCTGAGTTGTCGGGGGAGTTGAAGTCGATGCGGTCAAAGGCAGACTGGATCGAGTCGGAGGCGTCGAAGGAAGTGAAGGAGGCATCGCTCCAGGGACCGTGATTGGCGTCGTCAGTGGCGGGGGAAGCAACATTGCTGTGGTCGGCCTCGCTGTCGAAGCCGCTGTTGTAGTCGAACTCATCAGCGGTGGAAGCAGCAGAGCTGGACATAGAGGGAGTGAGGGAAAGACGCTGAACAGCACGCGAGCGTTGAGGAAGGTCATTGGGGAAGGTAGTATCCTCGAGGCTGAAGTTGTCCCTGAACTCAAAGTCGGGCTTGAGGGTGGTGATAGTGTCGGCGCGCTTGCGCTGAACCTCCAGCATGAAAGCAGGCGTCTCGAGACCATCACCAAAGGTGAGCGGCAGAGAGCTGGCCATGTCGATGGAGGGGGAGAAGCCGATGGGACCGCCGGAAGAGAGAGGCAGGTCGAAGAGTTGAGCGGCGGCGTTGGGGCTGAAAAGTTGTTCCTCCATTGTGGTGATGAAGAAGGGATTGACAGGGCAGAGTGGCTAGTTGTCGTGAGAATGACGCGAGATATGGTCGTCACTGAGATGGTCGAGAGAGGCGAGAGGGGGAGGTCAACAAGACGTAGGGGAGGGTAAGATTCGCCGGATCGTTTGGCGTGAAGGTCGTAAAAAAGGCTCTCGATAAGGCTAGCTGGAGGTCGTTAAAAGGTCGTTACAAGGGAAGCGGTGCACGTCAAGAAAAAAATGGCATGCAGAAGCAGAGTGTTGGGCTGTCGCGATGCCGATTGGCAAGGTAGACAAGGGAAAAAGCGGCTCTTTTGCACGTGGAGAACAAAAAAGTGCTTGCCGGCGCTGCAAGGAGTTGCGAGTCAATGGAATGATTTGAGGATCTGTGACAGAGCGTGGCGTCAGGTGGGGTGTGATGTGTTAGAGGGCGGTGATGGTGTTAGCGGGTTGATTGATTGAGAGCTGGGTCGTTAAAGGGTCGTTAACTGAACGGATCGCAAAACGAGATGAAAGGAGATGAAAGAAGGAGATGAAAGAGGCGGGAGAAGAAGCGATGGTCAGAAATTTGGATCGTTTGAACCGCGCAGAGAGACCAACAAATGAAGGTCAATGCGAAAGAGAGAATGATGACCTATAGATGCACAGGCAGGTCCCAAGAGGGCGCTTGTCGGCAATCCGAGTGACTCCAAGACCATCGACCATGTAGACAGATGCGAGAGCCACAGTTTTGGGATGCATTGAAGGGCGAAGCAGTCGATGGATGTCTCGAGGTACCCTGCATACAATATAGTCCAGATCTAAATGGCGAACGGACTGTTGGCTGGAGGACCCAACACTCGGCAACATGGTTGTGTGGGCTGGACCACCAGGCACACTTGCAAGCCAAGTGAGCTATGGTGCTACAGTATGTCAAATCATTGTGCTTGCCTTGGCGCAGCCATGTCAAAGGCGGCCCCTGCGTTGGAACTTGCGAGACGCTATGAGCGCGAAGGCTAGGCGAGCTAGGCTCGTGTTGAGCGAGTACTCACAAAAGGTCGTTAGCCTAAAAAGGCGTGTTAAGATCTAACCGAACGGAATATGATAGATGAGGAGGAGACTCGACGAGATAGTGGTTGTGTAGATGATGGTAGAAGAGAAAGATTTGATCACGACGAGCACCCAAATCAGGCAAATCGCATAGCCAAGCAGAGAGAGCGGACAAGGGACCGGTCTCTGTCAGTCAGCTGCCGTAAGGGGCAAGTCCTCTTTCTCAGTTCAGAGCAGTGACAGAGTCAATCAGTCAGTCAGTCAGTCAGTCTCTGCAGAGCTGAAAAAGGAAAGTGAGGAAATAAAATCAATAAAATCGTCATTGTGCAAAATCCGACGGATGAGTTGCATCGATCGAAGAGTCAAACGCAAAATGCTCACACACACATTCGGTAGAGCCGAAAGGTTGCTAGACCTTCCCAGAGTCGCTTGGCTCTCCTTTTACCGTCCCGCGCTTCAGCTGGACAAAAGGACAGCTCAGTAGTGTAGTGTTCTGTTTCCCATGCAAGTCGCATCAGGGGAAGCGCTTCTATCATTGAACGCGCAAGGCAAGGCGTGCTTCTCGAACCCGGAAGCTGGATGCTCTTGCTGCTCTCTCATCACCATGACTGCTGATGCTGCTGCCGCGGCTGTAGCAGCTGTTTTCAACAGCTTTTGGCTTCATCTCAACTTCCGAGGTTCGAGAGGTCGATGTGTGTGTGCATGCGTCTAATGAAGCGCTTGCAAACAATGGCGGCAATGTGCAAAACCTCTTCTCGCTTGCTGATATTAGTTGGATAGCAGGCTGACTACGGATATTTCCTCAAAGGCAAAGCGAATAGCGAATGACCTGCCTCAAAGGGCAATGCATGTGCCAAATTGGAAAAGGATGGCGCAGCGGAGAGCGGAGCGGAGACGCTTGGCAAAGTCACTAGGACAAGGAGGACCGTGACATGGCCGTCGTAGCATAGCGTCGGCTAGAATAGATAAGCGAGAGAACGGGTCGCCATCAAAGCGAACGGGGTCAAACAAAATAGGCAAACGCTACAGTAGGCTGCTTTGAGCGGTGGTGGAATTTGGTGGCCGAACCCGACAGTGCCACGCAGTGTGAGTGGGTGGCAGCAGCATTATTCGGCATGGCATGACTACAAGAACCAAAGAACCTGATCGAGAGGGTGAACCAAGTTCAAGCCTGCGCTCACAAGCACATTCACACAGAACTCAAGAACACCGAAGGGTCGACAAGCTAGCTCTACAGACTCAAGCATGTGGCTGGCAGTCGCGGGATCGAACGAGATCCAAGTTCACTTGACACCTCGAATGGCACATTCCCTGTAGTTCCTGATGGCAAGTGAACAGGAAGCATATGCAGCGATTGTCAAAATATGACGATGACGACATGCTGGAGGCTGCTGTCGATCGCATCAGGATTCGTCAAGCTTCATTTCAACGGAGAGGGAGAAAGGGAAAGGCTGAGATACGATGGAGGTGGCTTTTGTCGTCGAGTTGATATTGTGTGGAAATAAAGAAAAGATCGAAAAACGACAACCGACTGACATCGGGGATCGAGACCTTTTTCGTCTCGCTTAGACTTGTCGGTTTGCGGACCCTAGCACTTGACCTGTCTCGCTTGCGTTTGTCTGCTTCCCTCCGTCTTTTCCTGTATGCGCTTGTCCAGCATGCACGCTGCTCGCCTCCAGCCCATTTTTTCCCGCAGAATCACGTTCCCACAGAATCGTGAATCGCACTGCAGCACGCACACGCACACACACACACACGCACACGCACACGCACACGCACACCGACAGCCAGTATCCTCTTCGACCCTCGACTGTGACAACGACTATATGGACCTGTCAGCTTTGCAACCCTTCAAGGTGCTAATCGAGTTGCTGCAAAGCAGCTGCAACCTCGCGCTACACCATATCGGTTGAAATTGTTAACTACCTAGACGAACCTCGTATCCGAGAAATGATAGCTATGCTGTTCAGACGCTTTTGAACAGAACACAAAGGCCTCGTTGACGCCACAGTCCTTTGTTACCACCGGTCGATGTTGAAGAGACAGCCGCGGAAGGACTCGAGATCTTGAAGTGAGCGTGATAGATGCTTTTTCGCCGGGTCAGCGCTTAGGTCGGGGTCGGTCAATCCAGCATGCATTCCAGGTTTCGGCCTTGAAACATCGTTTCGTCCGAACCATCAATTCATACCATAGCATAGACAATACGAGAGCATAAGGAAGATTAGGATTGCGGGATGAGCTTGAGTGTGCTCACAGGCTCGAGAGGCTCCCGGACCGCCGTTAAGGGGGGCCGGATGAGCGCAAGAGAACATGAAGACAAGGGGGGGAATACAGAGTGGGAAAAAAACACCTGAAAAAAAAATAAAATAAAAAAAATAAAAAATAAAAAAAACGGCGAGTTTCTGCTAAGCGAGCAGCTGCGAGAAAGGTGGTGATTGGAGAGAGAGCATTCTGTAGCTGCGCGTTGACTTGGCAGAATCTCGGATCACGGATCACATCACATGACTTCTGTCACGTGAATACCAGGGAAGCAGCCTTTGCTGCAGCCAAGGATGCAAACCGTTGCCAATGTGAGATCATGCAACCAGCCAAAAGAGTCTAGAAACGCTGTCGCTCGGCCCATGAAACGATTCTTCCTCTCCTCAACGTTTTTGTCAGCCACGATACCGATCTCATCAAGCTTCATCAACGACGGTCATGGCACACAGCACACAACCTGACCGGCCTCGGCGATTCCGATCAAGTTCCCACCTTTGCTGTGTACAAAACAATGCGGGATCGGAGTGGGTACTAAATGAAGTAAACCGATTGGTCAAAGCCTCATCCAGTCTGCATCCCGGTGTGTGGGCAAAGAGCAACCTGGATCGTCTTGTTGCTGTGACCTGGTCTATAGTCACATCCAAACTTCATTCCACGGCCAATTGAACAGCGAGTGACAGCTCAACTTTTCGCCCACCGCCACTTGTGACGCACAGACCGGTCCGAACATGCTTCAGTTCAGCAACACTAGAGAAAGAGAGTAGAAGTGGGCCCGGTCTTCGGAATCAAGCTTCCGCGGCGGCTCAACCAGTGCATCCATCCTTCTTCCCACGTTCGAGCTCGACAGAGTTGAAAGGGAAGCAAAATAAAACTAAAAATTAAAAATTGCATCACGTCAATCTGACAATGCGTCTTGTCTGTCCAAATGTCGAATATGGCATTCCTTCGACAGATTTGCATTGTCGCAGCACTATCAGACTGCGAGATCCTCTCGACTCGCCCAAGCCGCAGCTTTGGCTCTCAGCTCTCGACACTGTATCGGCTCTGTCCAGGCACCGTCTTGCAGAAGAGCGGTTTCGTCTCGAAGCATCGGAGCACCGGCCGATACGAGAAGGAGGTCAAGGCAAAGGGGGCCAGGAACTTTCGGTTCAACCGCTCTCCACCTGGCAGAAACATGAGGAGAATTGAGTCAAACAGAGCTGACCTCTTCCGGCGGATCCAGGGCAGATCACCGCGATTGTCTTTTGCAGCCAGACATCAGAGAGGCCTTGCAGGGAAGAGTTCACGTTCGAAGCTGTGCTGTACTGCGGTGTACTATTCAAGGCACAGGCAAAGGCTGCCCATTGTCGGCTCATAGTGTGACCAATTAGTTAATATTGGAGGAAATTTTGGACAAATAGCTAGCTTGTGTTGCGCACACAAGTTCCTTCGGTTGCATCTGGAAAGTACGAGCAACAAAGCTTTCCGTTCACGATCGCGCACGGTCGCAGACCCTCAATCGCTGCCAACCAGCATCCAACCTGACATTCATTTTTACCGTCCATTGATCACTCTTCCCGTCCATTGATCACTCTTCCCGATCCCGTGAGAGGTTTGTAGCTCTGGAAAACTTGGCTCAATTTGGCATCTAGCCGGGCTAGCGATCCGTTCCATGCTCGATCTCATCTGAAAACCCCAAACTCAGCACAGAATGCTATGGCTGCCGCTGTGTGTTAAACTTCGAATGCCGCTCGCCGCCTGCGTTAACTTAGTAACAAAGACAGGCTGACGAAGCGACTGTTGCAAGACCTTGGTCAGCATCAATGTGAGATTTGACCCAAACCAAAGTGATGATTTACGGCACACCAGCCTCAAATCAAAAAATAAAAATAAAAAATAAAAATAAAAAATAAAAATAAAAATTTGAAACAGAGATAGGGGCCTCGTGTGGGAAAAAAGCGTTGCGGACTGTGAATTTTTTTCGCTCCAAGGATGCGTGGACATGCTCGACTAGCTACTCTTTCGTTGCCACAGGAAGCTCTTACTGCTGCTAGGCTACGAATTCTGACTGCGAAGCAAATTGATTTCGCGCACAATCTCTGCCGCTATCCTAGCAGAGTCGGCTTCAAAGTCATACCTCTTGGTGTCTCGCGGACTTTCTCTCCAAACCACCAGCTTGAATCCGCTAGCCAGCTTGCTTGAAAGCTTGCATGCCACCACGCTAGACACGTGGAACGACGCCGCCTTACCGAACGTCTTCATGTCCGTGGGCATAATGTGCAGCCAGTCACCGTCCAAAGTGAGACTCCGTTCGTTGTGTCGGCCACCAAACATGGGCGATTTTCGATACACCGTGTAGCTCTTGTATGCCGCAGCAATGTCGAGCGCCTTGGTGTACTTCGGCTGGCCCGATGGAGCGTTCCTATCCGAGGCGGCCGAGTATCGTTTGAAGATGGAAGCATGCGGGTTGGTCGAGGAGCTGCTCAGAGCACCCGCACCTCCCAATGCACCGAGACTCGATCTTCGCACGAGGGCAAGATCGTGGTTGCCTTGCAAAGACTCGACTGTTCTGTCCAGGGGTACAACGATGCTCTTGTCCGGAACGATCAGCGCCCATTCATCGACATTGGATAGATGACGCTTTCGACAGATCATCTCGAGCACGTCGGCTAGATACATATCTGATGGCACTTGCAGTGTTGTCTTGTATCGCACCTCTGGGTTCGGCGTTACAAGCACTCGCAAGAAGATCGACTGTGATGAAGAGCCGAGTGCATTACGAGACAATGCGCCGGAGGCAAAGATGGGTGTTCCTTGGATGTTGTTCACAGATCCAGCTGGGCCCTGCGTACCTGTGCCAGGAGCTCCAAGCCGGCTTGTAAGTGCAGGGTTGCCCGAGATGGCGGCTCCGCCACTTTTTGCTCCTGGACCAAGTGTGCTCTGACCTGCATCCAACGCACTGGTGCCAACAGCCACCGACTCTCCCGCACCAGCTCCACCCTTTGCTGCCGTCTTGTTCACTGTCGGTGCGCGGACGGTGCGTCTCGCAATATTGGCATATGCGTCTCTATGCTGTCGAATCTGATTCGGCGATGCTTCGCAGATAGCAAATTCATCTCCACCAAACTTGCCGAGTTGCAGTGTCTGATCAATGGCAGGGAAGTCGTCGTCCACTTCGCCATCCTCCACGATCATCAGCGTCCAGCCTATCGTTGTAGTCCTGGCTTCCCGTTCTGTTTCCGAGCGTGATGAATCTGCTGGGTCAAGCTCTGGCTTCCATTTCTCTTCGACATAGCAGTAGAGACCGTAGCCGATGACTTCCTCCATTGTAGCATCCTTGCGGATGTTGAGCTTCATCGATTTGGTCTTTGGATGAACGGATACAGCACCACTTGATGGAGGTGACGATGGCGATACCCGTCGGCTGTCGGCCCATGGGAAGTAAATGTCCACCGTCATGCTCGGCACCGTGGCTGCTCGACCAGCGATGCTAGCGTAGAAGGCAGCGAACGGATTCTCGGGCCCGAAATCCTGCTTCTGCAGCATTGAGCTGAGTATAGACCCCTTGGGGCGATTTGCGTGCTGCGCTTCTACCTGGGCACGGCTTGCCTTGATCGACGCAAAGTAGTCTGACTGAGCTGTGACTCGTGAACTATGTGGTTGGTTCATCCTACGGCTGTTACGACGCTTGGATCTGCTGTGTACACATGTTTGTTTGTTGGAGACGCTGTCATCATCGCTGCCCGAGATGATCATCTTGGGCGGCGCTGGCATCGGAGACTCATTTGCAAGCGTCGGAACAGTCGGTCGCGAAAGCACTGGAGAGGATCGAGCGGTGAGCGCGGGGTCCATGCTTTGACTTGCTGACGAGTGTGGCGAGTGCGGCCCACCAGTAATCGCTGCATTGATCGTTGTCAAGCCCAGACTGCCATCCTGCAGAGAGCCAACTGAGTCAAGACTGGAGAGTGCATTGTTGGACTCCGTTGAGCTTTCGGCATAGATGGACCCATGTCGACCAGTTGCCTGGGCTGATGGTTGTGGTGAGATGGACTGTGCTTCTGATAGCGCTGCCGTCTCGAGAGATGATCTGTAGTTGCCGAGTTCAGCACGGTCGTCTGGCTCAGCGAAGTTGACCCGCTTGCCCATGACAAGCCCTCGCCCGTCTTCCTTCTCGATTGCTGACAAGGTGTCATGCTCTTCGTTTGCATCCCGAGGAGAACACGAGAGAGTTGGGCCCGGACGAGGCAGACCTGTTGACGACTCTTCTGCGCTTCCTGGAACGGTTGTAGCAGAGGCCGTAGAGTCCGCCGCCTGCAAAGTCCGGTTGGCGTCTTCCTCAACAGCTTCCTTTTCGTCCATTGGTGGCGCGGGCGAGTTGGCAGTACTGATGCTGACGCGTTTGCTTGCTCTACGACCATTGACTCGCATCCCTAGAGCACCGCTTCGCCCTGCGCCGTAGATGGTCTGGGTATAAGATAGATTGCTTGTTTTGTGTCCATCATGGAAAGCACCAGACTTGTCTTCAAGCGCGCCAGCGTCTGATGAGTTGTTCCTTGCATTCTTGTGCGCGAAGCCTCCAAACGGGCCAAGCTCTCCTACTGTCGGGACTGGCGAGTACACAGTTGCAAGCTCTGGGTGACGCGAAGGGTCGGTCAACCCTGCGACGACCACATGCGAATCTGTGCTGAAAGGGCTGTAGTGCGACATTGAGGCTGCAGCACGACTCGAGGGGTCCTCTCTCGTAGCAGAGGTGGACGAGGGCCCGAACAATGATGTCGAAGATGCTGATGTGGTCAGTGAGGGTACCGCATCTCTTTGGCTCGCGGTTGCCAAAGTCCCATCTTGCTGATTGGTCGCGACCGATGGGAAGGTGATGATCCTCGTTCCGTAGTGATCGTCGATTCGCTTCAGGTAGGCCAGTCTCAGCGAATGTATGAGGTGGTCGGGGTCCACCAGTAGCGACATGATCACGTTTGGGCTTCGATCAAGCCCACCATCTCCCCTTGCGAAGTTCTTCTTCCTGCTATGCGATCGGTGACGGAGTCGGCAAATTACAGCAGAAGTCCAGACGATGGCTACACCTATGCCGAGGCGCTGGGAGTCGTTGAAGACTGTGTCGCTGTGTGGAAGAAGGAGCGGAACGAGCCAAGTGTTAGGGGGACAGTCAGAGTGCGAAAGCTGCACAGAGCATGGACCCTGGAAGACACGCGAGGCTCAATTGAGCGTTCGTCCTCCACATCGAGTGTGTGAGATTCTCGTTTAAGTCACAAAATTCAGGATTCCCATCTATTGCTCTCAAAAGGTTCAAGGGTCAACGCGAACATCTGCAGCTCTCATCTCTCAACCCCATCCGCATCATCCTATCATCGAGACCAGTCCGGCCAATATGACGTCGAACGATGTGCGAGACATTTTCTCGCTTCCTGAGAGGTCCGGCTCTCGACCTTCGTCCTCAGCGCAGGCATCCGGCTCCTCATCCCGCAATCGCAAGTCGTCCAGCTCTCACAACAGCAACCCTCATCCTTCCTCAGTTGCAGCGGCGTCACGGCAAAAACCGAAGTACGATGGCATGACTCGTGAGCTCTTCGCCCTGCTTGGCGACAACGCGCCTACTCTCGCCATGGCACAGGGCCTTGACGCCGAAGGAAAACACGGACTCGGCGTTGGAGGTCTCTTCAAACCCAAGTTCAAGAAGAGAAAGGAGAAGGCCAAACAATGGAGATGGACGCCGTTCCTCAATTCGGCACGCGATGACACCCATATCGACTATGACACACCAGAGATCAACACTGGTCTAGTATTGTACCACTGGGCACCAACACAGTCTTCAGCAGAAGGCTCTACTTCAGCAAATTCAGATTTGGAAACAAAGTATCAGTATGCAGATTTCAACACCAACTCTGGCGTCTACAGCTACTCAAATGACGAGTACATCCAGCATCTGCGCGATGACGACTGGACGAAAGAAGAAACCGACTACTTGATGGATCTTTGTGCCGCCTACGACCTCCGCTTTGTTGTCATCCACGATCGTTACGACTGGGCATCTGCACAATCATCATATCTCGCTGGCACGACCTCAGCTGCTTCCACAACGGTCAAAGAGCGTAGCATGGAGGATCTTAAGGCACGCTACTATTCCATTTGTCGTCGACTCATTCGCTCGCGCATCTCGAGTGATGATGTCGAAACACGGCAAATGCTGCTCAGCACCTACGCCTTCGACAAGCAGCGTGAGATTGAACGCAAGAAGGCCGTAGTGCGCCTCTACACCCGCACACCAGAGCAATTGGCAGAAGAAGAGGCGCTATACGTCGAGATTCGACGTATCGAACAGAACGAGGCCAAATACGCATCAGAACGCGAAGAATTGCTGCGGCTTCTGGGCGGATGGGAGAGTTTACCCAGCTCAAGCCCACATGCTGTGGCAGCAGCTGGTTCGGGTATTGCGAGCTTGCTGGGTGCCGACGATGACCAAACGGCCAAAGGTCGAGCTAGTAGCACCAAGAAGCGCAAGTTGCAACAGATCGAAGATGGCGGTACCCCCGGTGCTGAGGATGCAGCTAGCTCGACTGGCGCTGTACCGACAAACGCACGTCCTTCGGCGAATCTCACCTCGAAACAGCGTGCCGAGTTGCGGCAGGCGCAATTCGACGAGATGCAATGCATCACACGCTTCGCATCCAACGTCTCTGCTGCTTCAACAGATCCAGTCATGGGTGCCGTCACAGGTGCTACAGCAGCGGCTGCCACAGCAACCGGCTCCACCCGTCCACCGTACGCTCACCTTGTCGGCACAGCCTCAACTTTACCGCCTGTCACCACAAACCCTTCGAACCCCTCTTCAGGACACGGCGTCTACCTTCGTTCATCACGCATGCTCGCACCGCGACCCAACTTGGTCCTCAAGACAACCCAGATGCTTGCCGAGTCAGAACCACCCGTTGGACCACGTCTCATCTTCCCCACCAGCAAGAATGTTGAGAAGTGGGAAAACCTGATTGGTGCCGTAACGACGAGTTTGGAGTTGAGAAAGCAATTGGAGAGGGTCAATGCCGAACTGAGGATTACGAAACAGCGCATTGCTGCGGCTATGAATAGTCCGAATAAGGGCGCGGGCGAGCGTTATGGTTCGGTCGCAGCGGTGGAAGGTGATGCGTCGAGTACAGCGCAAAACGCTAGCGCAGCAGACTCTTCAACGATGACGCAGGATGCAAGCAACGGCGCATCCACTTCGGTCAAGACAGAGGAGCGATCATAGGCTTTGTTTGTTGCTCACACTGATTCAACGAGCTCGCTCTGGATCATGATGCCACCTTGTTCTCGTTTTGTATAACAGTTCGTCTCAATCCACATCTCGACTGCAGCTTGGTAGATGATTGCACCACAGGCTGAGATGAAACAGCATCGATTTTCCGTATCGAGTACAATTGGTTCAAAGCAGAGATAGAAGCTAAAAGCTACAACATGAAGGGAGAATGAGCGAGATCTCGAATACACGGGATCGCGACAGTCAAGGCAAGTAGATGAAGATGTAGGGAAGTATGTTGGAAGAGATTAGGGCGGAAACATTGGGTATATCCAGAACGGGTAAACATATGATCGATTGCGTGCTCGAAGAGGCCACAAATCATCGTCGCTTGGTGAAGGTCTTGTTGAGCAACTGAAGAATTTTAGAGACGTTGAGCTGCACGTATTCGAGATCGAGAAGCTGGACATCGTCCTTCTGCTTTTCGAGCAAATCGTCAAGCTTGAGGTCCATCTCCAAAATGGCCTTCTCACGACCCTTGTAATGGAGCGCGATGATGAAGGTACCTGGCGAAGGCGAAGTGATGTTAAAGAAGATGTTGGCACGTCGGTTCTCGGGCACGTTGCTTTCAACAATGATGCCGTCCTTCTCCATCTGGGCGTGTGTGAAGCGGTAAGGACCGAGTGCTTGGGACTTGGGAGTCTTCTTCTCCTTGCCTCCAACCGAGATGACACCAACACCACCGGCGCTCTTGTCCTTGGCACTGCCACTGGTCATTCGTACATTCTGCAGGTAGCTCTTGTAGGTGTCGAGCTGGCTGCGCATGTAGTTGTTGTGCTCGCAAATGGTTTTGTAGACAGCCTCCAAGCTGCGCATCTCTTGCATGACCTTCTCGCGCATGTTGCCGAGATGCGTCAACTCTGTTGCGACTTCATCCGTCATGAGACTGTAGCCATCCCTTCGGTCGACGACCTTGAGCTCCTCGAGTTCGCGGAGCATCTCTTTGACCTTGATACCCTTACGGACCAGCGTGGCATCTTTGGTTGTGGCAGCCTTTTCTGCGATCTGCGGAAGGTTGATGGGTCGCTTCTCGGCGAGTGCTGGAATGGATCGTAGAAGCTGGACAAAGATCGACTTGGTCTCCATGTACAAGATGTCGTTCTGCGTGACATTGTTCTCAGACATGAAGGCCGTTGTGAGGTCTTGAATGGGCGTCTCCCATCGTGAGAAGAGCGGAAGGTCGAGGGTGCGGTTCTCTTTGCGGGGCACCTGACCCGGAGAGCCTCCTAGCTCGTCAATGAGGATGCGAAGGTGGTGCTTGTCGTTCGGTGCGAGGATGTCGAGGTGCTGAGCTACGAGCGAATGGGTGTTGTACAGCTCATTGAGAGTGATCTGGATCTGCAGGTCCTTCTTGGAGAGCGCCATGTACTGGTCCATCTCGAGAGTCTCGTAGAAGTCTCCGACATCGCAGAGCGCATTGAGGAAAGCGTTCATGCGGGTCTTGTTGTTCTCAACGAAGGGGTTGAGAGACATCATGTATTGCTCCTTGGCGTACGAGGGCTTGTTGGCAAGATTCTGAAGCATCTTTGCGATGAGCGTAAGCGTACGGCGGGGGTGCTTAGCCGGTGGGCCGTCGACGAGCATGTAGGCTTGTGGTGTCACGATGGCAGGGTTGATGAAACGGAGGAAGAAGAAACCGCCAATGAGAGAGCAAATGGCGAAATCGGTGGCATCAGGGTACTTGCGCTTGGTGAGACTGCGAATCTGCTTGCAAATCCATCGGATACCATAGGGCACCTCATCGATGGAGTTGATGATGGTGAGGAGGAAACTGTTCGCAATCTCCATGAGCATGGTTAGCCTGGGAGCGATGATGGCCTGAACGTCGGCGTTTTCAGCTGCGACCTCGGCTGGGACACCACGCGGAAGGTTTGCGGGCAAGCTTCCGGTGTCCTCCTCGATCTGATTGATCATCTGCTCGTACACTTTGAGCGGGTTAACCTCCAAGTTGAGGTCCTTGTGCTCGATGAGGCTGTTGATGCGTTCGGCAAGGACGCTCTTGAGATAAGATTGACCGGGACCGCGTCGAGTGTATGTGGTCATCATGCGTGATACCGGTGTGTTGGCACGGAGCAGTGAACCAAACTCAGTGGCGGTCTCGAACTGGGCGGAAAGGACGGACTGGAACATGGTAAGGAGGAGATGCTCTTCGCGACTTTCGTACTGGTTACCGTAGAGGGTGAACATGACGGTCTGAAGGAGAGTGTCGATCTCTGCCAGACTGACGAGACGACAGAGCGCTGCGATATGCCTTGGCTCGGATTGAAGGAGGAAGAAGAGGTTGCCGTACTGTTGCATTTTGCGGTCGTCCAGTGTGGTGCCGATGGCGGTAGAGTCAGTCTCCTCGAGTGTAGATGCGACTTCGCTTTGCTCGTCGAGAGCCATGCGATTGGCGATGAGAAGGGCAATACGGCTGTCAAGGTATCGGACATCACGTTCAAGGACGAAGTTCTTCTTGGACTGAGCCGAGATGCGACCCTTGAGTTCTCGTAATCGCTTCTGTGCGCGAGCAAGGTCATCCTCGACTTCGACGTCCTGCTCTGCCGCCATGGAATAGAGTGCAGTGACAGAGTAACGGTTGGTGTTGCGGTTGCTCATACTGGCAGCGGTAAGCCTCTTGCCCATCATGTTGTTCCGGTCGCGACTACCGCTGCCCTCAGCCAAAGAAGACGACATTGGAGAGCCAGCTCCGCTGCCGCCCGAGTAGGCACCATTTGAGGACTGCTGCAAGGTGGTCATGTCGAGCTACGCAAGGCCTGTTGCTAAAGAGCAAGCGAGATGGACGAAGCTGATGGCCGAGTCAGTGCAGCGGATCTCGAAAGAAAGTTGACGTTACGTTTCCTTATCGGTGGTCGAACTAAGCCGGATAGCTCTGAGATTGCGTGGTGGCTGCAGGAAAGGTGTGTTGTTCGCCCAGCGATGTCTGCTGTGAAGGGCACCGATTGGTCGGAGACGGTGATGATGAAGGTAGGGATATGAATAAGAGTGTGTGAGGGAGAGAAAGATGAATGGGCTGGGCTGCAAGAGAACCTAGGCGAAAGCGAACGAGGCTCGAGACGTCGGTGCAGCAAGAGCAATTCTGTACATAGCAGAACAGAAGCAGGCACTGTAGATCCCATTGATCGGGCCAGGGCCCACGCCTGTGTGTGCAGCTCTCCAAGAAGAGAGACGGCGCAGCAATTCCAGACACTCACCACACTTTAGCGGAAGTCATTTCACTCACATCCGAACCTTTGATTCATACCATAGCAAAGACAGTAGGAGAGCATAAAGGGAGGTTAAGATTGCGGGATGAGCGTGAGTGTTCTCACAGGCTCGAGAGGCTCCCGGACCGCCGTAAGGGGGGACCGGATGAGTGCAAGAGAGCGGCAAGACAAGGGGGATAATACAGGGTGGGAAAAACACTTGAAGAGTCGGCGAGATTCTGGTAAACGAGCAGCTGCGAGAATGGTGGTGTTTGGAGAGAGAGTATTCTGTAGCTGCGCGATGACTTGGCAGAATCTCTGACCACGGATCACATCACATGACTTTTATCACGTGCTTATTACACGCACACTTCCACACTCAACAGGCGGAAGCAGCGAAATGCAAGGAAAGCGATTCAGGTCAAGTCGGAGAGCCGAGTCCATGCGAAGCAAGAACAAGCGAGGCGGTCCAAGTCCTCTGGTTGCAGAAGCAGAGAAAATCAATTCCATTCTGTCTGCGCGTCCCAAGAAGAACAGCAGCAGCGACGGCGGCGGCAAGAGCAGTGATTGGCGTTCTTTCGGTTGCCGTGTGCTGTGCGTGTGTGCGTGCGTGTGTCCGAAACGGTCAAAGTGGGCTCCAAATCTCTTCGCCCCCGCGCCCGCGCTCTAATCTGTTAGAAACTGAAGTCGTTTCGGGTCCCGATACTGGTGATTGGGGATGGTCTAAGTATGATGTCACTACTTTGTTAAAGCAGAAACATATACTCAATTGACCCTGAGGGAATGTGGTGAGAGCCTAGCACTCTCTGTGAGATATATATACATTGTGAGCAGCACTAGCCTAATGTGGGAGCACTCCTACTTAATGACCTACCATGACAACAAGTGGGACTGTGTCACACCCAATCTCTGGTGAGGTCATCCCAGCTCAATCTCTGATCAGATCTTTCATCTAACCTGATCAGCTCTGCCCAATCTCTGATCTGATCAGCCCATGTCACCATGTTGGATTGCTATTTTTCAACACCCCCTCTCAATCCAGTATGTTCCTCCATCACAGTTAGCCCAGATAGTTGACAGAGATGCAGGAGTGTTGGTGCCACCAGTGGTTTTGTCATCATGTTGGCCAGATTCTCGCTACTCTGAACCAGAGTGATTGTCAGCCATTGGCTCGCAACTTCATCTCATAGAAAGAAGTGTGCTATGTCGATGTGCTTTGTCCTTTTGAAGTGTTGTGGGTTGTTCGCAATTGCTTGTGCACCAGATGAGTTGCTGTGTAGGACTGGCACATTCCAATTGAAGGTTAACTTTCCATCATGGGAGTGAATGATCAATGTTCCAGCACTTACTTGTACTCCTGTCATTGTTAGTGCAGATTGTTTCAATTCACCTAGGAACATTGTGGTCCAGATTAGCTCTCTTGCAGCTCCTGCTAGTGCTACATACTCTGCTTCTATGGAGCTGTTTGCCACTGTTGGCTGAAGTCATGACAACCAACTACATACAAGTCCATTTACAGCAAATATGTACCCTGAAGTTGATTTGTGACAGTTGCATGAGCCTGCCCAATCGCTATCCACCCAGCTGGTGAGCATCAGTTTGCCAATTGGCTCTCTTGCTGTGAGGTTGACTCTCATTGTTCCCTTGAGATATCTTAAAACTTGCTTTGCAGCTGCAAGGTGTTCTTCTGAGGGGTTTGCAATGAATTGTGCACAGCATCCAACGGTGAAGGCAATGTCAGGCCGACTACCTTGTGCAATCCACAGTAGTGATCCCACCAGCAATGCATAGTAATGCACCTCTTCAGTGCTGGCTACATCAGCTTCCCATGGGCCAAGTGAGTTGATTGTCTCCATTGCTGGCGTCAAAGCTGTCCAGGCTTCACTCATTCTGAACTTTGTCAAGACACCTTCAATGTACCCATTTTGATCTATTGACAATGTGTGTGCCTCATGATCATATCGTACATTCAAGCCAATGATGTGTGATATGTTGCCTTGATCCGTAATGCTGAAGACACTCGAGAGCTGTTGTCTTACAGCTTGGACCCTTGATGTTGTTGCTCTGATCACTAGTAGATTGTCTATGTATATTGCCAAGAGTATCATTGCATTGTTTGTGCCATGCATGTAGACACATGGTTCAGCTCTACAGCATTTGAAGCTGAAGGCTTGCAGCTGCTCATCAAGCTCTGTGTGCCATAGGCATCCAGCTTGCTTGAGGCTGTAGAGAGCCTTTTTGAGTTTGTAACACTTGCCTTCAGTTTCATTTGTCTCAAACATTGGCAGTATTTGTACATATATGTCCTTGTCAATTTTCCCATTCAGAAATGCAGTGCTGACATCCAGTTGTGTGACATATAGTCTGTATCATCTGGCAATCATGAGTAGCATGTGTATGGTTTGCAATTGGATGACTGGGCTAAAGGTCTGGTCATAATCCAAACCTTGATGCTGTGTGTACCCTTGTGCAACCAATTGTGCCTTGTACCAAGTTGCTTGTCTCTGAGCATTGAGTTTGAGTTTGAATACCCAGCAGACACTGATGAGCTTACCATCCACTGGGACATTTGCCAGCTCAAATACATCCATTTTATTCATGCTTCTCATCTCACTCTCCATTGCTTCTTGCCATTTGTACCAATTGTCACATATTTTTGCTTCATTGAGTGATGAGGGTTCCAATAGAATGCCATCAGCACTGCATAGTTGCTGACCACTGGCAATGAGAGCAGTTCCATTCATCACTGTGACTGCATATGCCATATGATCAATGTAGTGGTTGCTAATGGTAGTTGCAAGCATTTCTGAGCATGTCACAGTGAAGGATGCAAATTCATGCTCTATTGTGGAGACATCATTGTATACATCAGCAATAGCATCGCTATGAGGTGTCTCGAGTAGTGGTGCTGTGTCCAGTGATTCTCGCATGGCATCCACCCTTTTGGACTGTGTTGCATCCAGCTCTGCTTCGAGGTCCACTGCAATTGCATCAATATTGACAACAGTTTTGCTGGCTGCTTCCTTCTCTGCCATCAAGCAGTCCCACTCCCAATCATAACTTGACATATCTGATGATGTTGGCTGTGATGATGGTCTGCATTGACAAGAAAACTGTGGTAATGAATGTTGTATGACATTGTCCTGCTTGACACCTCCATAGTCATTGGTCTCATCTGGTGGGAGCCACATGTATGAGTGAAGTAGTCCATTGTCCCCTATGAGGATGGGTGCATGGGAGGGAGGAGCATTGGGCTCTGGTTGGTCGAACTTGGAGAAGCAAACATCCTTGGCAATGACAATCTGGTTGAGATCCAGGAGCCACACCTTATGCCCCTTTATAGCCCACAGGGTGTCAGAGAAACCCAAATAGGTTCCCCAGAGAGCACATGGGCAGAGGTGTTTGCTGACTACTGGATGATCATTTAGCCACATCAAATGTGTGTTGCCTCAAAGTACGACATATGCTATGCATCCATATCTCCATATTTGGCACAGCTTGGGGCATTTGCCATAGAATAACTCAAACAGCATTATATGACCACAAGTAGTCCCCACCAATCAGTTGTGGATAAATGTTGCCTGTGAGATGGCATGGGGCCACCAACATTCATCCATGTTAGAATCATAGAGCAAGCTGCAAGCAATCTTCTGGATCATCCGGATTGCTCATTCTGCAAAGGCATTATCAGTATGCTGTTGAGTAGGTGAAGCAGTGATCTTCACACCTGTCAATGAACAGATGTTCCAGAAGGCAGTGGACCAGAGTTCTCCTTGATCTACACAGACTTCTAGGACACCTTGGTCAAGGATTACTCCATTAGGTTCCTGATGTATGTCGATGTGCACTTCTGACAACCACCATGCTGCCTCTTGAGATGCTTGGCCTTTGCTTGTGAGACCTTGTGCCCATGTCATACCAGAGTGAGCATCATGGATGATGAGCATGTATGTAAACTTAGTGGCACTGTGCAGTGGACCCATCACATCCATTGATACTAATTCAAGTGGCTTCTCAACACACCTGGGGAAGGCAACATTTCAAGCAACAGCTTTACTACACACACAAACATCACAGAGTATACCTGCAGGAGGTGTTGGACCCAATGGGATGTTGTGAGATAGAGTCACTGACCATGTGTGTTGAATAGAATCATGGCTAGCATGACCTAATCTGTGGTGCCAGAGCTCTGCCTTGCTGCAGGGTTTGTTGTGTATGTCATTTGTGCCATTCATCATTGCAGCAAAAGCCATAGATACCACAGGCTTGGGCATGTCATCACTCCATATCATCATTGCAGCAGCTGGGTAGCCATCTCCACTCGTATGTATGTGAATGGCATTACCACGTTTGTCCTGGACAGTGATGAGTTGGTCCTCAAAGATCACTCAACCATGGTTGTGCATGACTGACTTTGTCCTGATTAGGTTTGTCACCAGACTG